CTAAATAGAGCTTTAACTTCCCATTCTGTACTGGTTGTATGACCAAGTGTTTTGTAGCAGTGTAAGAAAAATGGTGTCATTTACAAATCTAGCTTTTTGTCAATAAATCAAAATCTCTTTGATTTTTTTTTTGCATTTGTAGTTAAGTTTTTATGCTGATGTTTTCTTTATTATTTACCATTTTGTTAAGTGAGAATAAGTAATTACAATGTACATGCGGTTTCCTCTCACTGTACAAAGACACACTGGTAGGTTAATTGGCTTCTGGGAAATTTGTCTGTGGTGGGAGTGTGTGTATGTTTGCTTCTGTGTGAGCCCTGTGGTCCACTGGCATCCCATCCAGGGTGTGTCCTGCCTTGTGCCAATTGCTTGCTGGGATAAGCTTCAGCTCTCCCATGGCCTTGGATAAAGCAGTTAGAAAATGGACGAATGTATGGAAGGACAATGTTTGTGAAGGAGTTGTATGCAACATTCTTGCAACGTCCTGTACAGTTTCAGGATGGTAGATTTTTCAGGGTGCTGTATTTTTCAGTGCAGAATGGTAAACGTGGTCCATAGCGATAGATGGTTACTTGATGTAATTTATTTATTGTTTTATCTTTGAACTCTTGTCTTACTTTTTTTTGAGATAGTAGTTTAGAACCTCTGTGGTCTTTTAAGACTTTAAAGGGTTATTCAATGTTGGAATGTGATGTGACGGATAAATTTAAGTTGCACATTAGCAATACAGAAAGAGAAAAACAGCCCTTAGAATCCCATTTCTATGTCCTGTCATTTTGTGCCTAAAAAACGCTTGTTGTCGCCAGTAATTTTGAAATGTAAAGTTACTTTAAAAATGAACTTATTATGAAAATATTATAGTAAGAATTGACTAAGAGGCTGTTAAGAAGCTGTTAGAAAATAGATGGATAAGCATATGTAAAATGTAATGACTCTGGGTTGGCTGGGATGTCACATTCCAGTATAGTAAGGATTTATCAGTATTAGTTCAGCTTCATTCTTAAATCTGAGAGATTAGTGCATTCAGTGGAAGATTAATTCATTTTTTAAACCCAACTGATATCTTCAAAGAAAATGTGCTAATAATAACATGACCTTGTGCTTTGATTTTAAACTGAAAATGTGAAGATTATCACCATGCAAGGGTATTTTGCTCTACCTCTTGTTTTCCAGCAGCTGTTCTGCCTTTCAGTCCCAGGCTGAAATATTATATATACTATACTGAGTAAATACTATACTCCTGTGTTGAATTTGAAATTATTCAGTACATGTGTAGGCATAAATAAAACTTGTTCAAAGACGTACTACCTTAATGTGTATCTGATACGTGAGAGAAATGAGTGAAATGGATAAAGCACTAAGAATGATTTCTGTAATTATTTCTAAACTTAAATGTATCTGCCAGGTGTCTAGACCTCCATCCATTCAGCTGTATTATCCAATATATGGTCTCTCGGGAATTGGAGCCTATCCTGACAGGCAGTGGTCACAAGACAGTATACAGCCTGGATGGGACCAATGGATTTTAAAAGATATTTCATTTTTTTTTAATTAAGGAACTATGCAGAAGGTTTTGCTTTTATATGTATGATGTGTGGTAAATGAGCATTACTGCAGATTTGTCACTCTATAGCCACCTTGTATAAAGGATTTTGATATGGATCTGCAGCTGTTTGTTCAGGCTTCCATAAGTAACAGGCTAAATTGAAATTGACATTTCTGTTATTCGTTTTGAGAATTGGGTGATTTTACCAGTTTTTTTTATTGAGAATCTGTGACGAACGTCAATATCGCAGTTAGCCAACAAAAGAAAAGAATGAAAATTGTTTTAGAATAATGAAAAGTCTGTGCTTTCTCAATGCTCATATTTATTTAGTTTTTTTTTTTCTCAGAAAAGTCAAACAAAACTAAATCAGAACCAGGACTTAGATGTAAGATTTTTTTATTTCAATGACGCAAGATACACAGTGATGGGGAAAAAAAAGAAGTTTTTAAATAGTGGTGTTTGTTTTTCAGTCACAAGGTTGGGTCAGGTCCAGACAATGAAAGGAAGTATTCATGAGAGGTCCTTTTTGTTATGGGCACTCTTTATTCTGACATTGTGATAAAGGCACAAGGGCATAGTATGCAGACCAGAGTCTTCATAGAAACAATGCTGGTCTTCCAAGTGTAATGGCTAATAAGAAGTGGTCGTGTGGTAGAGTAGCCACACAATTCACCCAGTGTTTATCCAGTGTTTAGGAAGAAAAAAATGTATATAATAAAGATTAAATCTTACATGATGTATTGTATGCGATAAATGTATGCTGAAAATATTAACAGTAAGAGAGATTTAAATTAAGTGAGTCACAATTGGTATCAGTTTTCTGTGAGGTAGAGCAAAGTGGAAAACTATACTGCATTAGAATGGAAAACTGTCTTCAGCACATGTTGCCTTAGAATAAGCAATAAATACAACCCTGTCAGAGATTGTTTTTATGTCAATTAAGAATATTGAACAATTTTGCAATAAAGAAAATGCTTCCATATTTACTAGGCAGCATGAAAATGACTCAAAATATGCAACCAGGTGAAAGGTTAATAGAGGATCTTAGACTGGTCAAGTCATGTTCCAGTTTTAAATTCAATTGAACATGCAATATACATGATAAAGAAAATAAAATAAATCGGGCCACCCTGGGAATATGCAAGAACTTAAATTAGCCTTAGCACAGCATCTCATATGATTTTACTAAGTTCGTTAGGTTGCAGACTTTCGATTAATTGAGTCAGCGGGATAATTACTTAAAGTGAATGTCCAAAAACCTATGGCTCTTTAAAATAACTGGAATTAAGATAAAGTATGTTGTTGGTAAAAAAAAAAAAAAATTAATGTATGCATGCAATTACCCCAAAATAAAAATTAGATCGTGTTTATATTAATCCCAAATTGCTTGACTGTAAAGGAAAACAAATAACTGTTTTCACTGTGTTTACCCAATATTTTTGGAAGGTGCTGTTTATTGCAGTTTTCTATAAAAAAATAGCTTTGCATATAAGTCTGAATCAAGGAAATATAATTTATGACGAAAACTTTAAATAAGCATTCTCTCTTCTTAGGTGCTCTCCCAGGTTACGGTTTGAACACGTACTGTATAATATGCCTCTGCACAGTTCCGAGAGTTTTTAAAATGTTTAAAGAAAGCAGATACTGTATGTTACTTGTAAATGCCAGTTTTGTAAGACATACAGTCAAAGCATCTGTGAAGAGGAGCATTTAAAGTGTATTTCTCTAAGAGACTCTCTGGAACTCGTTAATAAACTGTGAGAAGCATCTTGGACTGCTTGGGGTTCCTTGTCAGATAAAACATTTAAAAATAACTAAATTAATTTGGTTATAAACAGAAGAGAAGTAAATGCTTTTGTCAGGAGTCAACAAAATAAAAATAGATTAGTACTGGCAAAACTAAAAAGGTCTCTGAATTCTGAGCAAGTTCCTTTGGTTAGACCAAGTATCTATAAGCTTAATAATAACAATGTAGTGCTTTTTTTACACTCCTCTCAAAGGGCTTAATACCAATGTGCAGCACTCACCTAGATTATGAAACGGCAGTGATAGAGCACACAGCACTCTCAGCACACACCAGCTATTAGTGGGGAGAAGAACAGAGTAATGAAGCCAATTCAGAGATGGGGAATATTAGAAGCCCATGACTGGTAAAGGCCAATGGAAATTTCTAAATTCCTGTCTTGGCCAGGACATTAGGGTAACACTCCTACTCTTTTTGAGAAATGCCCTGGGGTTTTTAATGACCACAGAGAGTCAGGACCTCGGTTTTGCCTCTCACCCTTTTAAAGTATAGTCACTATACTGGGGCATAAAGACCCACACAGGCAGCAGAGTGAGCACCCCCTACTGGCCCCACTTATGAGATGAGTAAACACCCCACAAAAAAAATCATTATTTCTGCATGACAGTAATTTTTTGTTGAAGGCTTTATACCCCCTGAAGCTGTGTTCATTAGGTAGGAATTGTGTCCTGGTTGTCCCAGCTGTCATATTTGGAAGTGGCAGCCTTATGGTCGGGGTGGTGTGTGGCACTGTTTTTGTGTAAAAGTTCAACAGGTTATTAAATGTGTTCAGTTATGTTGAAAAATGCATCAGATCCCTCCATTGGTATTTGTAATTCTACAAAATAGCTTAACCTTTCCAGTGAGCTTCCCAGCAGAATTCAATACTCATAGATAATTTGAAGAAAATGTTTTAGGAGTTTGTGTTATTCGAAGGCAGAAAGCTGAACGAAATAATCTGAAAAATAAAACATGACTGGAAATATAACCACCAGAGGGTATTGGGCACTGAAGGGTCAAAGAAATAAACCTTTTGATGTTTTGAATCTTTAACTTCAATAACAATATCCTGCTCATTTTATTCTTTTTTTAAATTCAGAATCCAAAATTTTAAGGGGGATCTAATTTTTGTGGCTGATTGTATACAAATCTGAGTATTCATGTTTCAAAATACTGTAATTTGCATTTTAATAGATTAAAATATTGAGAGCACAGGGTATTTTATACCCTGCATTATTTAATCTTTTCATCTTAATGTTGACTGAAAGTAGTTCAATGATGAATATTTAGTGTTTCTCACAAACAGAACCCCTAACATTTATACCCTTGGGATTTTGTTTGGTCAGATAATAAGGAAGTTTACATCACCCTAGCCCTTAAAGCACTGTTCCCACAGTATTGTCTTAAAGGCTCTTGAAGCACAGAAATCCAAAGTTTTCTTTCCCAGTACAGCATCATCACAGAAGCTATAGATTACACAAATTAACGGTTTGTGGAGAATGTTTTGATACCGTTTTAACTGTATATACAGTACAGTAACTGAAAAGTTTAATGGTTTTAGAATATGAAGCTGCGTCAGTGTCCACGTTGCTAAGCAACAAGTAGAGGTTAACTTGCAGTGTGGTATTATTACTTGTAATGTTTATACATTGTATATTAATACATTGCATAAAGATGTTTGGTTTAAGGAATATTTGCTCTATGTACAGATTGGTTATACCTGTTTTTTTTCACTCCTCTTTTCAGAATCAGCATTTCAGTGAAGATTTTATTGTAAACTCTGTACCTTTCGAACCTTAATTAAAATTATGGAGATGAGGTCATCCTAGTAAATTCTGGATTTTTGTTTGTTATATAAGTAATTTATGAAGGTTGTTCACAGTTTAAAGAGTCCAAGGGTCTTTAGAACCTGAGGTTCATTAAAGTGTCCCTGCAGAGTAGTCAGGAGCCTGATTTATTGTGAGGAAGACTCTTTAGTTACCTTGGTTATAGGAGTGCCATAAATCCAACCATGCAAAGCTGAAAGTTTGAGCCGTTTAAAATTAAATAAAAAGGGACATGTTTGACATTAAAGAAATTTTCTGAAAATGATGATGTGGCAATAACCTAAGAAAAAAGTCAAAACTGCGGATGAATGAGCAATGTGTAAAGGCAATTATCTTAAATTGTTCATTTAGAATATATCTGATCTCTGTCCTGTATTTGAGCAGATATCTGCATTAAAAAAATATGAATTGGCAATTATCTTCTTTTATGTACTTTTAAAATATTTGCTGAGACAGTAAAAGCCAAAGGATGCTATCTATGATTAAATCTTCAATTTGAACTGTAACTATGTCTTAAAGAATAAAGGGATTACCTTTGTACATGATTTAGAATGTGATTGTTAAATCTGAACACAGTTATCACCCTCTTTTATAAAGGGTGTGCACACTTATTCAACCTTTTTTTCATTTTTAATTTTTGTTCACTTTTTTTTACAATTTTGCACTTAAATATTGTTGGTTAAAAGATCTTATTAAAGATGTAAAAAGGTCTGACATAATTTCTCTTGATTTCAGCCTTTACATCAGCAAAAGCTAAAATTTCAAGAAGGGTGTGTAGACTTTTGATATTCACTGTATTTGGCATGTTTGTAGCTCTTACAAATGAAAATTAAAATACATTTGTTAGGATCAGGGTGAGAAGGTAATATAATGCATCATTGGATAAGCATTGGGAAAGACCCAACCATGGGTTAACCTTCCCAGTGTTTCAATACTCTTGAAAACAGGTGTCAGAAGCAAATAGCCCAGAAGCAGATAGTGAAGTAATGGAGGTGGGTTATCAAATTTAGATCTTTTTAAATACACTAACTGATAAAGGTAAGAAGCTTTGGAGAACAAATAATAGAAATCCCAAGTTAGTTTTTGTACATTAGCAACTTTAATGAAAAACAGGGAACGTTATGGTCTTTTTGTTTTAGGTATTTTTGAAGCTGTGGAGAATATTTCATGTAATTTTTTGCATTAGAGATTGTGGTGATAAGCCACGGAAACAACGTTCTGTATTTCTACTTTAGAGCATCGTTTGAGGTCTGGGTGGCACTATGGTGTGTCCAGTATTTACATGTGATGTTTTATTTAGACATTATTGAAAATGTTGTGCAGGAATTCCATCTGGCACCTCTCCAGCCACATTTCAGTGGGCCACTGCGGAGGCCAGTTATCAGTTTTATATCTGAGACCCAGTAATTCTAGTCTTTTACGTCAAGATTTTGATTGACATGTTCTATTTAAAACCTCATAGAGATACATTAAGGACAGCAAATTTAGTTTTCTTTAGCTGTTTGTATGTTTAGTCAATGTGATTTTCATTTTCCAGTGCTTTGGAACAGCATCCAGTTGCTTGAAAAGTGCTGTGTGCAGTAATTAGATATGTTTCCCTTGTGATTTTCTTATAGTGGGGAAATGCAGTTGCTAATAACTATTAACCACGTAGACAGACAGACAGAAGCAATGGCTTTCAAACATCTTAATATTGCAGAAACAGAAAGCAATTCTTTTGCACGCATCCTGACATGTGGACTGAGACCTGAGGCATCTAAATCCGGCATTTTATTTTCACATGAGACATATTCCCCCATGAGATTGGCATGTATGTCCTTTGTCCCAGCTGCCTGAGAAGTTGTCACAGGGTTATATTATTTCAGATTGCAGGCATGCTGTTACTCTTACCATGGCAAAACCACTGTGCCTGTTCCCTAGGTAATGAGCACGGTGTCTGGATTTGGGCCCCTCATCACTGCAGGTATCTTCTCCGCAACCCTTTCTTCAGCCTTGGCTTCACTGGTCAGTGCACCCAAAGTCTTCCAGGTCAGACATGTTCATTTATTTTCAACTCATATTTTCACTAAATGTATGTGCCATCATATGTTGGTATCAGTGTTCAGCACTGATGATGTCACAACTTAATTGCCTGATTTTCAAACGTGTCGAAATGTATTTAAATGTGATAAAAGCCCAATGTTGTGGGGGTAATTTAGTAGTTTTGTAATTAACACTATTACAAGTGGGGCGGGAGGGTTCCGAATATAGCGAAAATCAGGAACTGACCAAGCAAATACTGTAAATTTTAAAAGTAAAATAATCATAACCCCAACTTGTAAGGATTTTGCCAAGAAAGTACCTGAGCGGTTGGTATAGTTAGAGGCACATGAATTCTTTGTTCTCTGGCACAGCTTTGTTGAAAAGAATAATAATTCATGTACTTTTGGTCAAAACGTATTACTTAAGAACGAAAATGACACTGCACACAATATAAACATATAACTCGGACGTTTCTCTGTTAACACGTTTACTGGTGAGCTGTTACAGAGAAGTATGTCTACACTACCAGAAAAGCCCCAGATTGCTACCAAGTAATTGACTCTTAATTTCTAAAGAGGCCAAATGAAGAGATAGGATACCTTCTAAACCAAATGCATACAGTCTGTGGTTAAATCTCTCTCCGCAAACCTGGATACCACAAAATAAATGGGAACCTATCACCCTATTATAAAATGCACACAATAACCAGGAGAGGTCATTTTTAATCTAGAGATTCTTCAGTCAGGAAAGCTGAGTTCCCAAAAAACACTGAATATCAGGCTCTTTTTACGGGGTTCAAATACTTACCTTTAGCTTCAATCTGGTCTTCCTGGTTGATCTCGAACAAGAAACTCCCTGGCACACACTTTGTTCTATTACGGTACCTCCTCTCTTGTCATGTGCTGTTCTGATCATCTGTTCTCTTATATGGTGTCTTTGTGCACTGTTGATTGTCACTTAATCATTTACGCAGAACTTAAGGTAAACCAAGGAAAACTTTACATTTGCTTTAATCATTGAATTTGGACCCCCTACGTCTCTGAAAACATCCTTTTTTGTTGACACGGTGGGAATTACCCCTAGTCTCCTTGAGACACTTCCATAGCTCCAGCAAAATGCAAAAACCATTCTTGCAATGACTGCCATTAAAACACAAACAACAACAGTGATGTCATAAACTGTATTCTTGCTCCTTGTATTCTTGGTGTTGGCCACTGTGCGTCTTTTAAGTGTAAGAGCATAGACAAAGTGAGCTAGAGCTTAAAACTTATTAATTTAAATACAAATATTGTTACTTGAGGTATTTTTGCAACAAAAAAACAGGAGTAAAAGCAGGGTGTCACATTTTTTTTACACTCTTATGTTTTCATAACATTTCTGATGTTTAACTGACAGTTTTGGTGATTTTTGTAAATTTGTGTTTCATTGTGTTAAAATTTGCAAAAGAGAGGAGGCCTTTTGCTTTATATTTCTTCTTTTACATCCAGGCTTTGTGCAAAGACAATATCTACCCTGGTCTGAGCATGTTTGCCAAGGGGTTTGGGAAGAACAATGAGCCACTGCGTGGGTATATTCTCACCTTCTGCATTGGTCTTGGCTTCATTTTAATTGGTGAGTTCACATTCTACAAATGTTCTGGCATTTTTGGAGCAGGTTTGGGAGATAGTCATCTTCTCTGTGCACGATGATTATTTTTTCATTGTTTCCTGAAAGCTGTGGCATTTTTAAATGGCTCAATTTGTGAACAAAATGGATTTGTTTGAACAGCTTCACAGCAGGAAGATATTGTTTGGTTTACATTTTCTTTCCTTTTAGTCGAAAAGGGACAGTCATGACCCCAAACAGCCTTTTCCACCAGCAGTAATTCCAGTGACTTGGTTGAATAATCCAACTTGTTTTCTGTACGGTACACCCCCAGACAGTGATTATAATCCAGTCGCTAGAACACAAAAGTATGAAATTGGCAGAGACTCAGCATTAAGTTTGTGAAATTCTGAAGTATACTGAGCAAGGCTTATTGTCCCGAGTCAGAAATCTACTTGTAGATCTGTTTGATTCTGGATTGAATCTCAGTATTGTAATAATTTACTGGTATTTGCTGTGAGATGATGCTAAGGCTGTTGAAGTCCTTTAAGATTTAGTTTAAGGATTTAGGTTTTATTAAAAGACCCCAAGGTACACTGCAATTGTTTTTACTGGGTACCTTATTATAGTAAATCACTGCATTTGAGTGCATATCAGACCTGAAGTAAGGTCAAGACAGTTTATATTCAGTCATTGATAGACATTAGGATCTATTCGTTTTTCTGTCATGTTCATAGTTTGGCGGAATGGCACTAATATGACACAATTATTTGTGTAACATAAGCCCGAGGGAAATTTTGCAATCAAGAAAAAGTCTAAATTTAAGCTATTAAAAGATCAGTATGTAGTAGCAGGCAATTATGATTGAATCTGTATGGAAGCTGCACAGATGGAGTACATGGAAGGTGCACTCCTTTTTATGCCTTTTCCTTACCCTCCTCGCTTCTTTTGCACCAGCTCCTTGAGTACTTGTTCCGTAGTTTCATCTGTATAGACAAATGTGTTGTTACCTCAACCGAGTGAGTCAGTGCTAAATTAGGCTCATTACTTGCTCATGACAATTTCACATTGATATGAAGATTTGTCTCAAGCTCATGATTGCCAGTTAACAGGTTTACAGCAAACACAGCTGTTTGAAGTCAGGTTTGTAGTGACTGCATGTATATTTCATTGACGTGCGCATAAGAGTAAATCTCTTAACAACATCACCTTGATAAATAAAATAATCGATGAAAGTGCGCTCGCAGAACATGAAAAGTAGTGATGTTTGCACGTACACATTCAATACAACCTGTGGACATTTTTATTTTCTTAAGTGGATATGCCTTTTTTATTGATTTTACTTTTTCTTTGTTGTGGATTGGTTTAGGACAGCTGAAACATTTGATACGGTATTTTGAAAATATTATGGCAATCCCATGAATAACGCTCATTTTGGTAACCGATAAAACAATCTTACATTTCTCTTGTAAGCCATGTTTGTCTTAAAATGAGTTGAACCGTAGGAAAAAGGTCTTTGTTTTTGTTTTCCAGGTGACTTGAACACCATTGCTCCCATCATTTCCAACTTCTTCTTGGCCTCTTATGCCTTAATCAACTTCTCTGTATTCCATGCGTCTTTGGCCAAGTCTCCAGGTAGGAACTTGTCAGAAATCTTAAATGCATGTCACAAATGGCTTTTAGACTGAAATGACTTGCCTTCACAAAGTTTTATCTTCCAGGAGCCTTTTCATTTCCTTTTCACACTGATAAATTCTAGCATAATGTCCAAGTCTTGATAAGGATTTATTGCCTTGGATGTTTATTACAGTATTAGAGTGTCTTCACAGAAGAAAGGGATCTGAATGAATTCTGTAGGTAACATGGATGCCAGTTCTTTATTTACCTCTTTTTAACAATTTTTTTTTACTACAGCTACAATATATAAACAAGATTTGATGTAATCATGCAGGGAAATAGCCCCATTCATTAAATATTTGCATATGCAATGTGCAAATATTTAATCCTTTTGAAAAACACAAGTATATAATGTGACTTTTTAAGTGTAATTTAAGTTTTTAAATGGATATTTAATTGTAGGTTTGTTATAGATACACTGTATATGTCAATTGCTACAGTTGTAACATTTTTGTAGATTTTGATGGTTTATTTGTGGTTGACCTAGACTGTTTTTATAGCAAATGTGATAAAACGGCAAAGTATAGCCTGTACGTATTCACAGCCTAAACAAGGATAGAACCTTTGTGCCTATGTGCTTCACATTCTCTGAATTGTGATGTGATAGTAAATGGAATAACACCATTCCATGTTGTGTGGAAAAAGAGCTATTTTAGTTCAGTTATTTCCCTTTGCTATTGTATGAAGGGGAAAACCTCAGGAGGAGCCATGTCCCAAGAGAAGACCGTTTTTGGCAACTGGATCAAAGGCCATTTGTCAGACCTTTCCAGGAAAAAAAAAATGTAGTTACATAGGTATCTTAATGAACAGAATGGAAGAACTGGCACGGATGAGCTTGTCACATAATTGAGGAAAAGCACGCAGTTATTTATATCATACAGTGTCAGGAACTCATACAGTCAAACTCAAAAAGGCTTTGAATACTGTTATTAACCTGTGTTTTTCTTAAGATCAAGCATTTAAAGATTTTACTTCCTCTTATGCTGTAGTGTGAGTTTCTTCAGTTACAGCAATGTTGTATTTAAAACTTCAATTTCATTCTCTGGTTTCTGGTATTTTTTGGTTCACAGTGTGACAAGGTTGTTTTAAGCATTGCAGGTCAGACACATTGTGCTCTGCAGATCTCATTTTAAAAACATCAGTCAGTTCTTCATCACACTTCATTCAGATTATGGGAAATGTACTTAATTTCAAGTACCAAATCTATTGCTCTTACAGTGAATAAGTAAGAATGTCTTATGCAAGTTCAAAGAGTCAAATAGTAACATGTTTATAATACTTATGTTTAATGTATGAACTAAAATAATATAAATTCTAGGGTGGTACTGTTTTACTCTATGTAGTTGTAATTTACGTATCTCAGGATTCAACTATCATTAACTAATTAATAGTGTTATATACTGCATGCTTTTCAAAGAAAAGCTTTTTTGTAGTATTAATTGAACATTATATGAAAATAAGTAAGCTGTGTCTGTATTTGCTGAAATTAGTAGCCTCTTTTGGTGAATTCTGCGCAAAAGAAACAAGGATGTTTTGTTGCTAAAAAAGTCATTTTTTTCTGCATTTGTTTCTGTTGCTGTAATTTTTCGTGCTTCTTAAATTAAAACTTTGTAACTTGGAACATTATAGAAAATTCTCAAAATAGTCACAATAACTTATTGTGATTTAACTGATGACTTCTAAATATACCACATATGAAATTTATTTAAAATGCTAAAAAGATTACTAACCAAAAAAGTCAAATATATTAGCAATCAGATGGAGTGAATGTCAGAAGACTGCAATTTTAAATAAGAATGTGAACTTACTTGAAGAGACAGGGACATTTTTATTTGTCATTTTATTGATTATTCATGTGGTGTTTATCACATTGTTTAAATAATGAATATTTTTTCCCCTTTTACCAAAGTTTTAGAAGAAGACCAGGTACATATTTTATACGTCAAAGATGCATTGTTAAAGGGAGCATTGGGAGTTTATCGACAATAAAGCAAATAATACATAAGGTTAAAGTTCTCATAGACTTGCACGTACTACTATGCATGTAAGTTAATGATAAATACCACTATTATATTTTGTCTTGCTATGCCCACTTTCAGGTTAAGTGTACTTGGAGCTCTGAGACATTGTCCGAGTCATGCAATTTTCTTTAAGGATCCATCTATAAAATTGTAATAAAGAGTAAACCAGTCTTTTCCAGATCATATTTAAATAACAAAAGAATGTTGCTCTTTGTTATCTTTACTTTTGTGGGTTTGCTATGCTTAATGTCAGTCTGTTACAATGATATCTTATTCAAGTAGAGTGAATTTGATTATCACTCAATATTAAAAGAAATTCTCAGTTTAACTAGAGAAGGCATGGATTACGTGCTTACCAATGTCGATTACATCTTCTATTTACAGTTTGCAAACCTGGTTAGTCAGACAGGTTGAACCAAAAACTAATTTGTTTAATCTCGCTGAAAAATCACATTTCAGATGTGTACATTATCCACCACATTACACATTTCTGATTTACAGAAAGGTTCCACATTACTGTCTTTTGTAGACTAAATTATCCTATTACTTATATAAAATTGTGTGTGCTGTTATTTTTTTGCCATGAAATTTTAAAGAAAATCGTTAGACCCCAATGCTGTACCAATAAATTCACAATCAAGAACGGAGCCAGCAGTGATATAGTTCTAAGTGTAAATGTTAAGAACAGTGGTCAGTGTTGGACCTGCTGAGCTACCGTTACCTAACATTTGCCCAACACTTTGTGCTGTAGTGTGACCTCCTTACTTTCTGTAACTAAGAATTCCATTGTACCAGTACATGTACCGGTTACATATAGCAATAAAGTTCAAGTCAAGTATACATACTTGTAAATGTGCTGTGTGCTATGTATACAGTAACAGTTACACTTGTCCTCGCTGCATCTATTAATACATGAAGTCATTTTTATAAGTATTAAGCTGTTTTTTCCGATTAAGTAGTACTAACTGTGAAAGCAGAAAAATGGCCAGTCTTATTTGTCAAAAGCTATCTCATGCTGTGCACAGTTTGTTTTTTACAAAAAATCTACATAATTTGGCAATTACTGTGCCAAATTCCTATTCCTGATCTCTATGGGATGTTCACAGAACCTGGATAGACATTACTCAGTGCTGCTTTTGCAAGGTGAAGATTGCTAATTTTGCAGTTTGGTACTGTGCTGAATGTAACAAAAAAAACCTATTCATTAAAAATAGTGTCAAAGCAGCAAGGTAGGATACTACATATTTTATTCTCGATCTACACCCAATATACCCTTTAAGCCATCTGCTGTACTCTTAGTAGTTGGTAACAACCTAATAGAATGATTAAGTAGCACATAGTATTAGAGTATCACTCTTCCTGAACTAAAAACAATTTTTAGTGTTATCCTTGATGCTTTTTTTTCCCTTTAACAAAACATAGAGGATCTAATTTCTAACTGTAGTTCTAACTTTGTCATTTTTTTAGTGCAAAATTTTACTAATTCCAGAAAATTTCAAATCACTTTTCTAAGTTGTTTCATAAGACTATATCCTTAATCATTTGCGTTTAGATTTGGTTAAAAAGAGGAGCAAATCTGCCCTGGAGCAAAATGCTTTGAAAATGTCTGTGTGTTAGTTTGTATTTTTAAATACAATACCATACCATTATCCTACCAATTGCTTTTTTGTGTTTTGAACAAAATGCTTCTTATCTTTTCTTATTTAACAGTAATGTGAAGCAATACTGTTTTTACAGAAGTCCTGAAATGCCGACATTTATTTTTTTCTATCAAAAGGCTGGCGCCCTGGATTCAAGTACTACAACAAGTGGGTCTCTTTGGTTGGAGCCATTATGTGCTGTGTGGTGATGTTCATTATTAACTGGTGGGCAGCCTTGCTGACAAATGTCATTGTCATGGCCTTGTATATCTATGTCAGCTATAAGAAACCAGGTAAGAAATTTACTGGAGGTACAACACCATCTGTTTCATTAAAAATGCAGAGATATACCTGAGTGTTTAGATCTTTTTCTTCCATACTGTGTGTAAAAATGTTCTATTTATACCGTTAGGCTATTGTACTGTATAAAATATATTTGTTTTTAGACATAATCAGAAATGGTAAGTTAGAGATAATAAAGATGTAGCAGTATTTTGTTTACTGTCTGCACTGTCTGTACACTGCTGTGTAATATGTGTTTATTACAGTGCACACAGTATTACAATTTTTAAAAGAAATAAACAGGGGTTTTAACACTCTAATATTTTTGTATTTATAGCACTAAATAAACTTAAGTACAAATTAATACAGGGTACCTTGCATGATCTGAGTATTTAGTGACGAAGGATCAGGGTATAAGTAATAAAATATGTCTCCCACATTCTGTTTGTTCCTTATTACTGGCCAATGTAGCTGCAACACTTATGCAAATAAGGAGTTACACCCAGTGTGCTTTCACAACAATATTTAAGCAGAATTTACAAATAATGAAAAGGGGGCAAAAATAATTATTGAAACATCAGAGTATCTGTGGCCTTCTAGAGCAGAATAAATTAATGATTTGCATCCAAATGAAAGCTTTATTATTAGATAAAGTGAATAGGGAGTTAGGCTGTGACCTAAATCTCAGTAATGTGACTGGCCATGACACAAAACGGGTTCAGATACAAATTCAGCGTTTAAAAATTACAGTAGTGCAATGCTGATAAACTGCAGTTCAGCAGACAATACGCCATCTTTTAGAAGCTATTTCAAAAGCTTGTGCAGTATGTTTTGAAATTTTGCAAAGCATTTTCACTCAGTGAAACTAGTCTGTTTAAACCACAATAGTAACAATATATCGGGAAAAAATATTAATGTATTAATGGAGATAGCGTTTCATAACTTGAAATTGTGCTATTTTATAAATGCTGAGGGTGACTGAAAAACTAAAGTTGTATGAAGTTAGGTGTAATGTTTGCCAGCTTCCTTTGTTGTACATTAAAAAATGAACTAACAAAGTTAGAGAAGGTCTTTATTGTGGCCCATCCCCTCGATCCTTCTATAGTCCTTAAATAGTGGGCACAGTATGGATTTAAACCAAAGATCAAGTGCAGAACTTGACAGATAAACAAAATATCAATGTAAAACTAAAATTAACTCTGATTAAGGCTGAAATCTGGACTATCTTGATATTTTAAACAGGAGGTATTTAATTACTCCTGAGTAATTACATCTTCTTGTAGTCCTTTTAAATATGTTGTTCATCTCTTCTTACCTGCTAATGATTTACATAAAAGCATAAGATTATGTGTTCCTAGTTATGCCCTCTCTCATCCCTCCACAACATAAGCAGGAGTGAAATCTGCAGGCTTTTATGACTCATTGTATGCTTTTCTGGTATGTTTTTCATATTCATGGTGTCAGGTTCTCAAGTCCCCTAAGAGCTTTTTTGCCCTTTGAATTTTTATTGCTTGAGTGATCAGTCTGCAGGTTTTTCTAGGTGAAGGAAAAGGCTTGAATTTTTTTAAGATCCTTAAGAGATTGTTAAAAGCATCTGTTGCTTTTGCAGAAAGGTAATGCAGTAATTGCTAAATTATGTACCTCTTAATTTCGGATTCTGAGAGAACATTTCCGTTTGTGTATTTGCATATAATTTGGCATCATAAATTGTCTCTCCTGAAACACTTTTTTAAAATAGTATGCTTGGATGCATTATGATGCACCATCTCTCCCTGAAAGATCTTTTAGATTTCATCTATGAATCTTCTAAAAATTACTGTATTATTAAAGACTGTAAATATTGATGGTGAGTGCAAAAGTGTGAGTTTAATGAAGTAATGCTTTTTATACATTAAGAATATTTTTAAAATACTGAAATTTAAAATCTACTAGAATTGTTTTCTAGATTGCTATTGCTAGAAGGAGGAAATTAGTTTAGAAGATTTAATCTTTAAACTATTATCAATGGATAAAAATGGCTTTCACCGGAATACACTAGTGGGACATATGTTTCCATTTTTCCTTAAAAGTTACCATATTATATGCAACACATGTACTGTACAGGCACGCACTTGCATAGTAAACGTTTTCAATTTCTTCTGTTACAGCTAATTTATTTGATTCTTATTGAGTCTGACCTTCTTAATTGTTTTTGGCAGTGGAACCAGACCACCTCTATGTAATATGTTTTTAGTCCTAAGTAATTGACCATTGGACATGTGGTGGCAGCTGGTTACTGTACATAAACAATATACAACTGGCTAAACCACCCAGGGTAATTTTAAACCCACCATTTAAATGTTAGAGATGTAACACTTGAGGAGGAAGTGATGACAATTCTGATGTTTATGTACCAAGTAAATGCCATCTGTTTTGATTTATATTTTTTAAGTGACTATTTGCGTGTGCATTAAGAGCATGTACTTGCAGTGTGGAGAAGACTGATGTAGATCTGCTTTACAGATGTCAACTGGGGCTCTTCCACACAAGCCTTGACGTACCACCAGGCTCTCTCACACTGCATACACCTCACTGGAGTGGAGGACCACATCAAGAACTTCAGGTCATTTACAGTTTTATGCAAGCAGTTCCTGAACACGTACCTTCTTTCATGCAGGAGTTTTCCCACTCGGAATACAGAATATTCCCCTTCATGAAACAAAATACACCTACAGAGGTCTTGGCTAACCTCGCATATGTTTAATACGATGTGACACAATACAACACAATGCAATCAAGACACAAAAAGGAACTGATTTTGGAATAGATATTTGGTTCAATGAACCTGAAAACAGTGAAAATTGTTTCTCAGTCAATTGGATGCTTAGAACTGCCAAGCTGCTTTTCTAAGAAGCTGTGTATCACTTCAAGGTCCGGGACATTTTCAGCAATTTTGTATTAGTTTTGTTGGAATATTTATACATGAAATTGAAGTGCTATCCCTGCTCAAATTCAGGGCACTGATTCCTGCCCTGGTCCATAGATTGACCTGAGTTTGAAGCCTGTGAAGCATTAAGAAGCCAGTATTAATATCTAATAGAACCTAAAACCATTAAGAATAGTAATATTATTGCCACAGCTTAGAAAGCGTGTACTCCTGTTCCAAAATACCCTTTTACTGTATATATTTTATATATATTTTGTTTTTAACCTGGCCTAATTCCTTATGTCTTCATCTCTGTTCTTTTTTGCACAACTAACTTCTATTAGTTTCTCTAAAGGACTTGTATGTCTATTTTTGTCCCAAATAAATCCTGTCATTTTACAAAAGCTTTAATAGATCTTTAAGAGCTTGTGGATACATAGGTGGTCGAATAAATAGATGTTTTTTTTTTTAAATCAGGCATAATTCGTTTCTAAAGTCGAACTTTAAAGTAAAGTCAGTTTAAGAAACTTGCTTAGGTTGTTAACCTACTAAGTTCTAATTTCTCCTTAACTTCTTCAATGTAAAAAAAATGTCATGAGCAACATAGCTTTCTATTCAGAAAACTGTATTAGTATGTAGCCTTTGTTTGTCTATGCTTTATTTTCGTGCACTACTTTAACAGTATCTGACCGTTCACTGCAGAATTAAGTTGAGGGAGAAAAAAGCTACTGAAACTATGAAAATCTTTTTAATCCCCAAAAGCTTATATTAGTGTGGTAAGAATGTAACAGCCTTCAGATGACGATGTGTGAATAACTATAGATTAATTATTTCTCTAGAAAACCCCAAAAAGGCTATTTTTGGAAATAATAATTTGGTTTTCAGGATAGTGTTGAGAGGTTCTCTGTGTCTGCGTGATTGTAGCACAAATTATGTAGCACAAATTACTTATTCATGATTTCTAAGAAATAACATGCAAATCCTCTGGGTTTTATTTATTAAATATAAAATTGTAATTCAACGCAATCTTTCAGTGCTCTTCACTTAGTTTGACCTCTGCTTTTCTTATATACACCCCCAGATGTTACCATGGGAATGTGCTTTTGTGAGGATTAAGTATTTGCTTAAAATGTCCTCATAATTAAATGTTTCACTTATGTTTGACGGTTCGTCATCTTAAGTATTTCATAAATCCTTGCTTTGATGTACTCTTCCTTAACTTTGGTAGTTTCAGTGCCAAGATTTTTTTTACATTTTTCACTGCTTAATTTTGCTTAATTTGGTTTATTAAAAAGTTTAATGATTTACTAATGATGATTAACTATGGTACTACTTTTACAAATACTTTTCTGTTCAGATTTTTTAGTTAAAAACTCAATAATCCTTAAGAAAAGGCCAACATTGTCGTAAATGTGCAGTATCAGTTTTACCAGAGAGCAGAGTGTGTTTGTCTCTTGGTAACCATCCCTTCAGCTCAATGAAAACTTGTCATTGGCAAGTACACAGAAGGGTTTTCTTTGCTTAATAAAACCTTGTCATTTGCAATATTAACATTTTTTTGTTTTCCCACAGACCCCAGTGTTTGGTGATGACTGGCTATCCGTATGCTCGTCCTGCGCTGCTCAACCTAGTTCATGACTTTACTAAAAACGTTGGGCTTATGGTCTGTGGACATGTCCGGATGGTAGGTGTCAAGACTGTGTTTTAGTAAAGACTTAGATGAGAGTAACTGAACAAAGCTGAAGCTCTCTAGTCTAAAAGGCTGGTGGGTTTCATGCTGAAAGCACTTAATTTTGTCCATGTAGTTTTGTAATTATTATTCCAAATAGCAGCCATTTGTGAGGTGGTTGCCACAGAATTTGAAGATTTAGGTTATGAAGTTTGAAGTTTAGTTTGCAAATCTTATTTTATGAGATCAGCAACAATACCTAAATTTAGATGCAAAGAAACTGATGTTCCTTTTTAGAAGTATGAGGATCACCCCAAAAAGGAAAGCTGCCAATTTCTTTTGTCATTTATGTCATTAAACATTTATGACTAATGTTTAATGGCAATTCAAATTGGTACTTAACCAGCTATGTTTTAGATTTTAAATCACTTTCACCGAAGTCCCCATGTGTTCTTTTAGAGGTCTTACTAGTTCATTGTATAATCTGTATACCCTCAATTTATTTATTTGCCTTTTATTGCCTCTTGACATTAAGATGAAAATGTTAACATAAACACTGGAGCTTTCATATACAACTTCCAATTTCCAATGTTGCAGCTATAGAATGATATTTTTGCTTTCTATGATATTCTGCACTTGTCCACACTTAAGTTGCCAAGTGTTTTTCCAGTCCCGAATTTTGTCTGTTTTTATTCCCTTTGCAGCTTCTGCATTGTTTGCTCAACTTCCTATTTTGGCATCATCTGCCAACATTACTAGTTTGCTAATTACACCTGAATCTAGTTTGTTGTTCAATTTAGAATGAGCAGTGGTCCTAAGACAGATCCCTGTTGCACACCTCAAATGATATCACCCCACTTTGAACGTTTTACCCCCTATTAGTGCTCTACTTTTACTACACATTTACCAGTTTTTAATCCCAGCAGCACGCATTACCTTGTTTGCTCCCCTCAAATAAAGCATACTGGATTGTGAGATTTCTTAAGTTTCATGTAATTCTAAAAGGTAAAGGTTTTAACAAATGAGTTATGTAATGAGGGAAAATTGACATACTGTATATAAGTTGTAGACTAAAATCAGAAGCAGAAAGTTATTATCCAGTGTTTTGCGGTGGTGTCTGATGTGTATTGCATTTGAGAGACTTAACAGTCTTGTTGTTTTCCCAGAGTGCTCGCAGGCATAACTTCAGGGAATTGGCGAATGACCAGACTCGATACCAGCGCTGGCTTCTGAAGAACAAAACCAAGGCATTCTACACTCCAGTTTATGCAGAGGACCTACGACAGGGAGCTCAGTATTTGTTACAGGTAGGAATTGATCCAGTAGTTGACTTGTTAATTTGTGTCATTAGCTTTTGTAGCAACATGTTAGGGAAAATATTTTGGATATTTGATGAATATTTTTAATGATAATGGTGACATTAATAACATTTTATTGATATTCCAATGTTTTATGAGCAAAGGTTTTGCTCACGTTTCAATATGACTGCCCCAGGAAGGGAGCTGAAGATAATTGCTCTCTCAATGGGGACAGAACTTGTCATTGTCATCCCCTTAGTAAAACAAAAAAAGTCTGTGAATGCACTTTGAGGACTGTTAATTAGTACATTTTGATCAGCATTTATTTCTATACACTGATTATATGCAAATAATACCTGTATTCATTAGAATATTGTGGTTCAAGTTATTTGAAATTGAAAAAAAAATGTTTTTCAGCTATTTTTTTCCGGTGCAAATTTTACTTATTTTCTGTATCTCCAAATAAAATACTTAAGATCTTAAACCATGTGTGTCTGGAGAAATTACAGTGGGTTCGTGTCTGACGTGAGTTTGAAATACACATATTTAAAATAACGCCATATTTTTTTGTTTAAATTAAGTAGCACGGTTCTAAATAATGCGTGCCGCATAGTTACACCGTTGGCCGCCCGATGCTCATGGTGCGAGTGTCGCGTTGGAGAGTTAGGAGTACTGGTACGCTGTGATGCTGTTGTCTCGGGCCTCAGTCTGCCGCGTGGCATACTACGGTATAGTCGTCTCAAGTGCAGTTCTGTTTCAACAGTGTTATTTTACCCCGTAAACATTCTTTTTGTGTGCAATTTGTGTTTCAACATGGCTGGCAAGCATCCTGCGAAGAGTGAAAGTGCCAGTAGTGGTGCAAAGTGTGCAGGAAAGTCTATTTTGTTAGAGATGTAGTTAGATGTGATAGCGCAATACGAGCGTGGTGAGAGCACATTATGCATTGAATAATTTTTCTCTCTCATTTTCTCTCACTCTCTCTTTCAAATTCCCTTTACAGAAAACATAACTGATGCTTACTAATATTTTATGTATTTTTACGTATACATGTCTGTGTTAATTATGTTTTTGTTTTATACATGTTACAAGTTGATGTGTTGAAGGTATTTAGCGTATGGCATTTCCCATCATTCACGCCTATAGGGTGGAAATAGGGTCAAACGTACGCGTGCGGAACGCAACTATGGTATTTACCATTATTTTAAATATGAAAAATTTGTTTAAATTACGCAAAATTTACAATACAATAAAATGTTACAATACAATAACGTACAAAGCAGGTTTCCAGAATGCAACCCTCACATAAATTGAGAACCCTCTGTATATAGATTAATAAATGTAAATGTACAATCACCTTGAGGATACCAAGAACAAAACCTGCTCATGGTGTTGTACTAGTTGCAGTAGCACCATGGAAGGAATTAAATAACAGTTAATTAAGCATCATTCAACTTATTTGGTTTCTGTTGTAAATGCATCTAGAATAGTGATGGTAGTGCCTAGATTCCCTGCAAATTGTTATAACACTCAACTCAAACATCTATTTTTCAGGCTGCAGGCCTGGGGCGACTGAGACCAAATACATTGGTAGTAGGTTTTAAGAACAACTGGAGAGAAGGTGATATGAGAGATGTCGAAACCTACATTAACATGATTCAGTGAGTAGAATGCATCTCATATAGCTGTAGTATATTGTGGTTTTTTGTGACTTTTTTTTTATTTTTTTTTTATTTTTCAGAGCTTGTCTTAGGTACTCTTCTGTTGTAGGTTTTTCAGTACAGGGAAAAGCACAGCAGACTTCACATTGTAATTTGTTTAACCAGAAAGATTTGACATTTTATTCAACAAAAGCAAAAAGCAATTAGAAGGGATTTGGGAGAGTTTACTCATGGAATGCATTTTAGCACTTTCTAGAATCCCTTTCTTATTACAGTGCAAATATTTAAACACATTATCATAAGGTCATTTCCAGAGTCTCTGTGTCTGCTAAGTAAGAATGTGCAGTACTAGGTAGGTAAGGCTGAGGACCAGTGGGCTGTGTAGACGACATCCAAGTGTATTTTTATTCCTGCAAGTTTGGTGCCGTTTTTGAAATTTAGAGGACTTTGTGAGGAAGAATCCCTTAATTTGAACAAATGTTCGGAAATTTTCAGTTTATCTAAACGTCGTCTGAAACAAAATTCAGATTTTTTTAGTTTTGGTGGCATATGGAAGCCATTGTAACAGTTGAATTTTAGAACCTTGTTCCGTTTAGAATAGTTCTCAAGATTATTTGTTCTACACGTGGACAATTAGGGTTTAATTTAGCATTATGTTTACAGGTCTGTATCTTGTTGAAGTTTCCATGTCAAAACCACATCCTGAAGTGAAACGCAAACGAAATTTATTTGTGTTTCAGTGATGCGTTTGATTTCCAGTATGGAGCAGTTATCCTAAGGTTGAAAGAAGGACTTGATGTTTCCCATATTCATGGTCAAGGTTGGTCTTCTGGTTTTTTTTTCCATCTATTGCTTTGATCAGCGTAGAATATCCTAATTTTCCCGTCTTTGTCCATTATACTGTATCTGGTGTCTTGTATCCATTGTTTCTTAAATGCTATCCAATACTATCTAAATATTCAGGAAAATATGAACACTAAAGTGAAGTCTTAAGGTTAATTATGAAAATACAGCAGCTTCTTCTAAACTGGCAAAGCTTGTTTGTGAAGTATTGTGCATGAAACACCAAATAATAGCACTGATATCTACAGTATATATTAGAAATATTAACAGAGAATAAGGGCCTAACATAACACATTTGTCTAACTATTTGAAAATACACTGCTGTTTCATAGAGGTGATGTAAAGTTCTTTGCCCTCTGATTGACCTTTTATTTTTGATTTGTATGCTTATCTGATATTTGTTTTATTATTTTTAGCTCAGATGTAAAATGGCACATCAAGCAAAAAATTTCTGAATCATGGAGTTAGAAAAAATAAATAATTAAGCAAATAGAAAACGAAATAATTGCTGTAAATAATGCAAGTTTTGTAGTTTGTAAGTGTTTCAAAATTGCATGCTTTATGATATTGATTTAAGCTATTCATATTTAGATAAAATCTGATAATGAAAGATTATGTAGTTCTTTCTGAAAACACTGTTTGAAGCTTTTGTAATTTAAGAGATGTTTTATTATTAGAATAAACAATGTCAAATCTAGATTCATTATTGCACAAAGGCAAAGCTTCAATTCATGATAGGTCTTAGTGAAACATTTTATTTCTCCATGACACTCCATTTCTTCAGCTGGGAAAGGACTCAATTGACCTGGCCTTTAATGATCTATAGCTGAGTGATTTGCACATTTTTTCTCAAGTCTGTCTAGGGAATCAAGCATAATTTCTCCAAATCTCAAACTGTCTTCATAATATTCACGGTCATTTTAACATGAAAACACCAGGCTAGAATCTGGGAAGGAAGGTTTAAGCTCTGGAGGTTTTTGAGAAATCTCTGAAATAGGTGGTTCATTTTTTTCCTTCTAAATTTGCTTTTTAAATGCCTTGTTCCCTTTTAAGTTATTTTTTATTAAATGCACAGACTCATCTTAATAATTATTAGGTTCATTTTATCACTGTAGACTCCCACTAGAATAGCACAACTTCGTTCTCCCTTGTAGATGAGCTGCTGTCATCTCAGGAGAAATCTGGGGGGATCAAGGATATTGTACTGAATCTTGAATCTGGCAAAGACTCTGACGCAGACTCCTCTAAACCTTCGTCTAAAGCTCCCAGCACTCACAACAGCCCAGCTGTGCAAAAAGGTAATACTTTCTTTTGGTAAAACAGCACCACACTGCTCTCTTTGCATAGATAATCTGTAGGAATGTAAAACTGGATGATTTCTGTTTAATTGTGGACCTCTTATAGTCTTTCAGAACGGGTTCAAGGTAAACTTTTTAAAAATGGTTTCTTAATTGTAAACCCTAGGAAATGTATGTGCCCCATGCAGGAGCCTTCTGTTAAATGGATTGGGTATTTTATCAAGTTTAAGGGACTGGAACATGTATGAGATTCCAAAACTGTGTGCCACTTTTTTTAAGTGGTGTAAATGTAAGTTCTGATAACATCTCAGGGTATAATATTTTGTTCAGATAGTTCCAGTATATGAGACTACTGTAAGAAAGCAGAGAATACATCTTTGTGCATTATTTTAGTATTATAATAAAATATTTTACATTAAACTGAAATAATCAAGACTCTGTTTTTCCAATGGGTAGCAAATTGCCCAAATAGCTTTTTTTCCCTTTTGGTTTTAGCTGATGCTTATATGGAACAAACAATAAGAGTAATTTTATTTAAGTGTTGGGTTTGTACTTCTGTATTAACTATTTTTGTTTGGAACACTTTTCACTCTATGCACTCTATGCTTTAGCATTTGTGAAGAAGGTTTTAATTAGCTGCAAAAAAGAAGATGTAGTTAAAAATGGCATGGATTTAGGGATATACTGTATATCCCTCTCAGTATTTTGGGCTAGTTCAACATCCCCTTTCAGGATGTTGAACTAAAGGAGTATATTTTCTTGTGTTTTTATTTCCCAAAGGCATTCCTCCTTATTCGTGAAGTATAAACATGTTTACTTCAGTGAACTCCTCTTTCTTTGGTCCCTCAGAGAGATAGCTGTCTTATGTCACAATGTGACCTTCGTATTTCTCAGTTTGGCCTCCTCTACACGTCTGCATTAAAACACGCACAGCTTTCGTTCGTCCCACTTAATCATAAATCTGTCCTAAATAAACGGAAGGAAAAACTCCCCCAGTGCAAGCCTTTCCCTGAATTTTGAAAGCCCGATACTTTCGAGTGTAGCCTATAATTTACAGTCAGAATGAGTTTATAGACCCAAAAATTATTCCTCATTAATTACTTCCTCGAACGATGAGAATTTGTGTAACCTTGGAATTGCTTTGACCTTTTGTGGCAAGAACCACATGACTTGAACAGATATTTATCATAAGCCAGTGAACCATTCATACTATGGGTCATTTGATAAATCTAGGATAAAAGGAGGAATTTATTATTTTTAATTTAATTGGTATTAAAAAAATGTGAAATCTCTCTTTTTGCCTATCTACAATAATACTATGGTCTTGAATTCTTGGTCAATTTATATCATCCTGTATTTGACCAAGTCAAGCAGATGTTTGATTTTGCTAAAACAAAATTTATCAGGCCACATAGCAGGTTCAAGGCCTTCTCATTTGTTTGTGGACAAGACCTTTTATCTGGCATGTCCTTAAGCACATGGTAAGTACTGTATGTGATGCAACGCATAGGAATTTGCTCAGTATTAAATAGTGTTGAAAACTTCAAAGTATTCTTCTACAAAAGTTTAATTTTACAGTAACAAAATGTCTTCACAGACCATTTTGAGCTACATTTATTAAATTGTATGGGTTGTATAGGATATTATTGCTGAATCCATTAGTTTGTTATAAAGTCTCTAAAACCTGGTAAGGGATTATTTATAGAATGTTTTTGCATTGTTGTGTGATGTGAAATACTTTAACATGGCTGTTATTATTGAATAAACTATAAATCAGTAGTAAATATTATAAACCAGTGGTGTGTACTGCTTGTTTTAACCCCAAGGAAGTTATTTGTTCCTTCAAAAAATATTAAAAACTTCCAATTTCGTTCAACACCCCTTTTTGATTTTCATGCATTTCCTACTTTTGTTTTGCTTTTATGTGCTATTTGGGTTATTCCCAATTGCACACTAAACATGCACCAGTGAAATACAACCATCACAACACAAATGTAATCATTTAACTCCAATTATTATTTATTCTTCGGAAATCAAGTGTTTTAGAATTTCGTAGCATTCATGTTTTTGTTTGGAATAATTTCGTTGTTATTGAATGTCGCCGACCAAACATGATGATGATATATACTGTTCACTGTCCTGTTTTTCCTTGACAAGGCACCAGACTTTAACATACATTTTGTGTCTTTTAAATACTGTCCAGACGAAGATGATGAAGGCAAGGCGCCAACACAGCCACTGTTGAAAAAAGGCAGGCATCCCACCTTTTGTTTTACCGTTCATTGATGCGTCTCTCCTGGCTTTCTTTCCTGGAAAGACAATCTTTTTGCTTTCCCTTTGTCATTTTACCTTCTGTTTTGTTCATACGTTTCCATTCCCTTAGCGCAGTATCAACGTCTTATACCAACTTCAACTTCAGTATCAACTTCAACTTCTTATTTCTCTCTGCTGTGACAACGTCGGCATTACTTTTTCTTTTCCCTTTCTGGTCTTTATCGCCTCCACTATTAGCTGACTGAACTGGAGCTTTCATGACAGTTGTAGTCTTTGGTTTTTGGGAATCCTCAGAGATACATGTGTCACAAAGCAAATGTTCAAAATGGAAGTTACAATATTTTACTCCATAATCAATTGTCTGTCATTTCTGACTGTATATACAGCTATACAGATGAAAACAGAAAGTAAGCATTGTTGTAGAAATTGAATCTTACACTTTTAGTTTGTTTGCTTTGTTTTCTATGATTTATAGATAAAAAGAGCCCTACTACGCCTTTGAATGCTAATGACCAGAAACTGCTGGAGGCCAGCACACAGTTCCAGAGGAAACAGGGCAAGGGAACAGTAGATGTCTGGTGGCTGTTTGATGATGGTGGTAAGTAAGCACCCCAGAGATCATTTATTAAATAGTAATATATCTTTCAGAGAATATTGCTTTTAGCAGTTGTAGACAATATAAATCAGTGCTTTGTAGGGTTGCTAACATTGGCCTTTCAATGTGATTACAAAGGCTTGACTCTGTTGATCCCATATTTGATTACCAACAAGAAGAAATGGAAGGACTGCAAGATTCGTGTGTTCATTGGTGGAAAAATCAATAGGATTGACCATGATCGAAGAACGTGAGTATTTGTGTTTTTAAATATAAGGTGTGAACTGATACATTTTAAAGCTTTAATTCTTAAAGCAAAAGCGTAGTTGAAAATACTTTATTCCAGTAAGCTACAGTATACACTGTATTCATTTAAGCATTTTATGTTTTCTCAAAGAAAGATGACAAAATCCTTAGTCTTTTCTCTTTCAATCAATTTTTAAAATTGTAAAAAATTATACTGTAGTCTAAACTTTGAAGCAAGCATATTTCACATTGTAAAATAGAGCTGAATTATTGCAAGTTTTGTTGACAAAGAACTGATATTACTGATAATTGTTTCCTGAAACACATTCTTTCCAGAAGACTCAACATAATGTTTTGGGGAAAAAAAGCTTATTTTAAAGGGATTCTTTTAGCTATTTTAATTCAAAAGTAAAGTAGATGCAGTACTGGAATGCATACATTCATGTACATTGTCTCTGTTTATTCCCCCTCTGGTAATAATTCCTGATCTCACATCTGGTTGTATAAAAAATCAGTTTTCTTTCGCTCATATTGGGGAAGGTATTCTTTGACCTATCTTAAGCCTTTTCATATATTTTTGGTATAAAATTGTATGTTGCACTTTGATGTTTTTCAATTTTATAACAGGATGGCAACTCTGCTTAGCAAGTTCAGGATAGATTTTTCCGACATCACAGTCCTTGGGGATATCAACACAAAGCCAAAGAAGGAAAAGTAAGTTTTTTGGAAAACATTTCATTTAAAGTTAATACTCCTGTTATATCGCTAGGCTTAGGAAGCCTTTTTTGTTTGTCCAGGAAAAGACATTAAAAAGAGGTTATAAAAATGGTCACATATCAAAGTTTTCCTTTGAATCTCTGAATAATGTCTCATGTATGTAGTGCTGAAAGTCTTGTTGGCCTTCATGTAGAATGATTCCTAGTGATATGGATTTTTAATATCCTCAGATAAATTTTTTGAATGCTGAACATATAAAATATAAAGGTTCTGAAGTGAAATGGATAGACACGTAGATAACATCAGAGCATTTATTTCAGCTTTGCAGCCTTTGAAGAAATGATAGAACCTTACAAACTCAATGAGGATGAAATGGAGCAAGAGGCAGCAGAGAAGCTGAAGAACGATGAGCCTTGGAGAATCACTGACAATGAGCTGGAACTCTATAAGGCCAAGGTTAGGCTCCTGTCACACCTGAGGGTCATTTACCAAGAAGACATCATATTTTTTTCTGAATTTACAAAAGTTATGAGATCTATCTGGTTTCACAATTGTATAATATTGTTGGCTATTATTTTTTATTTACAAAAGTAGAATTCTTTTTGGTTGAGAAATCCCCAGAACTAATATAAAGATTTCAATAAATGTGTTTTTGCAAAAATAGCTGTGCATTTTGCACAGAACTTGAATTTGTATAAGATTAAGACAATTTCTGAAAATATTGTGTGTACGTTTAATATATTGTAAGGATTCTGGTGCATAATAACTAAAATAGTCGTATAAGATTTAAACATATTTTGTCTGTGAATTGTTAAGGATTTCCTGTCATCGCTGTTTTAACTAAAAAAAAAAAGTTAAAGCTTCCATTTTTGAGACCTAACATATTACCAGTATATTACTACGTGGCTTTAATGGAGCATATAAAACATTAGTTTATTACAAAAATTACAAAAGATGGTAACCTGACCAGCATGTTCACAGTCCCTCTCAAAATGTTCTTATGAACCATAAGACCAGCTGAATTGCAGCAGCAACTAGCTTTTTGAAATTTACACCTGGAAAATTGCTGTGCGGATTTTCACACCCAGAACAGGTTATAAACTGTTTTGAAAAACATAGCTCATTACTCAAACTGAAAGCTCAAAAGCTTTAGTTACCTCCAGATATTAAAGATGTACATAATTCTAGTTGGACCAGGATAAATATCTCAAAAGGGGGCTTTTGAATAAAATAAGTCAGCCTGTCTGACTGCCATTTTCTTTGTTAACACTAGCTCTTGCTGTTTAAAACTCATTTGGTTAATTACCATAAACATATTAGCATAGCATTAAAAGATGACATTGTTCCTGTTTATAGTAAGATGGTTGCCCAGCTGCCATTTTGTTCTCACCACAAAACCTGGCAGTTCCCCTGAACATCCTCAGACATTACTAAATAATTTTCCTGCACATAGACCTCAGACATTACTATTTAATGTCCTGCATACAGTGGGCCATCAGCTCTTACATCTCCTGTTCAAGGTCTGTTTGGCTAATTAAGTCCAAGCTTGTTAGGCATCATTCTAGTGACAATATTAATTCCAATATAGTGAAGCAGAGATCTTTTTTATAACACTGCGAGTCTCTTTTGTGGTATTATTTCCTTTATTGAATGAACAGTGCAGTTCACCTGCCCTCGTATCAGTATCGCTTTATTTTCAGAGCCCCATGAGTCACCTGCACATTCTGTACAGCACAAGTGCTTCATAGCTCTCAAAAAGGCCTTATTGTTCCATTGTTTAATCATAATAGTTAATCTGTAGGTCACCCTGTTTCTGCAAATTTTAATTTAATACTAGTATGAATATTTTATTTATATTTGTTTAATATTTCAGACCCAGCGCCAGATCAGGTTGAATGAATTGCTGAAAGAGCATTCAAGCACAGCAAACCTCATTGTCATGTAAGTAATAAGTTTCAAAAGTGTCAGTGCTATTAAAGAACCTCTTTGGTGTGTTCTGTTTACTTATTTAGGGTCCCTATATACACAACTGTACGTGTTTCCATTTGCATTTAGTTTTGCTTCGTTGATAAGTAAACTCCTCTATTGCTTGATATTGAAATTTGTTCTTTTTTCAGTACATAACATTTCTTATCAAAGAAATCCTGATTATCTATTGATAAACAGGCTATAAAAAAGTTGTTCCAGGAATTATGAACCTCTCACTACGAACTGGCTCTTAACTTTAAGAAACATTTGATACCAGCTAGGTGCAATTACACATTTAAAACACTCTTAACTTTTTAAAAAGATTTTTAAACCTTTTTTTTTTACTCGGTTGACATTCAGGAAATTCTGGACACGTTCAGAAGTATGTTAAAAATGTCTAATGAGTGCACTGATGCTTTCTTAACTCTGATGAAGACCAAGACATGCTGGTATAGACATTAACATAATCCTGAGTATTGCTGTGTATTTCCATGAATGTTTCTATCTCATGCACCTCAGGGATTTTATGAACTTCCAACAGCCTTTTCTGTTTCTAATTTTAAAATGTAGCCATCTGTGCACCGCATTTGCAGGCACACGATCAGCAGTCGTTCACATTTTCTTTCATTTTGTTTTTAAATTGTCTGCAATAGTTTAGTGCCTTTTCTACCAAAAGTTTATTGGTGGTCTTCACGCAGTTGACTAAAGTCCATTAAATGGTGTTGGGATAACCTTAAATGTTAAAAATCGAATGGAATTGGGAAGTTTTCTGTGAACTTGTCCTGTGCATGTCTAAATATAATAGATATATTATTATATTAATATAATAAATATAATTTTTCAGGGAAAAAACAGGTCATACACCCCTTGAACAGTACAGATTCTTATTGATATTTTATCATTATTGATTCACTGTAGAGTCAAGTAAAGAGTGTTCTGTTGTTAGACTGTTGAACTTCTGCTGCCGTTTAAGCTCATGGTGGACCTTTCTGAATTGTAGGAGCATGCCACTGGCGAGGAAGGGAGCGGTGTCCAGTGCCCTCTACATGGCCTGGCTGGAGACTTTGTCCACGCAACTGCCACCCATCCTTCTTGTGCGTGGCAACCATCAGAGTGTGCTCACCTTCTATTCCTGAAGCACACGCCTTCCCTGCGACACTCTGCACCAGTGGCCAGACGCACCTTTAGAAGAATCTTTAAAAAGACTATAACGGTTTAAACTCTATAAATAAAATACAAGGAAAAACACAGACTGCACTGACACTGCAGGGAGAAGCATTTGGAGTCTGCGGATGATCTCTCACTAGTGCCATCCAGTGGAGAGGTGGTGTAAGACAGAAGAGAGAATCACATTCCCATTTTGCAGGTCATGGTGATGCCAGATTGAGCCTTTTTCACCCTTAAAAAAAAAAAATTCCAGCGGTCTGGTTGATTGAATGTTAATTCTGCTTCCTTTCCTTCTTTCTTCAGCTGGAAAAACAGTGAACAGTTGTGGTTCATACTGTTCTTATATTTTCATAATTATTTCTTCTGCTACTTTTAAAGCAGCAATAATAATCACACTTTTTAGTTTTCTTCTGTTGGGAGAAATAATGCAGAATGGTTTGCAAAAACTTAATAGCCTTACTGAGGTGCCTTCCACATAAATTAAACTACTACCAAACTTTAAAGCATAACACCCTGATTATAATAGATATATTTTTTGATTGATATCTTGTTTAAAACATGATTTTATGTGAGTGGACTTGCTTAAATTAGCAGTCATTTCCACTGATTCGCATAAAGCTGCTTTAGTGTTTTATTCTTCCCTCTCCATTTCTGTCTTCCTTTGAGCTCTAAGTCAGCGAAATGTGTTTCTCTGACAGTGCCCTCCATTCACAATAAGTAGAGAGCGCGCATTTCAACAAATTGGAAGCTCCAATCACTTAATCCTGCCATGATTTATCCAACGCAGGCATAGTCCTGGCAAAAATCAGCATCATTTGTCACATTGAACCGCCCTGCGTGTGCAAACACAATCTAAAACTACAGTGGAAGGCAACAACATAGCTGCTAAAGAATATTGTTCTGAACCAAAAAGATGATGTTGAAAACTCAGGCTGGAGTAGTTGAAAGTAAACTGGTATCCTTGGTTAAATACAATGTACTTGGCATTCACACCTCTCTTCACAAAAGACCTTGCTCCATCATGGCCTCCGCTGGCCTAGGTTGCGTGTTGTAGGTTGACTGTTACCAATTCTCCCACAGCACTGCCGGTTTTTACATCAGACTCGGTGTGCTAGGGGGGAAACATTGTTTTATTCCAAATTACTGGGTGTGCAAGCAAGAGATGCAAAGGTACATGTAAAAATCTAGAATTTGCCTTAATCATTGGCATAATGGTTGTTTCAATTTTACCATTACTTCCTTTTTAAGCCATAATGGCTGATTGATAACTAAATGGAGAAAACTGTAAGTGCTCAGTCCATGTGAAGTGTATTATAAAAGCTGCTGTCTTGCCATTTCCAATTTTGCAAGTGCTGTTTTATTCCAACACCTTTTAAGCTTCATTGGATTTTATATATAGTTCCAGAAAATGAGATCTGCGCGTCTCTGAATGAAGTTGTTGTGCATTTTTGGCATGGCTTCTTAACAAGAATAAAATAGCTCTATCTTTAAACTCAAATACTGTAATTTTGTCAAGGCTGATACATAGCAGAAGCTCGGAAACTCATGTCAAGTCATAAAAAGCAGTTTTTGTCATTTTCAAGTGAATCTTCCAACAAAATCAGAAATGGTGTGACCCAGTGGGTTTAGATGTTATGGTCTGAAGCAAGGATGGTGAGCTGAAATTGTATGTATTGCCTGCCTATTTATTGAAAGGTGAGTGCTGTGAGGTTGATCCCATAACTGTGAAGGTAATGTTTTTTTTTTTATTTCTCTTTGCTGTAAACAGATGCATTGAGGATTGATAAAATAGCCTTTTCTCTTTTTGCACGTGTGACTTGGATCTGCCGTAACTTTAATGGACAATAAATTAACAAAGAAATATTGCTCATTATAGGACAGGAAGGATTAAGATGTCGTGACCTAGGAAAATGAAGAATGTCATGATTTGTATTTTTTCTTTAAATTGGACCATGCACTTTTTTAATCTAAGTAGCAAGATTAGTTTTCATGCTCAGTGTATTTGATAGCTGCAGAGAAAGTTCCTGCCCTTCTGTAATTTCATAAAGCTTTGAAGAATCCAAGGCGGTTCTTGTTATGCTTTGCATTGGCTGCTTTTGCATGGCTGTTGGCCATTCTAAACAAAAATACACCCACAATCCAGATAAGAGGTTGTCCTTCGAAGATTGTACCTAATTTCTCTAATCTGCCCGAAAATGCACCATTTTTGAGTTGAGCATAATAGAAGCTGGCTTCATTATGTGGGAGGGGTCAGGGGGATGAGGGGCAGAGGGTCTTTTATTGAAGTCACTGTTGAGAAATGTGCAGAATTCCTCTGCCCTTAACTTCACATAGTGCTGAATGTTATACTGTGTGTTGCCTTTGTGTTCTGTAATCTCTTCCTCTTTTTTTAATTTGCTCTGACGCTGAATCCTTGCAAAATAGGCTATTGTATTTCTCTGATAGACAGCATTCCGGAATTCGACTCCCCCTAGTCTAGGGCAGAGCTCTTATGGGGAAGTACAACTAAGTGGCTGGTAAGATGCAATGTTTAGTTATAGTGAAGGTTAGATATGAAAACAGCAAGGTTAAAGTTAGTAGACAGCCTCCTTGACATTTTTTCAAGTGGCTACTGGGATTATGGTGTGCTAGACTCTTGTTTCGTACACCAGTCTCTTTCTGCTCTCTGTTTATATTTTTTTTACATATTCCAAGTCCGTTAGAAAAAGAAAATAACAACATTTAATATTCTGGTTAATTTAATGACTACATACTTGATGTTTTATTTTTTAAATGTTTTTAGGCTATCATCAACACATTTGAACTTGTATACATAAGGAGACATTAAACTTTTTGGAAAGTGCGCATGATACTTTTTTAGAAGGGTTGTATAGCTTTCTAGATGCAAGGTGGATACCAATTTACCAAGTAACCTATTTAAAGATCTCTCTTCTCTCTTTCAAATATTGGCAACTATTAAGTGTATTGTGCAGTACACAGTCTTTCACAGGTATGATCTAAACTAGGACAAATTCCACCGTGAATGTCTTACATGTCAAAAACCATAAAAATCAAATGGGGTGGAGGCTGTTGCATAACTTGCTAGTGATTGTCACACATTACAACCAAATGAAATATGTCTATGTGCTTGTGTATCCATTTATATGAATACACATCAGGTGTTTAAATGAGTAGATAATATTCTAGAATACGTTTTAGCGTCTTTTTACCATATAATACGGCCTTTACTGCACAATTATTTTCCATTCAAACGGAGCAGTTGTTGGCTACTATATGGTCATTCCATTTTCTAACGGTGATTTTCCCACCAGTTTGTCTCTGTAGCCAAAGTTTTATTTTTTAAAAATCTGTCAGTAGTAAAACATTAAAACTAATGAAGTAAAAGCACTGGTCATTCTGTTAAAACTTACCTAGTTTGCACTGTGTAATTCATAATTAACCTGTAAATAACTAATAGTGAAATTAAGGGAGTGGATTAATGAAAAATAAACTGGGTAAGACTATTTATTTTAGTTTTTTTTTTTTTAGTTTAAGTTAAGTTGCATGTTGATTTTATGTTGGGATTTTGCTCTTTTAATTTTTTAATTAACTTTTTCAGTCTTTCTGTACATTTCTATCTTTTATATATACCTTTTAAAAGAAGATATGTTAAGTGTTTTAAAAGTCTTTTTTTTTCTTTTTTTCCCAGTGAGGTAGACATGATCTACCTAAATGGTTGAAACTGTAAAATTTTGATATACACTGTACTGTAACTGTCACAAATATGCTTTTCTAACATTATTTTAACATTTAAGATTACAGATACTTTGTACATCTATTGCAATAAATAGAAAATGAATGAAACAAATTAAAATGTATGATTCCTTATTGTTTATTTACAATAGTTAAGACTTTGTTTATAATCTATGGGTTTTATCATGTAAATCTTAAAATTTTATTCAACTCATCTCAAGTTGAGATGTAGAGATGTATAGTCAAATTAATAGTGTACAAAAAGTAAGTTGACTGACCTGCAATGTCTAATGTGGGTTCAGAAATCATTCAACAGTCGAACAGGACAGAACACATGGTCTCCCAGGGTTCAGTGCCTTGTTTTCAGAGCCGAAAGAAGGATAGGACACAGTGAATAAATAAAGGCCACAATATGTGGCCTTTTGGTCCATCTTGCTTATTTGGTTTTTAGTCTAATCTTCACAGATTGTTCGTGTGATCAGAAGTTAATAGCTCACTGATAGTCAGGTTTTGAATTTTATTCTAATCCCCAGGAAATCAGTGCAAGGAGTTCTGAACATATAGTACTGCAACTTGAGACCATGGTTGGATGCATCAGCAAGATGGCATACAGTTAGCAATCCTGGAAAAGACAAATGCATGAACTTTTCTGCATCAGCCACAGAGAAACATGAATGGGTACGAACAATACAGGATTTAATAGAACAAGATTCAAATGGCAAGGTTTACTCGGAGATAACCCCAAGATTTTCACTCAATCTGAGTATTGATCCCAACATTAATTGTCAAACTAAAGTTGATGCAGATGAGAAGTTGATATGATGAGACAATCTGGAAAAAAAGTTGCTATTTAAAGTTTTACGTTTTTATTCCCTCCACTAGATAATTTGCTGGCCTTCACAATTTCAGGCAAAGTCAGCCTTATTTTCAGTACAGTGCCGTGCGGAAGTTTACCTCCACTTGTGTACTGTACCTTGCACCTCCTCATTCCAAGAACAAAAAAAATTGCAGGCATTCCCTGTAACATTCAGGTTTGGTTTGATTTGATTGATTTAAACATTTTTAACATCCATTAGCTTCTTTTGGTTTGTAATACTTCTGGTTATGTGAATGCTCCTCGTCTTTGGAAAATTGTTAAAAGTAACATTAGGAATTCTGGCAATGTTGTATCTTTAAATTAAAAACATTTGTTTGAGCTGCCTGCCTAGAAGTGCTTGGCAGCAAGGGTGCTATAAAAGCAGCAAATGTAAAATGTACCTTCGGTTGATGTTAATTTAAAAAAAAAACTGAGCATGTAATGGTGCAGACAGCTTTGGCCAGGGGTCTTGCATCATTTTTGTTCTTGAAGATGTTATTTGACTAAATCTTTTTTTATATACATTTCCTCTACTAGCTCTGTCCAACTCATTTGATACATTTTTGCTTTTTGTGATACACTACACTCATAAATGAATTTTTGTTTGCCAAGGAAAGAAGGAAGAGTTCAGTAGTTTCTGAAGTGGTTAAGCTCTTACGGTATATTGTTTGCATTGTTAAACAAATATTTGCAGTTCCACCTTTGTATCTTTCGATCATCTGCAAATTTGACAGGTTTACTAACACTTGAGTCTAGATGATTAATAAAAAATTGGAAAATGTGTTCCTAATACTAATCTTTAATTATGCTCCACATTACTCCAGTAGTGCTCCATTACATACTGTCATATTTTTTGTACATTATCCGGTTCATCCCTGCGTTACCTTTGATTCCTGCAACTTTCTGTTTAAAAATAGTTTTTCATAAAGGAATATAAAAGCTTTTTGAAAACTCAGGTTGTGTAATGTGGACTAGAACTGTTCACTGATGTAAATGATTGCTCAGTGATGTAGATACACTACATGGTCTTTAAAATGAAATATTTTATTCTGGATTAAATGCATACTGCTGAAACTTTTTGTTTCTATTACTACTGCTCACTACCAACCTTGTTTTTCCAGCCACCCCTGTATTCCTAGACTTTAGCTCTACCTTTGATAAAGCTGACCGTACAATCTTTCAAAGTAGATTAAAATGTTGTTGGCATTATTGTAACTGTCACAGTCAGTTACCTTTTTTTTTTTCAAATTGAACATTTTCTCTTTTCCAAATGTGGTCACGTCTGGCAGGATCCTATTTGTGTCCTCTAGCTTTGTGGCTTCTTTATGTTACTATTGGATCAGCTTCTTCTTGTACAGTATGGTGTCAGTTTTAATTTCTTTGCCACTGACACCCAAATTTATCATCATATGAAATTAGTATTAAGTTAATACTAACTTTGATAAAGTTGAGTGCCTCTTGTTATGAACGCTATCAGCTTACGTTTGATTACTGGTGGTGTTAGAATCATTCCAAGTACACAGGACAGGAATCATAGTGTTATCTTTGCAAACTTGCAAATAATAATGATGTTTGCAATGTTAAGACGGTGTCTTATTTCAGCTTTATAACATTTCTTGTACAGTATTTGTGAGATGCAGAGAAGCTAATGAATGCATCTACCTTTTCATTTTCTGATTATTGTAAGACAGTTTTTGCTTATCCAGTTGCAATATATTCAGAACTCAGTTGCTCAGATCTTAGCTAAAACTGAAATACATGAGCATGTTTGAGAAATACACCCTCTGATGGACCTGAACACATTATCAGTGATGTTACCTGGGGTCACTGGGTTTTCTGGATTTTTGAACATCACACACCCTTGCCAAGATTGATTGAGCCCTGGCTTGTGTCCAGGTAGTATTGTCACCCACGAATCGCGCCTCTTGAGCCATTTTGAGGCCCTTTCTGCAGCCTATGTGATGGTTTTGGTGGCTTTCCACTTGCTCACCCCTGTTATGCCCAAAAGGCTGTTGGCTCTACAGAGGGATTGACCTGCAAATTCTCTGCAGCCCATATCCACAGGCTCACACCACGCTCTCCATTCCTTCGCACAGCAGTGGTTAACCACTTCTTCATACTTTGATCAACTCTCTTATGCACAGGAGGCGTGTGGATTTTAGAATACAATTTAATGAACTGCTGCTCATTTAGGGACTTAAATTGTTTGGCTTCTGACTACATCAGGTAATTATTTTCCTCTACTCTTTCATTCCTTTTGGACAGTGGCTTTGTTTTAAGTTCTCAGAACTAGGCACTGAACTCTAGGAGAGTGTGCTTTCTGTTCTGTTGCGCCAAGGCTGTAGAAGAATCTCCCAGTCCACATTATTGTAGGTCTGGTACCTTAGTCAGTGTTTTAAAACACAAGCTTTTAGTTGTTTAATTTATTGCATTAAATTATGTGCATTGATGTTTTTGGTTTTCTTTTATTGGAAAGCACCTTGAGACGCTATGTCATGAAAAGTGTTATATGAAAAATATATTGGTAGGTTAATTGGCTTCTGGAAAAAATGGCCCTGGATTGGGTGTGTGCTTGTTTGTGTTGTGATAGGCTCTAGCTTCTCCATAACTCTGTACTGGATAAAAGAGTTAGAAAATGGATGGGTGGATATACTCTTGAGTCTCAGGCAGTCTGTGTGGTTTGCTTGTTGCTTCTGTTCACTGTAGATGTGGAGTGCAAGTCATCAGAATCTTTGTTGCTGCTTGGTGTCAATGCTATTGTTTTTGATATAGCACTTGTTTTGACGTACTGTAGCACTTGTAGGCCTTATTTTTCATTGTAGGTTTGTTGAATGTATATGATTAGTATTGTAAACTTCTAATATATTGTAAGGTGCCCTGGATAGGTTTGCCTGTAAAGAAAATGCATTACTTAAATATAATAATAAACATTAATTTGGGGTTAGAAAGTGACTTCATTTAAAAAAGGGCAGAACACTGTGCTGTGTGAGGTCCTTGGTTTCAGCATCTGACTTATTTTATTGTCAACATTTTAATTATTCAGAGTTTTGAGCTGACATCAGCTTTTTTCAGTTTTTAGTAAATATGGAAAAAAATCAATCCATAACTAGAAGAGCTGATGAAACATTCTTTTGTTGAGAAAGCACTTTTGCCCATGTTATGAATCACACCTGTCTACTTTGATTAAACTAGTTTGTTAGCTAAAACAGTATGGGGGCCAAAAAAAGTCAGAAATCAGTTTATTTTATATAATTATATATTATATATAATTATGTTGAAAAAATCATAATCATCCTGATATTGCCATGGTAGCAACATTTTAAAGTAATTTTCTCTTCTATAGCTTATTATAAGTTAATTGCTAAACTTTGGTCTGCATGATTTTAATATCCTAAATTGTCTTGTAATATGAGGCTCATTTTAACATTTTTAAGGTTGAAGTGGTGTGGTTTATTGAAATAGTGTGGTTGTGGAAATAGTTCAATAATTTAATAACAAATGATGACAGAGCTGCAGAACAGCTGCAAAAATCTCATTTTTACCCCCCAAATTATCTTTCTGTGCAATTTTGAAATAAAAGGCTAAATGGGATTTTCAAAGAAAATAAAATACAATTTCCTAATCTTGAAAAAGCTGCATGTGGATTAATTATTTTTACAGTACACCCTGGCTATGGCAACATAACCAGTGGAAAAGAAAACATCATCTGAAAAGATTGTTTTAAATGTCATACTAAGTTTACATAGCTTTGTAGCAGACCCATTAACTCACTTGTTCCCAGCCCATGATATACAGTAAGAATGACTTATGTCCCTTAGTAAGTCTCAAGGACAATTTGCAGGTCATAAGCTTGAAAATATTGGATAATTTATCCAGAACAGTGCTTTACTTATGTAAGATAATAATAAGATAGTAAGATAATACTTTATTTACTTACTTACTAGATATAATGCAACTCTTTTTATTTTGCTGAAACTTTAAAATAAGCATTTTTCATTAATTTAAATTATTTTTGATTTTTTTTTTTCATTTATTTCTCAATTTAATTTCCCAGTTTTCTGACCCCTGAAACCAGGATTCCATCCATCTTCTAACCACATCTTCCAGAGTATCTTGGCAAGCAACAGGTGCGAGGTAAGGTTCACTCAGGACAGGATGCAAGTCCATCACAGGGCAGACAGACACAAACATTCATAAACACACTCACACCAGGGCTAAGTTTCCCAGAAGCAAATTAAGCTCTCGGTATGCTTTTGGTTTGTGCGAAGAAACCAGAGCATCCAGAGGAAACCCACAAAAACAGGAACATACAGACTTCACAAAAATAGCATCCCACTTCCAGAATTGAACCCAGGGCCCAAGGCAGTAATGCTAACAACTGTTCTACTGTCCTGCCAGGATTTGAATTGTGGATATCAAATAGCCTTACAGAAACATCCTAAAGGTTTCAAATTTGGTTTTTAAACATACCTATGAAATAATATTACCTAATAAATATTATTACCTAATAAACTTAGGTAAAGATCTCATAACACCAAGCTCAGCTGAAATTCACAATGAGAAATATACTGAAGAGTGCACATTAAAATGAATATGGTTCAGTACAACCAAAATTCCATAATTGGTTCAAATACTATTAAAGAAATTACAGATTTTACCAGAAAACAGCCTCATTCGGAAATAGCACTGATGCAGCATTTAAAAGGCAACAGCAGATCTGGCTAATGTGTCATTTGATTCATTGTCTAGGGCTCACTGTAAGTGGCTGTTGGTTAACAAAAGACAAAATGAGGAGACAATTGAACCTCTACAGCTGCTGTTGACCGAGTGCTCTTGTGCCTCTATGAACATTTAGAAAAATGTTATAGCTATTAGCACCACTGAAGCTGTTCGTGACTTACTAGTGGACAAATGGCTAGGGCTGTGTGAGATTTATACTATGTATTACTTTCTTAGACAACACTGCCATCTTTTGGTAAATTATAGTAAATACTGTATGTCACTGTTCCATCTAAACACAAAATGAATACAAATTTTATAAAAGGCATATTAATGTACTAATAAAAAAATAAGCATACTGTATATATAATTTACTGTATCCAACAAGAAAGTCTAGTTACATTAAGCATTTATCTAGAGAATACAATCTAATTAATAATTTAAAAACAACTTTTATTTTTAATGTCTAAAATACATGAAACCTTTATTAAAGTACAGATATCCTGACCACAAATTGAATTTGACACAATATTTTTAATCTTTTAACTCACAATGCATACAATTTAGTGTACTTTGGAAAGCAATTGCAATGGGATTCTGATTTTGAATTCAAACCGAAAAACATGACTAGTTAACAAAAGAATATTCTTTATAATCAGTTTTTTTGTCTCACAACCTTTTTTGTGAGCTGTTTGCCTTAAACTTTTAACAACCCTTTTCATTGTTTAGAGATAGCCATAAGAATATATGTACCAGCTGTCTGGCTGCATTTTTGCATTCCAGAGCTGCAGTACCTAAATTTCTTATCTGTGAATACTGAGGGAGTTGTGGGTTCGTTGTGTGAAGTTGTCATTATATTAGGTTAATCTGACATTTAAATGACCCAGTTGCTTGATTTTTTTCATCTTCCAAAGCTGTAATTAAATGTTATAAAATGAAAAACCCTTGTCGGCCTGAAGAACGGAACTCTGTTTAATTTTTTACCTTAAAAGCTGTTATTTGTCCTACCCCTGTTTTTCTTATAAATATCTGGCAGACTGACAGCTTTCATATCATTCTCACCAGCATTACCTAATATTTTTTCAGTTATATAACATTGTGAAAGTCTTTAAGTGGCTCCTGGCACCTGCTCTTACAGTTTCTGTTGGCCCTCTATTAGCCAGAAATGAATGATGGTCCATTGCAGGCATTTGCATCTTAAAAAAATTAAAAATGCTAATAGCATTTGCTATGTATATGAATTTACCATTAACTCCATAACTCCCCAGATTCAAATGGAGATGATCTGCTTCATAGCCACTGGCACGCAGAATTTTGTTTTACAAAGTCTGAAATCAGCAACTATTTGTATTTTACACCTACCTTCTGGGAATTGGCAATTGAATAGAACTTGGTTTTACAGCTACAACGTTTGAGGATTCATACTGTAGGAAGGGATTTAGTCCTAAATTTATTATTAAAAAAAAGACTAATTATTGGGATGCAGGTGTTTCTCCTTGTGGCCTGTTAAGGTGTTCAAGTAGAGTATAGTTCAGGTTACAGGCTAAAAATTCTGAGTTTCTGAATCTGGAGAATGTACTGTAAGGCCTCTGTAGCACATAGATTTATACATACAGTATATGATATTGTTTAATGTTATGTGCTATTTTTAATAAATCCAATATGTTTGTTAAAGTTTTGACTGATTTTAATTACTCTTTCACTATAGCTGTGCCAGAGAATATGAAGAACTCATGTGCATACCTCATATGCCTCACATTTCACTTACTGCTTGGATACATTTTATTTAACCCCTCTGGTTTTATGATGTGATGTTAGACAGGGTTTTAGGGATTTTTTTTCTGTATTTTGCTTTTGATATCCTTGGAACAGCACCTCTCTGTCAAGTTCTCAGTGCTCTTGTTCTGACGATTAGGGGTGTATGCTTCCCAGAATTTGGAAATTGCCCATTCCTCCATCTTACGGTGCATCTCAATTCCTGCAGCTCCACCTCCAGCATATTTGAACTAGATTTTATGGCAGCTTTCATTTTTATAGTTTATCTACAGTATATGACACATGGTGCATAATTTACAGATTGCAGGCATATTAGACGTGGGAATCGGCTCTTGTCAATCAAGACTTCATTCTGCAAGTAGACAAATCAAATTTGTATGCTCTGAATTCCTAAGCCGACTATTAAATCTAGATCTCTAGCCAAACCCCAGCTTTCCACATGAAGTATATGTAACCTAGCAACAGACTACATTCCTCAAGTAAGAATGCAACATTGCTTAGGTCTGATTCCTTACTGATGTCAATAATTCAAAAATAGATAGCCTTGAATTATAGCCTTGCTATCAGTGTCCACAAAAGTTCATCTAAATTCTAGTGAAGAATAACAAGTGTTTTTTTCCTAAGCTGCCTGATGTAGCAGTTAAAAACAATCCACCTACTGATACACAGGTAGACAAGTGACAGAGTTTAGAGATATTTTTCAAGTTAATCATTCTGGTAGTATAGTGGCTGCTATATGACTCTACAGACAAAAACTCTAACAATGGTATAACTTAACCTTAGTTGACAGAGTAAGACAATTTCAAGTAGACCTGACTGAAGGTCAGAAAAAGGATGAACAAGCTAATTCTTATTCTCATATTCTCAACACTGAACATAGACTATCTACCTACTCACTACATACCAACGTATGATTTCCCAAGTAGGCATGAAGTTAATAATAATTACACACTCAAAGTACTGTGACTGCTGGGTATTAACATTATAACATTAACATGGAATTGAACTTCGGCACAGGTGAATCAGAATCTCAGAATGGATCTCAGCACAACTTTCAGACTTTTGCTTGCCAGGTTAGGCTCCGACGCCCCTGCAACCCTGAAAGGAACTACCAGTATAAAGTAGGACACAGAACGTAATAAGTTTAATTATGAGAAAGTCATTAATAAGAATTAATTTAGAATTCTGTATATACTACTGGTCTCCAAAATACAAAGAATAATGCTGCTCTGGAATCATTCCACAGAAGAGCAACTAGCTATATTCATAGGTTCAAACGAAAGTCTAAAATAAATTAATCTAGTACAAAAAGATTAAAGGGGGACTCTAAGAGTAAAACAAATCATCCAGCATCATTACATTAAATTAACAGATGACATGTTTATGCAGGGAAAATCTTTAATTGAAAATGTAGTGAAAATGAATTAAAGGCACAAGAAGTTCATTTGCCAGCCAAATATGGCTTGAAATATCCAACCTCAGTTGCATGTGGGACATAGAAAAGATACATGGTTGGACATTCAAATTCATTTTCACTCCATTTTGAATTAAAGGTTTTCCCTGTATAAACATGTCATCTGCTCTTTGAAATGAAAACACAAAATATTTAATATAAATATGCTGGATGATTTGTTTTACTCTTTTTAGCAGAAAGATGATTAATTCACAAATACACATTTAACACAAAATAACACTTTATTGTAGTGTTGATACTGAAACAAATATACTATACAGTCCCAACAAACTGTTTTGATAGGATTTTTCAAATTGTTTTAAAATCACTGTATCTTTACATTTGCTAAGTATTTTTGGTATCATTGTACAGAACGTGGGTAAAAAAAAGCTATGTACTGTAAAACTGCAGTCAGTGTTTTATGGAGCTTGTCTCACAGTACCATTGCTGAAAAGCACCAGTAAAATCCCTTTTAGAAGGATGATGATGAATTACACAACAGTTTTTTTACTGTAAAATATTCTAGAATCTAAGAGGCATCCATTGTACGTACATACCATCTATATAGAGTAATAGTAAAATGAAGACAATGTATATAACTACAGTAATACGTATGTACTAAGAATGTAATTTATTGTCTATTTCCCAAAATTTAAAGTTACCCATTGCATTTTAGTGTGTTAATTTTGTAATTAAAACCCTTGAAAATATAGCAGTACTACCTTTAATGTCAAGCACCATGTGGAGCTTCAGAGAGAAAACAGCTATGGACAGTTTTAGTATTGTCTGAGTTGCCAACACTGAGTTCATGTGTCTGAAGTACCTGGCTTACAATGAGGTGTTGTGGTTATTCTTAAATACAGTACTGACAAACCTGTCTGTGTTTTGACAGTACTAACAGTAAAGGCATTTTGCTATAATAGAAATGTATTTGACCTTATGACAGCTGTATTTAACTTTACAAAAATATAGTGTACAGTATGTGAAAAATGTGAAAACGGCTCAGGCTTTTCTCACAGTAATTCTTCACTGAAGCCTGTTTACACCTTATTAATCCAGTTTTTATCAACAAAATATAATCTTGGTTAACAACAATTGTCTGCTTTGCAACGTGGTGTTAAAAACTGTATTTCAAATGCAACAAATTAAAGTTCAGTTATTTATGAGCAAACACTTTTCAGCATTAGAATGGGGATCTGACGTTCTGCAGGGCAAGTTTAAATTTTCCAGAACTATATAGGGAAGGATTCTAAATAGAGAAGAATGGGTTATGTGTTTGTTTTCATTACTTTAACCCCTTTAAAAAATATTTCTTGTGAAATACCAGAGACTGAAAACCCTACATTAAGAAACAAGTTTCTGTCAAATGCTAAACTGACAAATGATTTTAAAAACAAGTACTTGATTAGACCTTAGGCTGATTGATTAGGCTATACTATTTTTTGAAAATGCTGTGTGGTGATCAGGCTCAGTAAGATATAATAGATATTCTAGATTTTTATATAAAAGGCACTACAAATGAAAAAAGTCAATATTAGACGAGGAAAAAATAACCTCTTTGCAAAGTTATCAGTGAAGTGATTCTAGCTTAATATTGGCTGTACATTAGCATTTTTCACTTTTACTGTGATACGTCATAAAAAGAAAAAAAATGAATGTATAACTCCTTAATAGTTCTCATTCTTTGTAATATAAAACTGGGGGTAGTTGTCCAAAATATGGAAGCTGCACACAAAATTAGTTTAATTTACCAGACAATTTCTCCCCTGTTACTGCACTTAAATAAATATTTATCCAGAAATTTAAAAAATGTAATAAAAAAATATGAATAGCAAAACACCTCAAATGTTAGACTGTTGAAAGGAGATAAAAAGGAGAAAAGGCTCATATTTTTGTCCCTTCACTTTACTGGAGCTGAATTCCATTACTTTGCTTGCTCTTTCTCAAATCATGTAACCAACTGTTACCTCATTAATAATATAAAATATCTCCTGCGTGATGCGGCATGCACATCCTTGTCATGGAGTTTGGTCATGCAGTCCTGAATAAGGATGTGAGACATCTCTGTTTTTTTTTTTTAAGTCTGACACAAAGTTTCTTTTTTCTTTTCCTGATGCAGTGTGTTCATGATGACAAACAGGATTCCGGAAGAGTAGCAAAAACAACTCATCTCTGAATGGAACAGCTGAAAAGTTACTACTGCAGCTCAATCTGCAGCCTCATTCTAAGGTTTTCACCCAGCTCTCCTGTCATATAGTCTCTGTCTTTAGAGTCTTCTAGTTTATTCAGATCTTTCTGTTTGTACAGAGGGATGCTGGTGATCTCCAGTGTGTAAGTCCCCGGCCAGGTTTTCTTCTTGGTGGTGTGTAGGTAGCTCAGTCCCCCTCTCTGCTGGATGTGGAAGAACCCATCCTCATTGCCAGAAGAGATGACATAGCGCACATGGTTGGTGAGAGGCTTGATGGCTGGGATGACTTCCAGGATGTGCTCCTTGGGATTCAGCTCCGAGATCTTCAGATTCAAGTTCAATGGGCTTTCAATATCCAAGCTTGCCAAGCTTATGGGTTGGTCCTATAATGGGAAATATGCAATTCTATTTTCTTTGTTGCTCTCAGGCATGTCACAGGCTATGACATGGTCTCAAAAACAGAGCCTTTTTATAAAACTTTCATAAGATTTTCACTTTTCAACAACAAAGAGATTTTATCAGGTCTATGGATGTCTGTTTAATGCTCCATAAGAGAATGTAAAAATATTTAGCAAGGACTTTCTTGGAAATCATTCCTTGAACAAATGAAGTGGACTGCTGGCTAACTTTAAAAGCATATATAACAATGCGGCGAGCATTCTTTGGAAAGCTGAAATTTTACAATCAGTAAATAAGATCTGTGCTCAAGAAAACTGATGTTCTGACCTCAGCAAGTGCAGTCTGATTGCTGCTCCTCCTCTTCCTGCCAGTCTTCTTGCCGAAGCCATTTATCTTGCACTCATAGCAGGCTTCTGGGGAGAGTGCATTCTCCTCATCTCCCTCTCCATCAAGAGGCAGATACTGGCCTTTTCCAAATCCCATGCCAGACACACAATGACTGGATGTCGCATGCAGAAACAACAATAAGAGTGTGAGAAACAGTTATAGCAAAAACATAGTAACCTGCTATGATGAGGTGTAAATCTGGTCTTATAAGCTTAGGGAAAATCAATAAAGATAGGTGCTATGAAGACTTTTGTCAGCGTGAGCTACTGTACTTGAAGTCTTTCACAAGCAGTGGGTAGAGCAGTGTTTATCTGTCTTAAACTTAGACCTATATTTTTTCTAAGCACATGTAATCTTCTGCACTTATACTATATATAGACTCTGCACAAAATAAATTTCACTTGACGTGTTTCCCCAGTCTTGAATAACTTAGTTTTTATTACTTTTGCAGCTTATACAGTACTTGCTAATCCTCTGCAAATGTCACTTGTTTATGAAGTATACCAGAATCTAGATTGTTCATATGAATTAGGAAAAGCATACAGATCCCTGAGGTACTCCACTGATTATACTACAGTATGCCTGTTTGAGCAATCACTCCTTATCTGTACTTAGTTTACTATCCATTAGCCAGTTTGTGATCCAAACTCATGCATTAAAGCAATGTTATTGTATGTTTTAGGTGAGATAAGATCACTTTATTAGCAATATACAATTTCTTGCATTTGGAATTTGTCTTTTCACATACCCCAGCTTGCTCTCCATGAGAAAGACAGACAGGGAGAAAAGCTTGGGGTCAGAGTGCAAAGTCAGCCATTGTACAGCACCCCTGGAGCAATTAAGGTTAAGGGCCTTGCTTGGGGGCCCAACGGAGTAGTATGCCTCTGCTAGCCGCAGGATTTGAACTAGCAACCTTCGGCCACAGGCACAGATCCTTAGCCACAGTGCCACTACTCCGCCCAAGGTTTTAAGCCTTCCATATTTCGTCTTTAAACTCTGCTTTTCTCATTTTTGATTGTTTAAAAAGTTCAGATCAATGCAGGCGTGCAGGAATTCCAAACTATAACCCGAATCAATCTACTACTACTACCTAATTTTCACCTCCCTAATGGTGTTTCCTGCTTAATGTGAGAAAATCAATAACTTTCCATGATAAGCATTTCGTCCTATACACATATGTTCCTGATTTCGTTATATATGAGTTTATATTATGCACCGTACTGTAATTGACATCTGAATGTTGTGATCTGCAGCATATTCTTAGCAGAATACCCTTCCCTTTGATTTTTTTTTTAAGTCTGAGACTCATGGATGGATTTAGGTCACATTCCTTTTCTTTAATGCTTGTCTGTATCTCTCCAGAAAGCTGAGAATCTAACTGTTTTGAGGAAGTAACTCTCCACCATCACTTTCGTTTAGCCATGTTTCTGGGATTTGAATTACATGGTATTTTACAATTAGAATCACAGAATAATCCATTATGGAGCCGCCTCTGTCTCATGTATTTTGTTTCATGGCATTTAGGTTTGTACTAAGTACTGAATTATCTGGCCTTTTTACATTTTGTTTCTCACTTGGGCTCTGTGTTACTCCACTTCTTATGAATATCCTTTGCAGGTTTCTAACCTCTTCCATTCTAGTTGAAACATTTTTGGATGTCTCTATACAGTAGTTCCTTGCCCCAGCCTGTCCTGTGTTATGGATTTACATTTGCCTTTATTCACCTTTTACGCATTCTATATTATGATCTGTGCTTAATATAGATACTGTAAGTATTGTCTCAACCTCTAGATAATACTATATATGGTTTTATTATCAGAAGGGAGATAATTTATTTGACAGATGGCATCATGCGTCACTTTTCTTTTCAGCATGGAATAAACAATTTATAAATGCTCTGTATGAATAATGCTGCACAGTTAAATATACAGTTTACAGGATTAATAATCATGGTTTCAAATAATGCTATGGCATGAGGTTCTTGAAAAATATCAATGATTATATTATGCCATATGCAAAAACACATAAAATACTAAAAAAAAAAAACCAAAGTCATCACTAACCAAACTGAAAAGAGATTGTTTTGGTATAAACACTATGTAATTTTCTGCTGATGTACTGTAGCATAACAGGCTATAGATTAATTCTTACCCTTGTCCCACTCTGTAATATCCAGTAGGGCAACCACACAAATAGCCCCCCTCTGTGTTGGAGCAGCCATAACTGCAGGGGTTCTTAAAGTAAGAGCATTCATTCACGTCCTCACAACTGGTAGTAAACTGATCAAAGGAATACCCGGATGGACAGGCACACTTGAAGCTCCCCAGAGTATTGTAGCAAGATGCAGCACCACAGGTATTCGGGTTGGAACATTCATTCTCATCTGCGTAATGAAGTGACATGTATTTAAATATACAAATAAACACTCTGTATTTGTAAAGACTGCAAAAAGATGCATTCAGAACTGTCACAATAGGACGAGTTCAAGAAAAGTCACTGCTGAACTATTGAGGCTGTTCCAAGCAGAGCAGAGCTTGCCGTGCTGAAAGATGAAAGACAAAGCCCAAAACAACAACAAAAAAACTAGAAAATTCCATGCTTTCTTTGAAAAAAAAAGCATGAAAGGAAAAAAGGGTTGCCACTCATCCATTTAAGCCAATTCTGGATAGGCACATTATTTAAGCTTCTTGTTTGGCGAGAAAGTTTGGGTATATGTTAAGTTTTTTCTGTGTCCCCACCATCACCGACCCCCCAAAAACAAATACAAGAGTCCTTGATCACTTCAGTTTTGGGTTGGCATATTGGAAACCTTTTTGTCTTTTTCATTATGTACTGTAACTTTCAAACTTCTATTTAAGACTTTTTTGTGATGATGCACAGATAAAGGGGATTTGATTTGGTTGTCAAATAATGTGTATTCTTCAGTCAAGGCTAAGTGTGCAGCTGTAGATGCTTTACCAAAATATTTGTTATATATATTTATACTGCATTAATATATATATATCAACACATTTCTAACTACCAAGTCCCTCAGAAAGTAAATTATATATTTTGGTGTATCTCTGTCATTAAAAAACCCCAGAAAAATTCATTATTAATAATTGTGCTCAAGAACAACAGTTCCTAACTGTCCAGCTATATAAAGAATCTCCAGGCCATAACTCTATATGAAAATTGGTTTGTAATTGATTTATCTGGTTAAGTATCAATAAAAAGCAAGCTTATTAAAGTATGCTTCTTGCTTAAGGTGGTGTTTTTAATTTAATAATTCTGTTATTAAAAAGCAAGTACCTTAATAAAAAATAAAATTAAGAACAAACAGCCTGCCTGTGCAGTTAATGATATGTTGTGTTGGGGGGTCACATTAGTACTGTAGTCAAAAATTAAAGTTGCCATTTATAATCTGTTGATTAATGATACTGTACATTTTACACTGAATGCAATGAACTTCTACTAAAACATCTATGAAACTGATCATCTGTAAATTGAACACGGATTGGGAACAATTTAACACTAATAAACGGTAGCTGCACACAGCAATTAAGTACTGATATGAATGCTTCTTTTACAGTACACACTAATTTATCTCCCTTAAAAGCCAAGCTTAAATTCCAGTCAAGTTTAAAAATATCCTGCTTAAAATGTAGTCATGCACCAAACTATTATCACAAGATATAAATTAGTTTTTAAAGAACATTGTTTCTTAAGCCCTTGCCACAGGACAAGAATTCTCGACTTTCCCCATGTTTAGAATAAACTCACAATCACTCGATTTTGTGGCTTAGTACAGCCAACGTTGAACCTGTGTGCTCTAGCCAAGCTGCACAGACAGTGGAAATGAGGTATTATCTTTCTTGAAGAATCTGGAATGAGTTAGGGGATTCAACTCTAGTCCTAGAGAGCTGGTGTGTTAGCAGATTTTCATTTCAGCTCAGTCCTTAATGAAAATCTAATATAATACAATATATAGTACAATACAGTATAACACCAGAGAATAACAAAAAACAACAAGAATAACACATTTCAGTATTCAAGTTACCAGAAAACAGTAACAGGGTGATTTCCATCTTCCCCATTTTCAGAACTGAAATATACTGTAAGAGTTCATACATAACAATAAAGTAAGAGACAACATTCCACAGAGCAGACTAAAGTAATCAACATTAATATTTTGAGTCAGCGTTCTTAAGAAAAGGAATCAAGTTTTGGATGAGAGCAAAATTCCTCAGGAGTGATGCTGCATGTTAAAACAAAGTAACAAATATTTATCCCTTGTAAAGTGTTTCCAAGAAGTCATCAAATCACTCACCGACACACTGGTTCCACTGGTAGTGTTGGATGTAACCTTGAGGGCAGCTGCACCTGTAACTGCCAAGCATGTTTTGGCAGCCATGCTGACATCTGTGGTTGCTCACACACTCGTCTACATCTGCCCCACAGGAAAGAGGATAAAAAATGACTTCAGATTTCAGAATCATTCACCGTCTGTGGTTAATCTGCCCCCTTTTCAACTTCTGACCCTGCACTCATTCTTTAATCTCAATTGCAGCTCGAGAAACATTCAAGTGAATCCAACTGTCTGTCACCTGATCGACAGAGAATTTTCCCTGCTTAGGAAAATGACTGGATTTTGTGCTTCACTGAAGCTGTTTCTATAGCTCTTTTGTGCAATAAAAAACACTCGCTTGTTCCACAAGTTCCTTGATTTTGAAGTGTGGGCTGACTCCTCTGACCCATCCACCAAGAAGCTATGCATCTTTTCATTAACACTTATTACTGGAGGCTCAGAGCCGTTTGGAGGCGAGGTGTCTAAATGTCTAAACGTTATCAGCACCACCCTGTAAGTACTTGGGAAGCCACAGGGGTCATCACGTCACTGAGACATTGGTTGACTAATACTAATCTCACTTTACCTGCAGCACCCAGCCAGCTGTGAAGGAAATGTTGGTCACAGTCAACTAGTGACATGACCCAGGCTTGGACCTGTGACACCAGGATCAAAGAGCTCAAGCTGAGCTGGAATGTACACCTTTGCTGTTTGAGCCACTTGCAAGCCCTGTTTAGGACTTTTTAACCTCTTCTAGTTTCTTAATTCAGAGAAACATCTTACAGGTTATTAATGTTATCAATTGGTGATGGGAGAAGAGGTTTGGCAAACAGCATGAAAGTACTGCTGCACACTCAAAACTGATTTTTTAAAAGTGGGAAAACAATAAACGAATGTCACTCACAATTTCAAAGACAAAAGAAAAACAACAAAACTTAAAAGTTAAGTGTTGTTATCTTGGCAGTGTACTAAATAACATGAAAAACATACAGTAGTACAGTACATTTAAGTATAATAAACATAACAATATATCTTAAGGCCCATATTAAGCTGTACCATCACAGCTGAGTCCAGTGGAGTCCAGACTGAACCCCCTCTGACATTCACAACTGAAGCTCCCAGGAGAGTTCTGACAGATTCCTCTTGCACCACAAAGAGAAGGCTGGGAGGCACACTCATTGTTATCTGGTCAAAAAAAAGATCAGTGATTTGAATTTTCTCATTCATTTGCCACACTACTATACTATTTTACTGTTACTGTCCAAAACTTCCTCTTCAAAATCTCATGACATGACTATTTAAACAGGACTGTAAAATACGAATATATTTTTAAATTACACTTTTGCCTTAGGTTGGCTGAATTAATAAGGTCAGAAGACTAACCTCAGAAAGCTACTGTGGTTTCAGTAAAAACACTTAATTTGAAATATTAATATATATTTGTTCTTGAATTGAAAAAAGAATACTAAAAGTTTCCAAAGTGGATTTGGATGTCTCTTCAGTATTACGTAGCTGAAACATGAAAATTACTAAAACTAAAAGATAGTTTGCAACAAACATGGAATACAAAGTGAAAGGCTCACCAATACAAGCAGTGTGATGCTGTGTGAATCCCGGGGGACACTTGCATGTGAACCCCCCAATGGTATTGACGCACAAGAACTGGCAGTTGTGTTGCTTTGTCTGACATTCGTCAAGATCTGAAATGCATGACAGCAATTCAACAATTCAACAATTCAAAATCTATCGCTATTAAAAACACTTATAAAGAACAGATAAGAGGGTTCAATTTTAAAGCTTTTTTTCCCTGTCTAGTATTTTTTACATTGACCCTTTGACTATTCATTTTGGATAGCTACAGTACATGATATCCATCTTACTGAAGCACTTTTGTTGATTTTGGTTCACTGCCTCATTTCCCTTCTCCTGATTAAAGACCTTTGATCACAACTGTATCCATGCCATAAACTGTATTATACTTCCTTTTACTCTAAAATGTCTGGTCATATCTATTGAAATAATTCATGCTGTTTTGTCTGTCTTTTGTTCACCAACATTTCCTGGAAAACATAATACTGTGCTCATAAAGTTTTATATATTTTCTTTTTTCACCCTTTCTCTATCTTTTCTGTAAAATGCAGTCATGTAAAAAAATGTACTTTGCCGTGCCTTCCCATTATGAAGCAGAATGGCAACTTTGTTCCTTGTTTTATTACATTTAATTAATATACTATGTAATGTACTATGTATGTAATAGAAACAGTTATTACTACAGTTTAAAGTTTTGCCTACACCACTCAATCATTTAACTTTAATATTATTCTAAAAAAATAGAACATTATAATTAACAGAATCCAAGGAACTTTAAACACAAATGGACCATTTCATACATGTTTTGAAACATTAACTTTTACTTTTTGTTTACTTTTAAGACAAAGAAATAGTGTATACAATCTGTAAAATCAATTATTTTATATTTTTACTTATTTTGAGTTTCCGTCTATTAAGGTTTACAGGTTTGCTCCCTTTTGTTTAGGTTAACATTGACACTGCTGCTAAGTGTTTTACCAGTGAGTTTTCCATGGAAATAACTGACAATAATTGTATACATTGTTCTTGCATTAAATCTTAAAGCTGTCTGGAAATTGGGAAATGCCTTGGACAAAGGTGAAAGAGGTGGAGTGACTGAAAGTTCACATTTACTGAAAATATTTCATTGAAAGTCTTAATGCATTGCAGTTGTTCTGATAATTATAAAAATATCATACATACACTAATCTGCTAAAAGTAGGTTAAATTAACAAAAGTTAAATGGTTTAAAGTGAAGAAAATTAATGTACAGTTAACTCTATAAATTAAAAAGCTGATGTTCTGCTAGATTTGTACATTGCAAAATATCCAATAACAAATAATTATTAAATGTTTTTTTTTAGTTTACAAGAAACATGCAGTCCTACTTTAAAAAGAATATACTGCAAACAACACTGATACTTTATTGCAGTAATGCTGAGTAATTGCATCTTATGCTGAAGCACAGATATTATTATCTTGTACTGTACTTATTACCAAACCTTACCTATAATCAAAACCCAGCTAATTCGTAATGACAACTGTTACAAATCGAGTTAGTCTTCAAAGACTTTTTTAGATTTTGCTGCCTGTGATCTCAATATTGTACCACACAGAGATAGCTTGTTGAAATCAAGCAAATAAAAATCTGGAGTCAACTGTACCACTTTTGACATTTTTGCTCGGGTTTCACTGTTTCTTACTGTCTACCATACCAAGATTAATTTCAACAGAGAACGATTTTGAAAAGGTTGCTGCTGTCTGCAGTGCTTCATTCTGTTTAGCTAAAGTCAAACTGCATTATGTGAGACGTGAGAACCCCGTTTCATCACAATTTTGCAGTTCATGTTAACCATCACCCTACTCTCCACATTCACATTTCACCTGAGAAGAAAAAGAGACCACAGCACAGGATCTATAGACTTCAATGGCAGGCACACTACAATGTGTGGAGGGCCACATTTCTGGCCCTAGAGCAGCCAGTAGACCTATAGCTCTTCAGCAATACAACACCTTCAACACAACAACTAACGAGAGAAACAAAAAAGTGCTTCTTTAACAAAAAAAATTCTTATGATCGGTATAGTTTGAAAACAATTCACCATTAGTAAAAATGATTTTTGCATTTGCTTTCTTACATCTGCGCTTTCCCTGTTCCTTGCTACTACTGCTCTACAGCCCTGTTGGATATATTTTTGTGTCTTTCTTTTCTTTTGTGGCTCCTCTTTTTTTCATCTGTTGTGGTTTTAACACCTTGCTTTTGAACTCTGTCAGATGTGGCTTTTTTCCCACCTTGCCACGTCATTACAAGGATAATTTGTTTTATGTATGGAGCCATTTGGGAAGTTTGTCCCATGTGGGAAATCAGCTTTGCTGGCTGGTAATATATACAACACAATATATAATAGAGTTAACATATCATCAACCTCTTTTAACAAATAAGAAACATAGATGCATCAGATGAGCAAAATGATGATGATGACCCATGAACTGAAGCCAAAATGGCAGTCTAAAAAAATAAAATTCAGGTTGCAGAAAACTACCTTTGCAGGTCCTTCCATCTTCGTGGAGGATGTAACCACGGGGACAAGAGCACAAGTAGCTGCCTTCGGTGTTTTTACAAATGAAGTTACAAGGCTTGGGAGACTGGACACATTCATCCATATCTGAAAGCCACAAAAAGATGTTTGAAACAATTGGATTCATTTATGGACTTTAGAGAAACAACTAAATGAACACAACCAAGCACAGTTCAAAGAAAGACATTTTAGCTGAACACGCAGAAAGTAAAGTCACTTACCCACACATGATGTTCCACTGATATCTGAGGTAAAACCTTGTTTGCAGTGACACCTGAAGGATCCCATGGTGTTGATGCATTGTCCATTCTTGCACAAGTTGGGCATGACTCTGCATTCATCTATATCTGTTCATAAGTATAACCAGATCTGAATCACATTGAATCTGGATCACATTGAATCTCTGAACATTTTACACAATTCAAGATCAACAGCTTCTGAAATTTTCATTACTGTTTTTGGATTGAAAATAATAGCTATTTGAATAAATATTAACAGAAAATAATTATAATAGCATATTTCAATAGAATAAATGTCTCCTATGTTATGCTAAACATTGGAAAATAACATTTCCAAATACAAGTCTGCACTGAATGAATTATCGCAGGCAAATTAAGAATGCAAATGAGAAATGCACACCTAAGGCCCAAAGAGAAATAAAATTCCAGAGAAAAGATGTCAAAGAAATTAATGTAGACAGAATATGTTGTCTGTGTTAATTGATTTGTGAGGTTCTGATTGCTTTTAATTAAGCAACTGTGAAATTAATCTAAACTGGGTTCAACATTGTAAATCCAGGCATGATCAGCAGCCTATGTTAAAAGAACAGAAGTAAAAAGAAAGACAGAAGTTTTTTTCAGGAACAACTTGCAAATTGAGGGTTCAAATCCAAGTTAGGATTGAATAAACCTGCTGGGAGACTCTGTTGTTGTTTTCTTGCACCACAATATTTGAGAGCCTTAATGCACCTGTTTCAGAAAGAGTTGAGACTGAAAGCAAGGCATAACACTATCAGTGTGTATACAGCTTTCTGAAGGTTTCCATAAACTCCAGAATCCTTTAGCCATCAGCACCCCAGCCTGTCTCCTCACCTGTGCCATTTGTTGTGTAGCCAGGGCCATGGGGACAGAGCTTCTTATATGGCCCAGTTCCTGGCAGGGGGCAGAGGTCACATTGGTTACCCCAGCCTCGGCCCCCGTCACAGCAGCACTCTGACCTGGTTGTGGGGTTACGGCTGCTTGAGGACATTTGGCACATAGTCTGAAGCACTTCAGTAAAGCAGAAACCTTCTCGATAATCTGTGAGGGACAAATTGAGACATAGTAGAGACAAAAGGTCTAAAACAGACAACAGTACAAAACCAAAACATGGGGAAGTTGTGGACTTGCTAATCTCTCTCTCTTCTCGGGATATATGTTAGTTTGTTTAGTCTTTAGACAAGTGAACAAAATGAAGAACTTTGAACTGAAATAGATTATATTAGCCTTTTTGAATAAATTAAAATTAGAATTAGGCTGGTATAAAACATTGCTAAGTTTTTAAAATATAGACCCTTCTTCCAGGAGCCATCTACTGTATGATATTCATATCCAGCTCATCGTGGTATATCTATGAAAAACATAAATATAATTATATATAATTACATATAAATATTCAAGGACTGAAGTGGAAAACGCACAGTTCACAGGTTTCAAAAGAGAACTTAATTGAAAAGAGGAAGACATAAAATTCTGAAACTATATAGCAAAAGGCAGAATGTACAGTATTCACCCTAGATATTTTGAAAGCTGGTAAAGGCATTATCATTGTACTGACAATAAAACATTAAAGGTCACTCTATGTCAGAAAAGTAACGAATTATTTATTAATTAATAAATAAGGAAATTAATACAGCCAAAATGTTGTGTTTCTGTGCTTCTCTTTTCAGTAAGAAATAAAACCTTTACTGGATCCTTTGTTGTAACAGGTTCAATAAGAATGGTTTTAGTTTCAACCTGATCACAACTGAAATCGAATTTTGAGAGTTAACTAAACAAAAGGATGGATTAGAGGTATGTTTACTGGTAGGTAAAGAGATCTGGGCAAACTAAGGCAGGGAGGACTGGTTATTCTGCAAAAGTTGTGATGGTGCCAGTTATAAACATGAGGAACCAAATAAAAAAATAATTAGGTTAGAATTAAACTATAATCTATTTTGTAAAAATGATTTTCAGACACATACAGGAGTTTGTTCTGCCAGATGAAATTGGTGATTACTTAATCAAGAGAATATGTTTCTTCAGAACAAAAAAGAGATACACTGAAACTTATGCTGTTAAGAAATGCTGTTGGAGTATTACTGTATATGTTGCCACCAAAAATCAATGCAGTGCAGTCTATCTTTGGAAATCTATTATGGTCTGGGCAGTCAAGGTGCTACAGTTGTTGGAAAAAAGGGAAGAGACAACAGGTGATATAAATACCTAAATATGTAAGGCCTGTAAATGGAAAAAAAGCATGGAAATTGGAATCTATGTCTTTCTGCCCTCTTAATTGGAAAGAGTTCACTTTTTGGGAAATTTACTTTACTTCAAGATACAATAAGTAACCAAAATACAAAAAGCTGGGATACAGATCACTGGAGAAGATATGTAGAGTCACAGGATACATTTCTGCATATAAAGAAAATGTACTGTTCTGACCCTTCCATCTCACCATTGTAACACTGACAATGTTCTCAGGGAAACAGATGGGTTCAATTCCCAGAATGAACAGGGGTGGGTGGAGGCACAGGGCAGGCTAAGGTATCATGAGACAGCATGAAATAATCAGACCATTTTGTGTTTGGACAGATATACGATTTGGGAGAGGTATAAAAGACAATCCCAAGAAGTTAAATTTATCGCCCAGTGCAAATCTGGACAATGCAAAGATTAAATAAAGCCACTCTATTTGATCAAAAACCTTTTCAGCAACTTACTGAAATGAAACACTGAAACTCATGGATTTTAATAAGAAGTTTCATGAACGTTAGGAATGAAAAAACGGACTTGAATATGGTTTAGTTCCAATCTGATCATGAGAGACTATAGTTATACATTTTAGATAAAGTATTCCCTTTGCTAACACGTTTTGCTCCTTTGTGGTGTTTGTATTTAACATACAAAATGATAATTGTCTATTAATTAGCTGCTTGTTTCTTCTGTATTCATCTTAAAATTAGACTCCTCTCAATTAATTTAGTCCAACTACTGTGATTAATAATAATAATAATAATTGCTTACACTTATATAGCGCTTTTCTGGACACTCCACTCAAAGCGCTTTACAGGTAATGGGGACTCCCCTCCACCACCTGGATGATGCGATGGCAGCCATAGTGCGCCAGAACGCTCACCACACATCAGCTATCAGTGGGGAGGAGTGCAGAGTAATGAAGCCAATTCATAGATGGGGATTGGTAAGGGCCAATGGGAGATGTGGCCAGGACACCAGGGTTACACCACTACTCTTTTCAAGAAATGCCCTGGGATTTTTAATGACCACGGAGAGTCAAGACCTCAGTTTTACGTCTCATCCGAAGGACGGCGCCTGTTTACAGTACACTATACTGGGGCATTAGGACCCATATGGACCACAGGGTGAGCCTGGTCGGTACCTGGATGGGAGACCTCCTGGGAAAAAATAAGGGCGCTGCTGGAAGAGGTGTTAGTGGGGCCAGCAGCACCCTTAGTTTTTCCCAGGGAAAACTAAGGGAGTTCGTTTTCTCCCATCCAGGTACTGACCAGGCTCACACGTGCTTAGCTTCAGTGGGTTGCCAGTTGTGAGTTACAGGGTGATATGGCTGCTGTCCATATTGCTTGCGTTTGCTGATAAAATACCATTTGCAATCTTTAATGTACTAGACTTGTTTTTAGTTTTAAGAGGTTTATGATAGATGCACATTTGTCAGCAAAATAAGTAAGTTAATATGGATGTTTCAGATCAGATTTTCAAAATACAAAATTATTTTGTGCTGAAGGTAAGCAATCCTAGTTAGGGCTGTGCAAATAGGTTTGATTTTATTTGACATGGATGTTGCAAAATAATAAAGCCTTTGAAACTAATCTTGGGTCTACTCTTTTAAATATATATTTTTAACTACTGTATATATCCTAGCATTTTGTTTGACTTTTTAGTTGCTTTCCCACATTATCTAGAAGATGCAACACCTAACTCTTTTTTAACCAGTAGTCTGTTCTAGCTCACCTTTTGCCATTTTGTATAGTTTTACTGCAAAATCATGAACATGCCGACATTAAATGACATCTGACAGGTGTCTGCCCAATCTTGAATTTTAATCTGATTGAATTTAATTTGTTAACTCTATTGTGTTTGCAGCAACTAATGTGGTCATAATCAAACCACATAATTAGATCATTATATGATGCAACATCTGGAAACTCCAGGCACACACTGTATGTAAGACTCCTTTTTGTTCATTTTAGCTCTGCATTCAACACCATCATCCCAGAACTCTCAATAAACGTTCATTTGAATGTTCCCCTCCCCACCTGTCAGTCAACCACAAACTTCCTAACTAATAAAAAGCAATGTGTGTAGATGGGCTCTTATTTGTCAGACTGCTAACTTCGAACACTGATGCACCTTAAGGCCATGTGCTGTCCCCATTACTTTACTCCCTGTATATTAATGACTGTACCACCAGCAACCCCTCTGTCAGACTACTCAACTTTAAAGAGGACAAAATTCTGGTGGGTCTTATAAGCAATGGGGATGATACACAGGTACAGAAGGGAAGTGAATGTCTGGTAACATGGTGTGCCAACAACAACCTTCAGCTCAATATTATCAAAATAGTGGAAATGTTATTTGACTTTTGTCCCTCCAAAGCCCACCTTCTTAGAAACAGTCAAAGTCGTAGTGACTATACAGTAGTTGTGTCTTTCACGATTTTAGGAATAACCATCTCTAACACCCACAGATAGGATGCAAATGTTATCAGCATCACAAAGAAAGTGCACCAGAGACTGTACTTCCTGCATCAACTTAAAAAATCTAAATTTTTCCCAGCCCATTCTCATTTAGTTTTATAGAGCCATAATTGAGAGCATTCTCACTGCTTCTATTTTTGTTTGGTTTGGCAACACGCCTGCCCATTCTAGAGGCTAACTGCAATGCACTGTCTGCTGTGTAGAGACTCACTGGCTGTCATTTGCCATCTATTGAAGACCTGAAGATTAAATAAGTGAGCAGAAAAGATTGTCGATGGCGACTCATCCAGAACACCGTCTGTTTAAAAAATTTGCCTCATGGCGACACTACTGTTCAATCAAAACCAAAACTGCCCAGTATCTGAACAGCCTATTCCCCATGGTTGTCACCCTGTTTAACCAAAAGTGTGCACAGTATATACACTAATTGAGGACCTGTGTTCTTTGTGTGAAGTGTATAATGTACAGTATGTATAATCATTGTTGAAACCTAACTAATTTATTAACTTTAAGTAAGGACGAGCAGTGGTCCTCGCAGAACTGCATTGATTATATCACCCCAATTTAAGTCACGTTGACCCCAAATTAGGTAGCCTGTAAATGATTTAGCAATGAGCTCCCCATGAATGTGTGTTGTGTCAATAGGAGAGAGGCAGCTGCTCATCTGTCCACTTCATAGCCCTGTTGTGAAGCTGTGTGGCTGGCAATCTGAGCCCAGCCAGAGTTCTGCGGTGCACGGATATCGTTCCTTTTATTGGAGTTGGATTTGGAGGGGCTTGGTCATAATCACACAAATGGTAGCTTTGCACCATCGGCTTCTCGGCACATACACCAAAAGTCTAGAGTTAAATTGACAAGACACAAATAAATAAGGTGGGCCTAATGACTTCCTTTTGTCTGGAAACTTCGTGTTCCCTTTAAGTCTGTTTTGTCAAAGCTGTCAGAAAATTCTCAGTCCATAGGTAGTGAAGCCAAACTTCTTATCAAAAGAATGTGGGCCCATTACTTGGTCTTTTTTTAATGGAATTAATAAAGTTGCTGCATTTAAAATCATTCTCTGGAGAAGCTGTCATTTTCTTCTTATAAAGGAGAACGAGACTGACGGATGCTTACCGATGCACTGTGTCCGTGTTGCACTCGACTGGAAACCATCATTGCAATCACATATGTAGCTGCCCAAGGTGTTAACGCAGCGTCCATTTTCACATATCCCAGGTTTGGTGCGACACTCGTTTTCATCTATGAGAACAAAAGCACAATCATCTGTTACTTCAAAAAAATCATACAATTAAAAAATTAGTTAAAATCAATTTTTCCAATCCATTGAAAACTGATACAGAAATATGCTCAGTTACAAACCTCAAGGGCTGTATTCCTGCAGGATTTGTATGTATTTTTCATTTATCAACTAATTAAGGACACCAAAAAGAGGTGTATTTTTGTTCAAATACTGTACTTCAATTAAGTAACAGACTGAAAGCCATAGACTGCTGAGTTCAGGAACTGCTCTTATCCAATACAGATTGAGTTCTAAATTTAACTGCAGTTACTGCTGAAGTTTCTCACCCACCTGACATAACTGCAACAACAACAACAACAACAACAAAAATTCAAAACAGAATATGGATTCTTACCTTGGCACCCTTCTCCATCTGGCTGGCGTACCATTCCCACTGGACAGATACACATGAAGGTGCCAATCAAGTTCTTACAAGCCATGCCCCTGGACTCACAGTCATGGAACCCTTCTGAGCATTCATCAAGGTCTGTTTCACAGTAAATGGTTAAGGCTCAATAAAGCATTTGAAATAGGCTGGTTACATAAAAAAACACTCATAGGTGTAAAAAGTGTGAGTTGTTTAAAAGCCATGTTGCGATTAAATACTGCAGTGGTGGGCTGGGAATTAAATTACTTTCTCCTTGTAAGAACTTTTAATTGCAGCTTTTCTTCTGCAAGTCTCTCTTGTCAGTTGTGATTGATTGTGCAATATCTTCGTGTGCTAATCATTCAGCAAAGGGATAAAGTCTTGCCTGGTGGCGAAGAGCTACAAACAGAATGCTTGGAATTGCAAAACATCACACTGCAAGCTTTTTAATCTAAACCAATTTTAATTCTAAGGAGCAAAAAAAAAAAAATCAAATACGCACAGGATTACTGAAGCCAAAAAATAAATATGACAAGTCTTCGATACTTTTTATAGTTGAAAAACAAAAGGATTAACTAAGTACAATTAAGCAACCCTGTTGAACTACAGTAAATCTAAAAATCTCATTTAAAATGGCAGTGTAACTAAGAGGCTACATTCTAAATGGCACTTGATTTTTAGACAACAGATTAAAACTGCATCGAAACTGTGCAGCACTGATAAAATATGTGTCTCCAACTTCCCAATTATTATCATGTGAAAACTCTTCTCTAAAACTCCTGCCTAGGCAATTTTGAATCTGCATAAATGGCATCAAGGTGAGCAAGGTAACACAGAATCAACTCAATATAACCTTGAAACACGAAGTCCAGAACACAAGCCTGAATAATCTCTACGTCCAGAGACAGACTACAAATTCAAGTCAGTAGGCAATATGTTATAGAGTGAACAGAATTAACTGGTGTTTTGAACTCGCCTATGCACAGTTATTATATAATAATTTTCTTCAGTGTGACAATTATGGCATTTGCTTGAACATCCTGGTCACATTTCTTACCTTTACACATCCTCCTGTCATCCCTCAGAACATAGCCAGCTGGGCAGGTGCACTCATAGCTTCCATATGTGTTGATACATCGGAAAGCACACAAAAGAGGGTTTTGGCCACATTCATTTATATCTGCAAGGAAAGAAAAACAATAACATAATGGTTCACAAACTACTGGAAAAAGCACTGGAAAAAAAAAAAGATTGTTTTCATTTGACAACTTTGTTAAGATCAGCCATGGCATTTAATACCTCTTGAAAAGAGGTATTCATGAATGAAATTAAATAATACAAATGATACAGATTTTACCTGTCAAAAACTGAAGAGAAGAAAAACTTTCTGGAATCTATTCACAGAGTTAAATTGTAAATTCAAATCATTCAGCAATTTCAAGCAAAAAAAAACAGTTCTTGACTATTCTGTATTTAACACAAAACTCAGGTGAACAGGATGTACAGTAGCCATTAGGTTTGATATGAGTGTGAAGCACGTTAGTTATAGTTTTGATTTAGACCTTGAATACTTACACAGGTGAATGAATCGACTGATCTAAAAACTGTGACCACTGCGCAACACAGAAGTAAGCGATGTCAAAAAACAATCCAGACAGCACGTCTTTAGATTGCTGTTCGGACATGAGGAAAACATGCAAACTCCACAGACACTTTAGCTGTAAGGGTCCTGGGTTCTGTTCCAGACTGGGGTCACACAACATGTCATTCTTATAAATATTCGTACTCATACTTATGTCATACTCTTAAATATATCCATACTTATTTATACCAAACTGTTGTGTCCAAAGCACCCTTTTAGACCAGCAATATACAGAAGTGGCTCACCCTCACAGGTCATCATGGGCCCAGGTTCAAATCCTTCTTCACAGCTGCACTCAAAGCCCCCAATCACATTGGTGCATGTTCCGTTGCCACAGGGATTACCTACTGAACACTCATCAATGTCTGCAAAGAAAATGGAAAAGCTCCATCACACAGCACACAAGGGGGCAAAGGGACACGTCTCCAAATCGGAAGAAATCAACAAGACATTTAATCAAGCCACCTACCTACACAGTGCACTCCAGTGTAATTCAGAGTGTATCCCATAGGACACTCACATCGGAACGATCCATCTGTGTTGATGCAGTGTCCATTGTAACAGATACCAGGATTCTCTGCACACTCATTGACATCTGAAAATTGAAATTATAAAATTGTTTTAAATTGTTTTTTAACAGCACATCACATTCATATTTCTTCCCAGGTTTGTTTGATGCTTCCATACATATTCACTATGTGGACAGTGAAAACCATTTGAAAAAAATAATGACATATGAATATTCACGTATATTATATTATACTTCAGGTGTGTAGCTGCTTCAGCATGTGTAGGCTGCAAAGGAACAAGTAATAGGTTTATTCCATGCTGAAAAGAGAAGAAAGAAAACACAACGTTTCGGTTCTGGAGCCTTCTTTGGGTTTGCTCACACCCAAAGAAGGCTACACAGCCGAAGTGTTGTGTTTTCTTTCTTTTCTTTTCAACATGGAATAAACCTATTTATTTGTTCCTATATTATATATGAGCAGTTTCTTTGTAGACAGAAGGAGGACATTTATCTGAAAATAAATTATTTATTTACCATTTTGACCACATTTGCTAATTAAAAAATGTCCTTTTCTTCACCAGTATGTAATGAATAAATAGTCAAGAAGTTCTAAATAAGTTAGTCAACAAACCTTCACGAGTATCTTCTTTTCCTGGAATAGTACCATAGCCAAAAGGGCAAAGCTCCTGGAATGCAACTGCATATGGGAAAAACAAGTAACACATTGCATAAAATACAAATTCATTTTTGCTTTAAGTTAGACCTTTAAACTAGATGACACAGTTTGATAAAGGCTTAGAATTTTTTATCTGTTCATCTTTTTAACATGCACAGAAAACGTGATTTTAGAGCCTCAATTCCGTCAGATGTCAGCGGTACTTGTGAAATCAGAGGAGTCAGAAATGTGTTCCATGGCGGAGCAATGAAAAAAGGCGACTTGTACCTTCGTGTTCTTTGGGGCAGAGCTCACAGGGATCCCCCCATCCTTCTTTGGGCATCTTGCTGCAGCAGCACTTAGCCTTGGTTGTGTTAAAGGGCTGAGGCGCTGAACACATTGAATTTTCAAACTTGGTGAAGCAGAAGCTCTCGCGAGTGTCTAGAAAAGCAACATTTCCGCGATTTCAGAAAAAGTCTAAAATACTTGGAGAGGGAACTTAGTCGCAACTTGGGTTCAGTCACAAATTTTTGACATGCTCAGAACTTGGTGAAGCCTTACTCTTTTGGATCTGAACAAAACATCTTATTTTCCCCTGTCATATTTGTGCCAGTTCACGCAGCAAAACATGTCGATATCTGCTCAGCTGCTATAAAAGGACACCAACTAAGTTAATTATTAAATTATTTTAAATTCAAATTATTTACTCAAAACTAACAGACAGCAAGCATCAAAGCATACATTATCTATAGCTAACATACTGTATGTTGTCAAAACCAATGAGACAATGAGGCAATGTTTAATGGATAGGGAAGGTTTGATTCCATAATGGACCTAAATCGAGGAAGCGTTCTCAAATGGGACAGAATTAGCTTCTCACGTTTTATATAAAAATAACAATGGCAAAAGGGTAGCTAGTAAAAAATAAGATAAGTCTGATCTTATTTTGTTATTTATATTTTGGAATCATCTAAAAAAATGGCAGAAATTGGTTGACATGGTCTTCTAAACACATTTCTCATGAAGCCACAGGGTCATTCCAAGTTAAACTCAGCAACAGTACCCAAGTATTTCTTGCAGTAGCAAAATACTAGCATTAAGCATGGATGTTTAATATATTTTATTGAGACTGAATGAACTAGTGTAATTTAAATACTGGGGAATTTACAAAGGTAAGAGCCTCCACTATGTCTAGAATTCAGCTATATTGCATGTGTGCTAACTAAAACTACTCTCTCATATTACTCCTGTCCTGTGTAGAATGAATTGATTCCAGTACAATATTTAGTAGATTTTAAGTTGCTCATGCTTGCTCTAATATGGAATGGCCTTTTAATTCAAGGCTCCACACAGCTGGCAAAAGAACATCCCAGGGGCATGCATTATTACACAATCCTTTGAGTCTTTTGAAAAGCATTTAATAGAATAATGTATTATTGTTGTTCAGCAAATTTTAAAAACACTACTGTACATTTTCGAGACAAAATCTGTTACACAATAATCTTTTCAAGATTTGGGAGTGTCACTGCATACCATAACACCTGCGTCCACTTTCTGATAGGACGAATCCTGGCCGGCAGACACATTCAAAGCTTCCCAGATTGTTGAAGCAGGAACCAAATAAGCAGATATTGGGGTCCTCATCACACTCATTGATATCTAGGGCAAGTCAGAGAGAATGCCTCAGTAAACTGAAGGATCACAATCATTCTTTGCACAGAGAAGGGTTTCCACATCGAAGGGTTCAACAGAAAAAGAAGAAAAGAAAAAGTACTGTACAAATTGAAGCAAGGACTCTTCAAGGAGTTCTCAAAGAACTGTATTGAATTGATTAAAGAATTTCAGTGCTTTCAACAGTTATGAATCAGTGTGCTGCTTGGCACACAATAACTAAATCCGAAAGAGTGAGAGTGACTACTCTGTCTCCCCTCATTGTCAGTGGAGAGTGAAGGGAACCAGACAAAGACAGAAACATTATGGTTGGAGACCGCAGATGAAATCAATCCATGGCCTTTTTTGGAATATAAGTACATTCTTCATACAGAACTCAAACCAGTAATTTATTTTACTAACCACACTGCACACACATATAAGCAATGTTAGCATACCACAGGAAGAAATTTTGCTTTCATACTTTAAACAGAAAGTAGCCCACTGGAATCTTGCCAACTAGTCTGACATTACCAATACAGCGGCAGTAAGCCTGTACCGCAACATTGGAACTTTTCTTTAATTTGGAATCAACAATTATTTTTGTAATGCCAACACAATTTTTGAAACAGCCAATTGTGTTTTTTTCGACATCTTGACTTCCATTTATGCAGACATGTATGGAAGTGTAGGAGCACTCCTTTGGCTTGCTCATCATCAAGTCATTCACAGCTTTTAATACAGCAGTGGCCTCAAATCATGACCTTCACAGATGGTACTGACTTCAACTGCCAGGGAGGCAGCAGGGGGTGCTCTGTCACCGAGACCCTAACCAAGCCCCTGCCAACTAATCTCACCCTACCCTCAATAAATAACTCACCCTGTGCTTGGGTGAGGCCCTTATTCATCCATCCACCTCAGGGTAGTGAGGGAGTCAGAGCCTATCCTGGCAAGTAATGGGCTTAAGGCAGGATACACACTGGATGGGTAATCACAGGGCAGACACAAAGACACGCACACGCCTATGGCTAATTTTCCCAAATGTTATTTAACCTACTGTACCAGTATTAGACTGTGGGAGGAAAACAAAACATTCAGAGGAATCCGACACAAACATGGGGAGAAATACAAACTCCATGAAGTTGGTGCCCCAAGTCTAGAACTGGGTCCCAGCTCTGTGATGCAGCAATACTGATCACTGCAGCACTGTGCCGCCCCTATAAGACTGTAATGACTACTATCCAAGTGGGCATTTATAAAATGGCCTTACCAATACAATTGTCATTATGCACAATGTATCCAGGAGGACAAAGACAACGGAATGTTCCATCAAGGTTCTGACACGTTCCTGGCGAGCATGTTCCGGGTAATGTCAAACACTCATTAATGTCTGTTTTAAGTTAAAAAAAAGAGTGAATTATTATTAGGCTGACTTTGGAAAACAAGTTTTTAGAGAGTAAGAAATATATTTTTACATCAGTTCTTAATTACTTAATTACTAAATACAGCGCAGGATATATTATTTCCAAAAGTGTTTGCTTACCAATGCAGTTCTTTCCATCAGGTGTAAGTTCATAGCCCTCCTCACACAGGCACTGGAAGGATCCAATACTGTTGATGCACTGGCCATTTCTACATAGTTGTCCATAGGAAGACCTACACTCATCAATATCTAGAATGAAATTTAAAAATGATTTTTTTTACATATGTCTGCATATCTTTGGTATTTAGTGCAATAGGCGGTTTGGTTTCATGAAAGTAAGCAACTGTAAACATGCTAAGTGACTGTTGTGTCACTGAATGCATGTGACATAAAATGAGGTTCATGTTGAAAAACCTCCCATGGTTGTATTTTAAAAGTAAAAAATCACGCCACACTGGGCCTCACCTATGCAGTCGTTGTTATGTGTAAGCTCAAATCCTGGATAACACAGGCAGTTGTATGAGCCCACTGTATTTTTGCAAGTTCCGTTACCACAAGGCTGCCGTTCACATTCATCAACATCTTAAAAAATGAAAATACACAGAAATTACCCATCTGGAACAGCAGAGGGAGCTCTCACCTTTCAGGGCCCTCACAGTTTACCATCTGATCGCCACCATGTTTTAGAAATTCTCAAATTGTCCTAGTCTATGTTAGTAGTGCCAACTGACAGTATGGGAACAAAAACAGTTTATATGTTGAATAATTAAAGCAGGGCAAACCAAGTTATTTGTTATATTATTATAGATACCGCCTTATAATTATATTTATTTCTATACAGTACTTGACTCAACATTGACTTTGTATAGACTTATAACAGCAACAAGTTCGAGACAATGGTTTACTTCAAATGTGGCTCCATGACACATAGTTGGAAGGGAAAGATTTCATTCAACTAGTAAGTGTACACTCACCCATACACATCTTCCTGTCTGGGGTTGCCTTAAAGCCATTGTGACAGACACACTGGTATCCTCCCAGCAAGTCTCTACATTCCCCGTGGCTGCAGACATTGGGAATTTCCAGACACTCATTACGATCTTTAAGGGGGGAAAGTTAGATATCAAGGTCAAAGCTCAGTAGATGTACTCTGCTAATCAACATCACCCATCACAAGTATTTTTAGAAAGCACACACTGCCAAAGTGTATATTTCCATCTGCCCCACCTTTTCCTTACATCACTTCTCTTGGTCATAAAGCTGTAGACCCTCCCTGGCTGAGTGGTTGAGCTAATTGGCAGCCTCGATAGACAATAGGAGGCTATTTTCTGAAGCAGGGCTGCACACAAAAGATAATGAGATTGAGATTCTGAGATAAGGCACAAAAAAATAAAATAACTGCCTGCTTATAGAAGTGAAGTAGCAAGTTGCAAAAGAGGATTCCCTAAAAATCTGCATTCAGAATTTCAGTCAGGCTGTATTTTAATGATTGAGGATGGGTTTTTCATTCCTCAGTTAGATTTTTTTACTGTGAGCACCAAAAACATATTATAGATAGTGCTGTGCAACTGCCATTACATTTAAAATGTAAATCAAAGAAAAAATTGGTATTAACAAAAACCTAAAATACATAATACTTGACATCCCAATTTATATTAAGCTGCAAAACAAAAGATGTTTGAAATTTCATGAATTAAAGGTGAATTACAGTTATTGGTTTTAAGTAAAACTGAACAGTTGTAGTGGTTAATTCCCTTGTGAAGAGTAGAAGGTACAAAAAATGTTCTGAGCGGTCTTCAGGTTTAAGGGAAATGTATTTTTAGTCACTCATGTTCATTCAATCCATTCAATCCTCTTTGGTAATATTGTTCACAATAAAAATAATATTGGTTTATGTCTGTCAGGAAAAGTATGAATAATGTATTCTAAAAATTAAAATTTAAAACCGATGTCCTAATTACCGCATTAATTTGTGATCAATTACAACATCAAAATGCATTATTTCACTTATCCATTTAATAAAAATGGATAAGTGAATACAATTAGTGAATACAGAATACAATAGAATAGAATCACAAAATCATGGGTCACTGCTTCATGGCAAATATGTTATTTTCATGTACGTGCAATAATACAGAGAGCAATACTCTCTGACAAATCAGTTCAGGGGTGAAAAGCCCAGTTCTGCGTTCATTAGGAAAAGAAAACATGCAGTAATTTCTACCTTTGCTCTTATTCCCAGAAAGTAAAGAAATTAGATTTCATTTTGAGAGATTCAACTGTGTTGAATAAAGGTCCTCAGTGACGTATAGTACATCAATGATGTTCTATACCTACAGTGCAGTACGGTACTTTCAAGTGTTTACAGCACTTCAAGCTGCTGTCTACTCCCCTACCCTCATGGCACTTTTTCGAAAGTGTTCTGGCTCAATTCCATTCTGGGCTTGTACAATCTGGCCTCCCTAAATGTAACCTTTTAATTCAATTGGTGAAGTAATTTCTCATTTCTCTACCTAATGTAGAGAATTTTTGGTGTAATAGTGCTGCAGGTGCATAATGGTACATCTATAGTGATACACTACAGTATATAGTACAGTGATAGATGTACAGTAGTGGGTCTCCTATATGTATAACACTTTTGGATCTGGGATTCTTTGGGATGAAAAGCGCTTTATAAATGCAATTATTATTACAGTTCAGAAATAACAGCATGGAAGAACTACATGAAAGCTTCATAATAACGATACTGTACATTTATTTTTTTGTTATGGATAGGAGTGTGGATGTTTTTTTCCACAGACACTTGATTTGTGTAGCGGTGTGGATGATATCATTTTAATACTTTCAGAAGTTCGTACCTTGTGAAGCACATACCCAAGTAAAATTTGTTTTTATGCATTTGTTCCTAAGCATCTGTTTTGCTGGTTCACTAAATTATACAGACAAATACATCAGGACTCACCAATGCATGCGCCATTGGGAGAGAGTCTGAATCCATCAGAGCATTCACAACGATAGCTGCCTGGGCTGTTGATACAGTCTGCGTGGCGCTGACAGAGATTATCTCCATTGCTGCACTCATCAATATCTGAAAACAACAGAATCTTATAGACTTAACAAAATTGGGTATTTTTATTAAACAGAAGTTCTGCTGGGTTATTGTCCAAATTCTTTTCAATCAAAAGACATCTAAACCTCCACACACCCTAACATCAATCACACACTAAAAAAAGTGAATGAAAAAAGGTTTTGTTCAAACTAGGGGAAAAAGATATCACGTTATGCAATATTAAATCATTTTGGTAATAAATGCAGTCAAATCATAATTAATTTGACATATTTACTATGATTCTTTTATTAAACACATTTTTATCTTAGTAAATTGTTGTTAAACCCTTAAAAGAAATAAACTCATTTTTGCAACACAAAGTATATAGAAATAACTTTTCAAATCCTGAATCTTAATCTGGTTAATCTGAAAGATATACTCACTAGCACGTGCTATGATGTCTTCAATACATCATGGGGGAAAGTAGTATAATTTAAAAAATATGCTTAATAAATGAGAAATTATGATACTTAACAGAGTTCACAATCTGTTAGGTTGCCTGTTAGTTAAATCAGTGAACAATATTTGAAGAGTTGGAGGGGGTCAATAGGTCTAGGACCTTAAATGCAACAGAAATCTCATAATTAGATTGTTGGAAAGCCCCCAGGCTCACAATAGACAAAGGTTTATTTGTTCATAAAAGCATATTGTTTTGCTAGTGTACTATATTTTTATTTTATAGAATTGTTTCTGATTTTCCTAATATAATGAGTAGGCTCTTCGTCAAACATCCATTTCAGTATCTGCTGCCAGGTATGCCCTTCTCAATATGCTAGTTTCACAACAAAAGTGAAAGATCTCTTTATTGGCCATATACTGTACAAGTTCTTGGATTAGGAATTTGTCTTTTCATAGACCCCAGCTTGCTCTCCATGAGACACACAGACAGGGAGAGAAGCTTGGGGTCAGAGCACACGGTCAGCCATTTATACAGCACCCCTGGAACAGCTGGGGTTAAGGGCCTTGCTCAGGGGCCACAGATGCAGATCCTTAGCCACAGAGTCACTGCACCACCCCAAAGAAACTACTGTATAAAGTAAGACTCGCATTTGCAAGGTCTCTCATGAGGACAATTTCAGCTTGAATTTGAAAACTGGACTGACTTAAAAAGATTCAAGGATTTTGGGGTTTTCCAATAATTGACCGCACTAAGAGCATTATGAGACTAGGCAGAGGGGTTTTGTTGCTGTCTGAAAGAAATTAACTCTAATATACATCATCTACATGAAGGGCTGAGAAAGAGACTGAGGAGATCATACAAAATACAGACAGACAGTGTGCTAATATTTTGAAAAGAAAAAAAAATCTAAAAGAATGGAAAAGCAAACCAAGTCATACAGAATGAAACACAACACCCACACTGTCTCAAGTCTAAAGTTCTTCCTGCCCCCTTGTAAAGTTGACAAAAACTGCTGTTTGATTTGACTAAAAATGGACCTAATCGCCAGCTACAGTTACCATCCTCTGTGGTTGCAACTACTTTTTCAAGACAGGAAATACCAGATCCTCTTTTATGTGCTCCATAGGAAAGCATATATCTTTAGAGAAACACACTGTGAGGAGGCTACCTGATGAGCCTTCCTTCAAAGCTAGGCAATGCACACACCAGGCAATGGTTAGTTATTGCAGACAAATTCGTGGCCCATTTTTCATTAAACTGAACTTTCATAAACTGATTGTGGTATCAGCTGTATGAAAATGTTGAAAATACTAGGAAAGACTATGATATCAAACAATAAATCTATATATAGAAGCTGTTTGATCAGCATTAATACCATTAATGCAGATTCTGTAGAAAAAGCACTGAGAAATGACAGAGAGAAATGAGAAATGGCTGCATTTATATTTCTGCTGCATACCTTCACAGATTAAGAGCAGGTCATTGTAGCTGAAACCAGTTGGACACTCGCAACGGAAGCTTCCTATCTGGTTAATGCAAACACCGTTGGCACATATCCCAGGAATCTCTCGGCACTCATCAATATCTGCATGGGAAGGGAGATGCTCACAGCTTAAAATTCCTCCAGGTTTTCTCATTGTTGTGAATGTGTCTCAAGACAGCAGTAAAAGTTATCGGTTTGCATTTTGTCGACATAAATGACATGCTTTAAAAATGGATTTAAGTGGTATACTTAACAAAATAGGATGACAGGAAATATATATATATTTTTATCATGCATACTCCCATGGTAATTAGATGAACCATGTGCAATAAGCGTCTGTGGTTATTACATTCCATAAAACATTTCACTGTAAAACACAAAAGTACCTTATTTTACTCATATACTGTACTCAGCACTATATTCATATATTAGCAACTAATTTGATCAAACCTGTTGTATTCACATTGGCAGAAAACAGGACTGAACATACAGTAGTACTTTGAGTAAATGACTGCTTTATAAAGTCATATAAACGTCCAATTCTGATACCAAAACTGAAAGCAAAATAGCCTGTTCTTTCAAACCAATTATTTCAAATGAGATTCAAGAAAAAAAAAAGTGGTACAGTTATTCAGGATATAGAATGCAAATATTATGTATAATGTAAGAGAAGGGCCAACGTTTCAGACGGAAGCATGATCTGGCCAAAACATCTGATCTTCTGCTGTATGTTTTTAAGAATAATGTAACAGTTTCTATGTTCTGATGAGTCAAGTCTTTGTGGTCATTATACCACATAATGTATGGTATAATGTTATTAATGAAACACATCCATTTGTATTCTTCAGAACACAGAATGACATTAGACAAACTGTAGGCCTTTTTATTGTATCTTACCCACAGCTTTTCCAGTTTCAATGTCAAAGTAGAATCCAGGAAATCCATTCCCACACAGTGTGCGATAATCAGCTGTTAAGACAGAAGTCAGATGCTGCATGAGATGCAAAACAACCATTGGCACTCTTTGCTGTTAATATAGTTAATAATAATAATAATAATAATAATAATAATAATAATAATAATAATAATAAACATTATTTTACAGAATGGGTGTTATCATATGGAGGTACTGAACAGTTACAGCACTAAAATAACTGATACTGTAACTCTATACTTACACGTTCCAGGAGTTGGGCAAGTTTCACAGGGTTTGTTCCAGGCCTTCCCAACATTGTAGGCACAACAGCAGAGCCTCTTTGTGATGTTAAAAGCCAATTCATTCTCACAGGCAGTTCCATTGTAGTTTCTGTAACACAAACTCTTCCTCATATCTGTTGAAGGGCAGAAACGATAGTATGTGATGTTCATCTTAACAAACGTTTAAAAATGTTTGTTATGACCATTAATACTTAGAGAATAAAAGATATAAATCGTGCAGAGTGGACTGTATCGTTGTTCCATGGTAGTGTTTGCTTTGACTTACCCATACAATTGTTTCCACCATTGACCTGCATGTACTCCTGAGGGCACACACATGTGTAGTTACCCAGAGTATTGTAACATGTGCCAGGACCACAGATTCCAGGATGGGTGATACACTCATCAATATCTGCAAAAAAAACACAAAAGTTCTATTTCTTTGTTGCAGTCAATAAATGTGAAACAATGAGAAAGATTCTATAGTTTGCCACATTTAAATGCTTTTGAGGTTAATTATTTTTATAGTAAAAGTGGGGTTTTATCATAGCACAGGAACATTAAATTCCCTCTTACCTTCACAGATCCGACTCTCGTCATTGAGGTAGTAGCCAGATGGGCATTCACACTGGAAACTGCCAAAGGTATTGATACAGTTTCCTCCCTGGCACAGACCTGGCAACTCCTGACACTCATCAATATCTGTAAGCCAAGAACACACTTGATGTAAGCTTCAAAATGGCCTACTTGTGTGGAAACTGAAGAGGCTTATCCTTATCTTACCCTATGTACTTCCAAAAGAACTTACCTTCCAATAATATTGTAATGGGGTTGGTTCTAAACCCTTCTCCTCCTGGGCAGAGCGTGTTATACTCAGCTGGGAAAACATTAAAAAAGGCTTGTATAACTATTGGTTGGATTATAAGAAGTTTACTCTGTGTAGACTTCTCTGAAGAGAAACCTATATACTGTATAAGTTCGTCATTGACTGCCTTTTCAAACATAAGTACATTTAGTTTCCATAATCTACTACAGTACAACCTGATTCTAAACTATGTGTGTTTATATACAGTACAAATTACAGAATTTGGAAGGTCCGCTTACTTGTGTTGACAGCTGGGCAGTGCTCACAGGGGTTTCCCCAGGCTCTTCCCAGGGAGCAGCAGCAGGAAGAGCGACTAACCAAAACGCCGATCTCCACGCTACAGGAAAGCCCATTATCACCCCGGAAACCAACCTCCAAATAGCAGTTACCAACACGGGTGTCTGAAGAACACAAAAAGAACATTCCTAGGTGTAGGGGGTGTCCCCAAAATTTCCCTTTGGCCTCCTAATAATCCCCATCTCTGAATTGGCTTCGTCACTCTGTCTCCTGATAACTGGTGTGTGGTGAGCATACTGGCGCACTATGGCTGGCATCGCATCATGCAGGTGGGGATGCACATTGATGGTGGAGGGGAGTCCCGATTACCCATAAAGCACTTTGAGTGGAGTGTCTGGAAAAGTGCTATGTACTGTAAGCGTTAGGAATTATTCTTTCTCTCCTGTATTTAAAATTCCTAAAATAAACACCTTATTTGTACATAAATTAACTTTTGTTTATTAATCTGAAGTCTTCAAGGTTTTGTGCCAATGAATCTAATTTTAGCTGGTAGTCCTAATGAGACTAGTGCTTTGGAGCTCCTCAGTACTCATTTTTTGTTGTGTCATTGATGTCACCTTAAAGGGATTTCCAAAGTTTTGGGACAAGAAACTACCGTAATGTCATATAAATATACAAAAGAGTTTTTGGCTAACACAATACAAAACCTTACCAACACAACCGACCCCAGTTGGATTCAGCTCAAAGTCAGGTGGGCAGTTACACTCATAAGATCCAGCAGTGTTCTTACACAAGCCATTTACACAGCTAATGGGATTCAAGCACTCATCAATATCTGCAAAACAACAGCAATACTGCTCAACATAAAATAAAATAAAAACAGCTACAGTATAAAGAATCTAGTCAGATAAAAAATAAATAATTACTGTAATTATTTGATTACTTTCTTAAAAACATGATTCAGCTGAAATTCCTTCCGTTTAATTTATTTTTAAATGATGAAAACGTTTTAACCATTATACTGTTTTTCATGCTACTTTTTTCTGTGTAAATCCAGGGGAGATCACAGAGGTAAAAAGAAACACAGATAAAAAAGAATTGTGCAATCTGAAGTTGTCTATGTAGAAAAATATGTACGGAGAAAATCAACTACAGTAAACTGCAGTCTCTCAATAAAACGTCTGGATATCAGTTTAATACGACTTAACAGGATAGACAGGTAACCTCCATCTAAACCAGAAGTGAGACAGGCTCTGTAATCCTGACACGACATAGTAGAACAAAAATAAGACTGTGGATCTCACAACAGGTTAAGACAAATACAGAACCATTAGTACACAGATTAACTAATTTCTAATATAATAATAATAAACTTTATTTTATATAGCGCCTTTAAAGGTGGCTTCTCAAAGCGCTTAACAGAATGTCAACAACAATAAATAAAAAGAATACATAAAATAAAACAATTACAATATGCAGAGGAGACTGAGGATGGTGGTACTAAGAAAAGCAGAGGGGCGAAGAATGGAACAGTTAAGTAAAGGCTTTTCTAAAGAAGGTTTTGAGTTTCTAAAGAAGGATTTGAAGCAGTTTAGAGAAGGTGACTCTCTGACATCCTTGGGCAGAGAGTTCCAGAGCTTGGGGGCATAACAGGAGAAGGCCCTGTCACCCATACAATGTAGACAGGCTTGTAATTTCTAAGACTGACAATGTTCCAGGATGAGGACAAGATGTGAACAAGTGGAAAAAAAGGTTTTCTTATGACCTCAACAGAGGCCAAGTCACAAGAGTGTCAGAAGTATAGCCTCATTTAGGCACAGGTCAAAATAAAACAGAGCACTTGGTTTTAAAGCTTTCAAGAATATGTTTTTTTCTTCTTTCATATTTTACCAAGACCCTATGTATGTTATCGGGGTTATATACAGTAGGATTGTGCCTTTCAAAACAACTATTACAAGGCATTTCATAGCAAATCTAAAATGAACAATAAACGTTAAAAAAAATATTAGAAATCTTACAGATTTTAATAATATACAGGAAAAGGTCCAGAGGGAAACCAGATTAAAACAGGAGGTCGTTGACTTATCTTCAAAGATCTTCAGGAATTTAGAATTACTAACAGAGATTCCAGGGAATTCCAAACTGCACAGATGGAAAAGGCTCTGGTAAAGGCAGCCAGAGGAGCATGAATTTTAATAAGGGATTATAGGGAGTCTTTTTTAGGATTAAGATTTCAAACACAAGATAAAACAAATGGTATCCATGAAAAAGCTGCCAAATTGTGTCTCTCTGTGTAGAACAGCGCATAAAATTTCAACCATGTTTCCATCTTTTAATTACAGACTTCAGAAACCCTCACTTTACAGGAGATTCACGTCTTTTATTATATATGCGGATCCAGTCAGGTGCTACTGATAGAGAAGAAATGGTATTAAAGTTTCAGTTGAACTACTGACTGAAATGTCACTAAAGCAGTAAAATGCCATTACATTATTTCTTCCACAGCAACTTATACTTGTGACTTTAGCTGACTACAAGAAATACAGTGCTCCGACATTACAAAAATGTGCTCCAATGAAACATTGCCAGTGCATTTTTTTATTTCATTGAAAGGGAATACATTAGATTCTCACATTTGTAGTATTTTCACTAGCTGCATGTACTGTATGTAATATTTAGCTGCACTGTTACATGCATTAGATGATTATTGACTGTTATTTGTTATTGCCTGGAGTACAATCACTTATTGGAAATGTGCTCTTCAAACATTTAAAAAGGATGGCAGTGGATGTTCTTTCCTTTGCTCCCTTTCTAGATGCTCCCACATGTGTCCTAAGAGGGTCAGCAGTGAAAATATTTCTATTGCATTTGAAAATCTCAATCAAGACATATTTGATTTCCAGACTGATTTTTCACAATAACAATTCTACCAAAAAAAGACTGCACTCAAGATATACAAAATGTCATCTGTCTTTTCATTTTACACATTTTCTTTTGTAAAAGAAATCTTGGTTTACGTTATTTATACTGTAGGTCAAATGAACTCACTGGATATTTCAGCACAAAGCCATCTTCTAAAGTATAGTACTTGACTGTGATGAACTGTGGTGAACACATCTTAAGGAGCTTCTGTACGACTACAATAATAATAATCCAAAGACATTAACCACTCTACTCTGCTGAATTTTTAAAGTAAGAAGAATATTAAATTTGCCACCCATTTTAAAAACAGCCTACTTACCTGTGCAGTTTCCACCAGATCTGTCCAATTCATACCCATCATCACAAATACATCTGAACATTCCTGGCAAATTCTTGCAGGTGCCAAATACGCATATATTCTGGAAGGTACATTCATCAATATCTGCAAACAAGGTTAAAGGGAAATTAAAATTATCGGGTATCAATAAGGACATGTGAATCACTGCTATGCTGGGCTTTTGTGGTACACATTTACATAGTATAAATAATTGAGAAAAATAGAGACAAAAATGCAGTAATATGTTTGTTTGGTGACTAAAAAAATGAAGATGACCGCATAACCATAGGACAGACAACAAAGACGGGATGTAAAAGAAGTATTAGAGAAGTGAAGAACAGACAGAGAAGGAAAAGGACAAGAAAGAGTGAGTAACAGCCTTCAATCTTCACTGCTGGATCTCCATGATAAATCGAAATCTGCCATGTATTGGGTACTGAAGGGTCTTAGATTAAATTTAGGAAAAGGATGTTTCATACAGTATCAATATTATGGAACTAGTTAAGTTTTACCAGGCAGTTCGTTTATTTGAATTTTTGTTAAGACTCACCTGCAGAGAATTTTATAAAAGCCAATCTAACTCTCACAAAGATTTGACTTTGCTTCTAAGTGCATTAGGAGAGATAATGTTAAGGATATAGTGAAGGAAGCTGATGCAAGGCAAAAGGTGATAAGCTTTTCTTTTGAGTCTTACTGCATGTGTCACTTCACATAATTGTTATACATAATTGTCTTTTAAACTATTCCCTGTTTATTTCTACAGCACTAATTTGTTCATGTCAAATTAACCTAGATTACCTTGTTAAGTTTCCCCTGAGTAGTCATAATGGGGTGTGTCATAATCCGTAAATTGCTTGCGCTCAAGTAGGTTTCAAAACTGATGCCATTATTGGCCTACTGTAATTATTTTGCTTTTCCTTAACCTCTTCTATTTATTAACACCACTCTAGGTTACAACTACGAAGGATAAAGTATTGAAATGAATTAAATTTTATCATTCTCGACTGCTTTACCACTGAAAGAACTATTTTATAACACGATCCCTGAGGTATAACACAATTTGATAATTAATACTCTATGTTTTACTAATGTCTTATTCTGACAGCTTTTTCGACAGTGTTTTTTTCCAATACTTTTAAAGAAATACAGTAACTGCCATTCATTCAGAGTAGGGATTACAAACAAAAAATACTGTCCTTTATTTTTAAAGTGGGGATTTCATTCATAGTATTCTAATTAATGAGTAAAAAATTGTTTATAGCATCAGAGGAGGGATACATCTCCGGTAGTTGTGAAAAGTTGAAAGGACACAATACAGATCTGAAGCCAAATGTATTTTTCACAGGTGTAGAACAAGGTTTCAGCATTCTGGTATAGTCATTTTAAATTGTAGTTTCACAGAATGTTCACAGCATAACACTGTAATATCTGTATTAATATAATATCAATATAATATATATAATATAATATTTGTCATGGTCATTTTAACTAAAAACATTTCACTGTGTTGTATTCCTAAGCATGATTTATGTGGTTTTACAGTCTGAAAACAGTTGTAAACACATTACAAGATGCAATTTTATGATCATACTCTCTGGGACAAAACTAGTTTTTACAAATAAATTTGTGAGACGCTGCAGAGGAGAGGTCTGCTTATGATTTTTATTGGCAAACAGTCTGGGCTTATCCAGCCAAGTTTTAACACACTAAATCTTGGCGTTTTGTCATGGTAGACTTATTAAGAATGAAAATACTTTTTTTTTTGTTTCCTTGTAAGGCTCAATTGAAGAAATTTACTTTTATGTCTGGGTCATGCTCCTTGTCTTCTGTTTGAAGGGGCAGGCCACAGCAGTGTGTGTTATTCTATGGGTTTCCAAAACACTGCCAATTCAGGATCTCAGGCAGGGGCTGTGATGCTGGTTACCCACCTTGGCAGGACTTGCTGTCTGGGGCTGGCGTGAAGCCCATTTCACATTCACACCGGTACGTTCCCGGGGTGTTCAGACACTGTCCGTTCTCACAGAGATTCACATTCTCTGCACACTCATCCACATCTGGAAGGAAAAAATATTACAAAGATGTCAAAACACATGGATTGTGCAGTGTTTTTTAGTTCAGAGATTACAAATGACATGTTAGCAAAAATAAATGCAAAAGATAGAAGCTTTTAAAATTGTTAATACAGTATATACTATTTCCGAGAGTACTGGTAATACATTCTCAATTAATCATTAGTGATGATAGCACCAGGTGGTTACATTCTGTGAATGCTTGGCTTGTGTTACAGCTCTTAAAGGGTTTACAAAGTGTTGCCACAAATGCAGTTTAAAAAATATATATATTTCAATCACAGGGATACACATAAGAACATAATGATTTCCAAAAGGTTATCCGGTCTATCTAGAACATTTTCAGAAATAAAACTGAAATGTCATTGTTTTTGCTGTTTTTTTCCTTACCTGAACATGTATAGCCATCTCCTGAGAACCCCTCTGCACAAGCACAGCGATATGATCCAGGTATGTTTAGACACTTGGCACTGGGGCTGCACTGATGTGTCCCATTAGCACATTCATCAAGATCTGTGTGTGGAGATAACATGAAGAGAAAAAATTGAACGACAGTTATGACAGCATATTTGTATTTAGTTCTATTTATCTTTTTTTGTACCAGATAGGCTCAGCTGACCTATCTGGTACATTTGGTAGTTAGATGCTTATTGATCCAATCCAAGGTTTTCAACCAGGCATCTCTTGATGGAAGCCTCATCATGGCTGCATAGCCTGTTCTATACTGCCAAAACTCTTTGGGTAAAAACATCTCAGTTTTAACTGTACTTCTTTCTATTTATGTCATCTGGTTTAATCTCACTGTGTATCTCCTTTTCTAATACTACATGTTGTAAAGCCTTTGTTTCACCTTCCTTGGGAAAAGAAAAGGTACATTTATACAATCTATAAAATTACATTTTATACTCTTTCAGAGAATATACAGAATGACAGAATACATTCTTACATTTCAAGACAGCGCATTATTAAAAAATAAATTAAAGATGCATTTTTATACAGCAACAACATGAATATGCAAAAATAACGGATAGTATGCAAAGTCAATTTGTGGATTTGTTAACTTCTCATTCTGTTCAGGTGTCCTGTTTGTGGATAGACTATTATTAGATAGATAATTCACATCCAAAAGGACAGCAATTTACCCAAAATAACACTAACACATTGGGTGCCTGGAACACCAAGACCAGTGTCTAGCTCTTCCTTTTTTCCTTTCCTCAAATTTCATACTTAGATTACCAGTTGGAGTTCCATCTTTCTCTGTTAGGATCCTTTTGTATGCAGTTTGGATAAATGCCTTTCCTGTTTATTAAAGAATGAATTTCCTTTTAAAATTACTTTTTTTTCTCCTTTTTAGGGATTTTAAAATACTTGAACAGAAAAGAAGACAATCATTTAAATTCTGAGAACATTATGTCAGGGTTGTATTATTTAACATAATGAAATTTTAAATTGACCTTTTTTTTACATATTTAAAGTGCTTTTTTCTGAAGTATGGAAATATCATAATAGTACTATTGTTTCACGTCTTTCTCTAAATCCAGTAACATCTGTTACAAATACTGTAGTAGTAAAAAAAGAACTGCAGATGAGATACATGTTGCAGATGGTTTGCAATGTTACATTACAAAACATCAAATTCTACATTAACATATTAACTAAAGCAAGATAATTGTGGCATCCTCTAAATGTGAACAATGTTTTGCTTTTTAAAAAGCCTTTATGTTCATCCATCAAAGCTAGTATTACAGAAATTACATCTCTGTTGCGTTGTGTCTTTCATGCTAACTGTCTTATCAACCAGGGTCATCTGTACATTTTTGGGGTTGGAAACAAAAGCTAATTGAGAACAGACATGCTCTTCACTAAACCACTTATCTTTCTAAATTCTTTGAGAATAACCACTGAGTTCCCTATTATTTCCACTATAAATCCATTGTAAAACTGTACAAGCCAGACTTCTGGCTTATTGGTTCTACTGACTGATTGGCTAATTTAATACTGATTTGTATTATCATACTGTATGTAATGATATCATATATTTGTGATAATCTCCTCAAACCCTTTCAAAATAAGATATGTCTCTGGATTGTGGGAGGAAACCAGAGCATCTGGAGAAAACCCACGCAAACATGGGGAGAACATACTTGAGAGCATAAACTATACGGGGACAGAACCTCAGGAATTGAACCAAGGGCCCCAGTGCTGCAAGGCAGCAATGCTAACCACTATATAGTACATCTAAATTCAAAAGTACATCTGTACAGTCTACAGTACATCTAAATTCAAAGGTGTTCCTTTAAATACTTTATCAATGTTATTCTGTTAAGCCTAACTGCACTGGCAATTAAAGTGGAACTTATTTCTTGTCATTTTTCTCCAGTTCCTACTTTTTATTTTAGTTCAGTTTACTTTCACTTACTGTATATGCCTTATGGTGACTAAAATCATTAATGAGTCTGTGATCACTGGAGTTGTAGCAGTTGCTTTTAAACTGATATTGTGACATGAGTGGTCAAACAAGGTAACCAGGACACTGAAAAAGCTGATTGCAAATGTGTCTTTAAGATTACATTTTGGAGCAAACCGTGCTGCAAAATCAAGTCATCATTTTGTATCAAAACAACTTTTACGAATTCTCCCTCTGTCTAGCTTTAGACTCGATCGCCCATTCATTTTCTGTTTCTTTCAGTTCATGATTGCAGGGCAGATGAAGCCCATCCCAGCATGCAATGGGTGCAAGGCAGAGTACATCCTGGATGGGACGCCAGTCCATCGGAGGACAGACACATACAGACGTGTACGCACTCACACCTGGGGCCAGTTTTCCAGAAGCCAACTACCCAAACAGAACAATTTTGTATTTTGCTGGAGCACATACTGTACAAACTCCATGCTGACAACACTCCAAGTTAGGAATTGAACCCAGGTCCCCAGCTTCACGAGGCAGTAATGCTAATCACTGTGCTGCTGTGCCACTCTAGACTTGATCATATATAGGTTCTAAATCAATTTAGTAACAGAAAATATGTTGGAACATAGTGCAGAATGCTATCTAGAACTATGGTTCTACTACTGCAAATCTAAGCAATCATCTGTTCAGACAAGTCTAACCAGTTTTGTACTGTACATAAATTAAATATAATACCAGACATACAAAGTTCAGATAATATTGGCCTGAAAACATCTATTTGTTCAGTAAATAATGTGTCAAAAAACTAAGAGTATAAAAGAGCACATATTCTGTTTTTGACCAAAAAAACCCAGGAAAAAACAAAAAGCATTTCTTGCAACAGATCTGTCAAGTCAAAGCAGTGATGAGAGATGGCATTTTAAGTATATCTTAGTGTGAATTATTTCAGAATAGCAAGTAATAGACTCTATTCATATACGGTTTGGCACTGAAACCAAAATTAGTTTTTTACCACAAAGCAAACTATTCAGTCAACCACTCATGTTTTGAGATTTTAAGTAAACATTTGATGGATTCATCTATATGGAAAAACCACATCACTTGACATCACACAAATGCAGAGATGAATTGTGGTTCAGTTCAACATACGTTAGAACTGAAATTAACAAATTGAGGTACAGTATATTTGATGGTAGTTATTTCAATAATTTATCTAAAATAATTATTTTAATTACTAAATCATTCAATACTACATTATTTCTTAAAGTAGCCAACCACATCATGAAGTAGATATCTCCAGTGTTCAAGCTATATAATTAGATCATAAACGTATGCCAATTTTAGCAGATATAAGTGGCTGACTTTTATGAATAACTATTAATTATATTACTTAACATATTTTGTACTGACAAAATGCTTTTAACATTAACTTTCTTGAGGAAAAAATGTAGGTACTGTAGCAAAGAAAAATGATTTAAATGTTTTTTTTTAAAACAACATCAAGTGAGTTGCATTATATTGTCATTTAAATCAAACTGCTTTAAATCTTCCAATGCAAAAATAATCAACCCTCTTTGGTCTCCCTGATGTTTAAAGTACTTGTGCTTACCCACACATTTTATGCCATTCCCTACCCATCCCTCTTGACAGGCGCAGTGAAAACTCCCTGGCACATTGACACAGGAAGCATGCAAGTCACAGTTGTGAGCCCCAATCTCACACTCGTCCACATCTAAACAAGAAAAAATATATTTACTAAAAATACAGCATCTCTAGTTAAAAAATGACTCAGACTACAATCTGAAGAATCAATTGTAGATCTGTGCTTTCACAAAACATTTTCTGTTGAAAATGCTGAAGAAAAATCTTCTCAAATTTGAAACAATGGTAGCGGTACAAATAACTACATGATTTATTTCTCTGTTTTCAGCAACAATAAGAGAGAAAGGAAAAAGTGCAGGCAGAATTATAAACATAATTAATCACCTTATGATTCTGCTACTGTACATTAGTCTCCCAAAAAGCAGTTTAATGGATATTTCTTCAGTGATTGATTTTGCTGTACCGGTACTCCCCAACTTACGTCAATCTGAGTTATTTAAATCCAACTCAGTCTTCTTCTATATTGCATCAGGTGTGTATTTTCTCTTATGGTACATGTGTGTTGTCTGGTGTGACTTCCACAGTGTGTTTGCTCTGTTACCTTTTTAGGCATAGCTGAAAAGCATTCTTGTGATTTTGAAAGCAAGCCAACACAAGGAATCAAGACATATGAAGTTCTGTTACATTTGTGATCCTTGCTGGACTTACTAGTTTATCTGTGTCAGTGGAGAGTGGAAAAGTAGAAGAAGCGTTTATTGTCCTTAATGATTAACAGGTGCGTGCTAGGCACTGAGAAGGGATAAAAGAGAGAGTATAGCACACTGTACACCAACACACCATGTGGTAAGAAACAGGAAAATAAATACCTTCCCCTTTTTAATGAACAGTCCCAGCAGACCATCACCAAGGCAGTGTGCTACAGTATAATGTAATATGAATATTGTAATAGTATAATTTTATATTATTACAGTGATGTAATAAAGATAATGCTAACAGATGTGAGTGAAAATGTACCAAATAATAAGACTGCCCTCTAACTTATGCAAATGATGATTTACATTAAGTTGTGCAGAATGTAACCCTTGCAAATCCTGGGGAGTACCCGGATTTAGTCTTTGTCATTGCTGCCATAATACTCATGAGCCCGTTCAGTACTTTAAAAGCTAAAACGGTTAATTATAGATCTTTTTTATAACGTGTTCCACATATGGAAGACAGGAAGATGACTGTTTTTACCTGTGCAGCCTGTAGTTCCTTTCTTTACTGAGTAACCCATCTGACAGTGGCAGATAAAGGATCCTTTGGTGTTTTCACAGTCCCCAAACATGCAAATGTTTGGATTCAGATCACATTCATTTACGTCTGCCATGAAAAACAAGGTCAAAACACACAATGTCTATCTATTCAGTAATAAAAGGCTGGCACTTCATAAATACAGTATATGCTCACATAAAACACATCATATAATATTTAGTATGTGGTACAATAAATTATTAATAGAAGAACAGTTGAGCATGTGCTTTAGTTAATACGATCTTTCTGATTCTGTAAAACTGTGTTTATCATTAAATAATCTTCAGAGTTCTGCCTGTTCTGAGTCTTAATGAAGGGAACATTTCACTTGAATCACTGACCTCAATAATACTGCACTCATTATAAACCAATCTCTCAGTTCACCCCCCTATGATGTCTGTCTGTATCTCCTGTCAGTTTTCATTATAGTACTTACTAAATTACCTCACAGAAGAATTCCATTTCATTAAAATCAGTTATGAAGTGTGGTTTCCTCGAAGTATTTCCATATGCCTATGCCATCAGGAGGACTTGGCTGAATTGTAAACTTATTTGCTAACAGTATACCCTTGGGATCACAGTTCAGATCCGGCTCCTTAGACACATAGCAGGAGGAATTGGCATGTCTCTCAGCCGCAAGTGAAGCCCCACAGACCTCTGAATTATTTGGCACAACCCTGCCTTCTCAGCTGGTGGAAGTTTGCAAGTATTGGTTTTGTTTTTTTCCTCCTGGCTTCTGTGTTTCTTGTAAGCTTTCAAACGGAGTCCCCCTCTTGGGGTAAAATTAGCTTTTAGAGTTTTTCAAAGTTTGGTTCATTTGACATGATGGCAAAATGCTATCACAGCATGGTTACATACCAACACAGATCTTCATATCCATAGACGTCATAAATCCATCATAACAAAGGCAGCGGTACTCTCCAGGAATGTTGGTGCACTGTCCTCCATCACATATGTCAGGGTTATCTTCACATTCGTCGACATCTGCAGTGGGGAGAAACGATAAAAAACAACAGATGTTGAGCAGTTATTTCCTTGGTAGGAAAAGTCATCTCCCCCTCACCAGGCCTTCACATTGCAGCTCATTGCTGGCTGTGTACATACCTGTGCAGCTCCTATGGTCAGGCATCAAGGAATAGCCATCACTGCAAGCACACTCATAGCTGCCCTCTGAATTGGTGCAGTGGGTGTCACATCCTCCATTTTCAATTGTACACTCGTCAATATCTAAAAACCACGAGGAAAACAGCTCAATTTAAAGGTACAATACCTTTCCAATTTTTTTTTCTAACTCATTGTGACATTCCAAATACAGTACATTGGATAAGCATTCTAAGCAGAGGGGTTAAATTTGAAATCTACAGGAGAATAAATACAGAACATTTTTTCTTAGTTACACATTCCTGCATGTAAGATGCATGTTCACGATTTATTGTTAAAGAGAGAATTTCTTATTCTGGATTATTAATGTGTTTAGCACATGGCTACTCTTCAAATCATATCAATGACTTTTTTATGTACAACTTTTCCATCTCATATTAGTTCAGTTACTGTACATGCCATTCATAATACACAGAATGTGTTTGTCTCAATGCTTCACATCAATAGCTCCAAAATTGTACAGTATAAAAAGTACAGTGATAGCTTCTCTAGTGATTTGTAATGCAAGAGTTGGCCTCATAGAGCCAGGAAAGACAACTCTAGAATCACAAATTCAAATATTTCCACAACATTTTCAGTTCAGATAAAGACACCATTAACTCAGTAACAAACTGAAACAAACTTCTTAGTCTGATTAGCCTTGTTATATTTCCATTTTTTTTTTCACAGCTGAGATTAAGCTGTGTCACTGGACTTTGATGACATCTGGTATCACAGCAATACAAAACATGACCAATGGTAAAATATTTAAGATCAGAATTGATGAGCATGCCTAAAGGAAACCTTACCAACACAACCCTGCCTGTCAGGAGTAGCCTGGTACCCAGAGTTGCAGGAGCACTGGTATGTACCGATCACGTTCACACACTTCCCATTCCTGCAGAGGCTGTCACTGAGGTCACATTCGTTGATATCTAAAGAGCATAAACATCACTCACAACCAGAACATGTCAGACAACAAACTGAAGAGCAGAAGTAGCTAAAGAAGCCAAGAAGAAAGGGTTCAAAACCTCTTTTTTCTAAAAAAAAAAAAACCATAAAGAGAATGAATGACTCTAAGACCAGCTTGTGAACATCCTTTATTTCAGGAGAAAAACAATTTCATTTTAAGACTGTTGGTAAATAAGTATTATTTAAATACCAGTTAAATACTGGTAAATAAGGTTATGAATGGTTTAGCAGAAGTGTTGTAAGCACTGAAAAGCTGGGAAGATTAACTTCTCATTCTCAATGTTGATGGCTTCTGGAGAGAGTTCTCATTGAATGGGTTTCTACTTCCAAAGCAGTGTCTTCCCTCTGGATCAGGAGAGAGTTTCTATCTATATCCTTGTCAAAAGAAGCAAACATAATAATGATAGAGTGCTATACTGGGGATGCAAGACTCAAGAGTACAGTATGTCTCATTACACTTATAGCACAATTATAAATTCTAAGAATAAATCCTGGTAGTGTGAACAATTCTTAAGTTTCTTCCTTATTCTTTGTCTGGGCTGCTCTGTCCACCTGGCCTCAGTCAATTTTTTTTCCTTCTGATAATATTTCTGACAAGTAGTTTGCTTTATTTGCTTTCATGTCTTCCACGATTCCCTTTTTAACTTTTTATAGGTTTTTCTCCCAGTGAAGTAAAAATAAACAAACTTGGAGGGTCTGAATTGGTGCTTGCACTCACCAATACATGCATCTCCACCGGGAGACAGCTGATGGCCAGGAGGGCAGATGCACCTGTAGCTGCCTTCAGTGTTTTCACAGGAACCTCCTCTACACAGCATCGGGTTCCGCTCACATTCATCAATATCTACCAGCAAACAGTGACAAATATGTAGAGCACAGCTTTCTAATGCAGCACATTACATTACACACAAGCACCTCATAGAAGTGGAACAGACACTTTTTTTGTTTCAGCAAAGACAGCTTAACTTAAACTAGCAGAAAAATGACAGCACTAAACCTAGTAAAACAAGCTACTTGTAACCCACAGAGGAGAGGCCAACACTCTAATTTCTCACTTTTTATGGTATTTGCCACATTTTTATTTAACAATAGGTTGAAAACATATCGATCATTTCAAAATGCACCATGTACTGTTTATTGCAGTTATTGTCATTTGAACTACTGGCTGTTTTTCTGCTCCCTTGCAGTTAATACTTAACTCTCTTATTCGACAAGCAGAAGAATCAGTGTACAAAACAGGGACCTCTTACCCATACAGTTCTTCATCATCATGAAACCACTTTCATATCCTTCAAAGCACTCGCACTCAAAACTGCCTGGAGTGTTGACACACGTACCACTTCCACACAGGTCAGGGGAGATACGGCATTCATCAATGTCTAGACAGAGAGGAATATTATCGCTGTTTTAACAGACCAACTCCAGGAATTTCAGTAAATCCTTACGCACAGACTGGTAACATTTGTCAATCCAGAGCAAAAAAACGTTACAAACGTAAGGCATAGAAGTAAGAATGTATGAATAGTATCCAATGGACACGTGAGCCCCTTTAAAGTTGGGGGAATTCAGACACAAGATGAGTTAATGAATTTTTTACTACTAATTTCTTGAATGGTTTCTTCAAAGTACACATATATACAGTATGTTGCATAAAGGCTTCTTTTTATGTTTTCAGCAGCATAAATAACTTCTACATGCAAAAACAGACTACTGTATGCTCACTCTGTCTTCATGTTAGTACATCACCTCACCCGTGCAATTTCTTCCCTCTGTATCCAATGCAAATCCACTGTCACACCGACACCTGAAGCTGCCAATAGTGTTTTGACATTTGCCATTGGTGCAGATGTTGGGAAACACTTTGCATTCAATGATATCTGGAAAAAAATCAATAGCCACTTGAAAGATAAACATTTTTTTAATATTCTTAAGTAGGGAGAATCATCAAAACATCTCAATAATAATAGAACATGCATGTTCAAATACTTATAGCATAAGGAAAGTGAAAACTGGGACAAACGTGATCTACAGTATAATGCTGTAATATATGAAGACAAAGAACTGTGGACTGAAGAGCATGAATGGACAATTAATCGCATCAAACTTAACTACAGATATCTCTTGATCCTACAAAAAATGCAGCAAGTGAATTTGAAAAAACAGGAAAAAACAATTTTAGGTGCAACCCCTGGTTTTATTCTGTTCTAAATATTTATTTTATGATAATACAGGACTTTCTTACTATCTAAATTGATATACTTGATTTGTTAAAGTGCTCTTCTGTCAAATGGGACAATCTCAATACAGTAGATACAACTAAATTAATTTTACACTCTCAAGAAATAGCCTATTAGGTAAAGTCATATCTGATTTGGGAACATATATTTGTTTTCCATTCCTGTTCTATCTCCAGCTTAATTGACATTTTGCAAAACTCAACAAATGAAATACAATGGCGCAAAAAGAACGGGAAATTCCTATTAACTTCTAATTCTAATACAGGTTTTTTTAGAACAGCCTTTGTATATAACCAATCCATACTGTACCACAGCACTTCTTGTTACAGATTTCTAGGAGAGTGAAGTAACGTTCCTATTTCTTTTACAATCATCATCTCAGACTTGAATAAATCATTTCTAATACGAGACAAGTGATTGAAACCAGCCCCTGTCTCACCTTTGTAGAAGGGCCTCCCAGTGAGAATGTCCCCTCTGTTGGCGAAGCCTGGGCCTCTGGGACACAGAGCCTCATACTCTCTGCTCCCTGGCTGGGGACAAGCTTCACACTCTGAGCCCCAGGCTGCGCCAATGGAGCAACAGCACACATCCATGCGGAACTTCCTCGGAATGGGCAGAGTGCATTCATCCTCATCCCATGTCAGGTAGCAGTGCTCCAGCCGCACATCTGAGAAGAAGGTAATCTGGTTATTCCACAGCTTCTAGAACAAACCTCTTTCAGGTGTGTCAGCAGTTTTCAAAGAGCATCCTACATGTATCTGCTACACTGCATGTGCATTTACCTTGTACGGCTTTGAATAATCACACAGAATTTTCTGTATACCATTTTACTTCACGTAACCCCCAAATTTGGAGTATTCTCAAGTTCGAGAAATATCTGTGAATTGTGATGCATACTGGTACCAGAGTTCTCTTCACAAGAGGAGGAGAGAGGGAGAGCAACCACATGGTTTGATTTAGTTCCTTCTCAGCCTCCTTTGCGAGTAGATGTGCAATTTCATATTTGATTGTGCAAATATGTGTTAGTTACACACAAAAGTGACAGTCATTAGTTAAATAATAAAACATAAATTAATAAATTAAAAATGGAGCCTAAGAGTATGAGAAAGGCCAAAGACTTCAATGTCACTAATCAATCAAGAGCTGAAATGATTTTTTTTAAAAAATACTGTTAGTGCTTGATGATTTGCGTGAAGGACGAAGTAATAGTGCTGATGCTCGGTTGTTTAGTGTAAATGAATCTACAGTTACATACAATACATACAATAAAGAAAAGTGAGCAAGCTATCAGAGCAACTGCAAGAACTGCAACAGCAACGTCACGTAAGGTCTCAAACATGCCATGTGACCTGATCTACATGGTTGTTATCACAGCAACAAGGGTAAGAATTAAATCAGAAAGTCATTAAAAAAATATCCATAAATACATTTCTAGTTAAAATATATTGCGCTTTTCTTTACTCTGATGTTATTGTTGTTCGTAATTATAGGGGAAAAAATGTTTGAGGGCTTTTAATAGGTTGAATCGTGACTTCAGTTCCCCTAGCCACACTTTTCCTATTCTTCCACAACTTTACAGTGCCTACCATGAGGGTCTTCAGGAATGTAACTCACGGGTGGCCAAGGATTACTCTAATTCCTAGCTGAATATAAAGAAGCTGCTGTTGGCGTGTGTAAATATCCCTCATGTGACTAGGGCCTTAATCTTTCACATGCAGAATAGAGCTCTTCCTCACATAGCAAAATACACAGACCCACAGTGTCAGAGGATCTGAATGGATAAGTAGCCCTAGGGGATCAGCTGTGTGGATGTGTAGTGCATATTGATCTAGAAGGTGACTGAATCAGTGAACATCCTTTTGTTCATGTGCAATGGCCTGACATTTGTGTGGACTCATAAGACAACATACCATACCTGACCTGTGACATATGGACATGTTAAGCATTCTTATCTAAAACCTTTTAGAAATGATGGAAAGGCATCATAGCCAGAATGTAACTGAATAAACTTAACATCTCTCTTGCAAGATTTATATTCAATTTGGATATAATTTTTAGTGTAGGTACTGTACGGGCCATTAAGCCTTATGGGGTTGGTTTCACAGTCCAGGTTTACCATCAGACAGGTTTTGTATACAATACAAAGAAAATGGAGTAATCCAGGAATTGTATTAGTCAGGATCTGGGAAACCCCTGGTATAACTTCCAACAGAACTAAAGTGTTACCTTTATTAACTTATGAATACTGTTTGTGATGTGGTAAAGACAATGTATTAGTTCAGCTTTTGTATGATGTGCTGTGAAATTATAGTATCACAGTAACAAATCCTTTCTGTGTAAGGTAATCATCACTACAACTGTTTGACAATTTAATAAAAATGGACTGTTAGTTTATTAACTACAGGCACACTGTACACTCTTTAATGCCTGGTGGCTACCCTTAAGTTGGCAGAAAGACAATGCATTAAAGAATTTTGGAATATGCATAAGAAGGCTTTGTGCCTGCTAATTTAAAGGTACTATGAATTTTAGTTTAAAAATTAAATAAAGATGTTTATTCAAAGCCCACAGTAATGCATTACTGTAGGTGATAGAAAGTGGATACAGCTTTATAGAGATCTTGACATTCTTGTTGTGTCTGGACATTTGAATCAATCTACAAAAGAAGCAAAAACATTTAAACAGTCCACGTTTGAAAACAGACAACCTGTTATTTTAATGCACCGGTCATTCCTGCCTGAATTACTCGTACATGACTGGCCAGATACAAGCAATTAATGAAGTAGTTAATTTAACAGTAAAAAAGAATAACACAGCCAAAAAACTGTATAATGTAAGGGACTTTGTTTTGCAAGCACAGCTCAATAAATCACAAATTCCTTGGGTGTTTTATTGCAAACACCTGTAAGTGAAGCAAACAAAGAAATATTCATTCTTCTGACTAGTGTAATAATGATGATGGCACTTACCAACACACAAACGACCTGTTCCGTCTAATGTGAGCCCTTCAGGGCACTCACACTTGAAGGAGCCTTTAGTGTTTATACAGCGTCCATTGGGGCAAACTCCTGGAAAAACTTCACACTCGTTCACATCTGCGTACACAAAGATGCCAAGAAAAAACTGAATCCTTCATCATCACATCATTCAAATTTTTCCTACAACTTTGAGCCTCTACCTTTAATATGAAAGATACTGTAAAAGACATTTTAGTTATTAAAAAAAAATATTCTACAATTATTCTACTTCCAATTACAATACAAATTATAGTTAAAAGCACCCCAGAAAGCACAGTGGATAACAACATTATTTTTAAGACCACACATATTCAGCCACCATGAGTTCTCTGTTGTCAGAAACTCATCTTCTACCAATATTCTTTCTCACACTTCTGAAGAGGAAATGGTTACAGAGGACCAGAAAAGAACTGAATTCAGTTTTTCAAAACCAAACTTTTCCAAAGGATTAAAAGGTACTAAGATTTTCCATTCACCACGAATAGTGGACTCTTCCACTAGGTAATACATTAGCAACCGGTCAAAATGTCCTTCACACATGCAATATATTTTTTTTTAATTTTGGTTTGCATTGTTACATTTTGAAATATAACACTAAAAAAGATTTTAAGTGTCTTTAGAGGACTGGGGAGAAAATTGGGCTCTTGGAGTCAAATTGAACATTTTTAGATGTTTTTATAAAATAAATGTATTTTAAAAGAAAGAGTTTGCTATAGGGAACACTTTTTTATAGGGATTGCATAAACATTGTACACATTAAACATATTTATAAATGGCTAATAAATGTTACAAAATAACCACTGTTGTTATTTGTAGATTGATTGGAAATTATAATCCTGACCATAAACTAAATTGTCTAATGTAATTATTTTTTGTAATTATTTGTACTGTACAGTATATTAGAATTAACAGCATATTAGCATATGAATACAAGATCCAGTTTTGAGTTCAGTGCGGCTCTCAAATAGGTAACTTGTCATTTACTATCAAAAAGTTTTAGCATATCAAATGGGTTTACACAAACTTTTCTAAGTCACTTGTGTACTATTGTGTACTGTGATAAAACTTAGTAAAATTCATTCACACAGTATTCACATTGCACTGTATCACAGTAAAATAGACTAAAATAGGCAGGGGTCTCAATGTCGTGGCTTAGGGGCTATTTGTGGCCAAACAGCTCCACAATCTATGAAAGATTCTACAAAAGTTATTTAATCAGGACCACACACATTCTATTAATTGCAAGCAATATCCATTGCGCTGATTCAAGGTAATGCAGAACAGTATTATGCAGTGATAATATCTGGCCACTAGATGTCAGTCTGAGAGATGCAGGCCCCTATACAGTAGATTTATCAATATGAATGCAGAATGCAGTGGTGAGTGTTCAACCACCTCTTCATACAAATGTGGAATAAAATTAAAGATTATTAACCTTGCTATTGGACTAGTGACTGGAATGTTTTAACAACTGGAAAAACATCAAAAGTTAATGATCCTGGTATAATAAAAAGGTTACACACTAAAACGAATGTTGACTGAACACAGACAGTTCTAAGTAGACTATTTTCTCATTGAGTACAGACTGCTACATGTTTGATCTGTAAAGAAGTTTTAAAAGATGACAATATTAAACTGTCTCATACAAAAAAATATAGTGCAATATAATAAATATGAAGAAGAGAGGATGGTGTCACAATTAAAGAACGGGCTAAGCTAATCTTTTTTCCAGAAAGTAAAACATAGGATACAGTCAGTTGTTTTGCACAACTATGTTGTCAGCAAAATTACTGGGAAGCCACTTATTTATGTATTGATTGCAAACTTTATTCTTGACCCCTCTAAAGATATCAATGAGCAGATCATTGAGAAAGAATATGTACAGAAAGTAGTGCCTATTTTCATTGCAGAAAGTCCTAATTTGGTAGACAGTGTGAAGCATGCTGCAGTATATTTCTGAACAGTGCCAACTGAAAAACTGCTTATCTTCAAGGCATAAAACCATAACAAGTGGATTTTTTGCTGCGTTACGGACACAAAGGAACAACATTTCTTGCCAAGAAAACTGCTAGCAGGCTGAACCACGAAGGAGTACCAAAAATAACTGCAAACAGGCTGATGGCACTTGTACAATTAAAATGAACAAGATGCTGATCAACTAGTAGTGTTACACTGCATTATATATCACCACACATTGTGCAGTAAATCTTTGCAAATCGACAGCATCAAGTTAGCTGTCGTAAAAAATGTGATTGAGGGCTGTAACAGTTTTGTGGATAAAAAGAATCCAAGAGTCCTTGAGCACTGGAGTGATACAGTACCAATGACCTTGAAAATGGCTGAAGTCACCCCTATGCCTAAAAAAAACATTTTGGCTCTGGACAACCTAAACAACATTTGCCCTATATCCAATCCACCTTTTCTTGCAAAAAAGAGCATGCTGATGCAATTTAATTAAACAACCATTCCATTGCAAATAACCTCTTCGAACCCTTCAAATCTGGTTTCAGACAAATACACAGCACAGAAAATGCCCTTGACATGCTGTTGCAGGACTTTGAGGTGTACAGCATAACAAGCATACTTACTGTATGTCCCAAATCTTTGCAAAACATTCACAACAACCATGGGTTCGACAGTTCCTAAATTTGTGAACAACGTTTTCCCACAATGAGCATTTACAAGGCAAAATATAGAACACAACTGTCAGATATTGACCTTCTTAAAATCCTAAAGGCCTCATCTATTCCGTCCCTGAAGCCCAACATTAACAAGCTGACAGAACAGAGGTGTTGCCAGGTGTTTGTCAGGCAAAGAACTGTATAATACAGTATACAATAGGGCAGTGGTTAGCATTGCTGTCTCACAGTGTTGGTACCCTAGGTTCAATTATTGGGCTGATCTCTGCATGGAGTTTTAAGGTTCTCTTCTTGTTCATGTGGGTTTCCCCCCGATGCATCATTTTTCTACCACATTCCCAAAGACATTCTGGTAGGTTAATTGGTTTTTTTTGTGGGTATGTGTGTTTATTTCTGTGTGTGCCCTGTGATGGACTGATGTCCCACCCAGGGTGTACCCTGCCTTGTGCACAGTGCTTCCCATGTGACTGATGCTCTCCCTTAGGTAAAAATTTCAAAACATTTGCCACACAATAAACATTAGATTACCTTCACAGACGATACCCTTTGATCTCGCAAACCCTCGTGAGCATGCCGTATCTGTGAAAATAACAAGTTTATAAAAATGTTACACAGCTGTATCAGCATTTACGAAACTAAAAATAATAGGTTGGATACTTTTTTGTTTTGGTGGTGTTATAAATAATCATATTTCTAAAGAGTGTTTACACTTACAATTCTTACATTTATTTGGTTTTAATGTGTGACTTCAAACCCATCACCTATAGAAAGAGTATTCTGACAAGAGGCCCAAGCAATGTGTATTTATGAACTGCTATTGTTAAATGGTTAATGATCTTGTGGCTTGGATTATTATTATTAACCACAGCTGGCTAAGACATTATGGCAAGAATTTCCAAGACCACAGGATTATAAGCAAAGCAGTGTGAGAGTGCCTTGCCATCAGGCAGTTCCAATCATAAGATGACAAGATCATAGACTTTTCAAGTGACAGCGGTCAGCAGTTTATAATACCGGGCAGTGCATCAGGCCACACAAAACAGTAAATGAAGTCTTGTGGCTGATTTAGGATTGTTGTCAAAAGGATGGATTTCATCTTATGATCCACAGCTTTCCAAATATGATTCTTTTCATGCGCTAAGTGAGATCCAATTGAATGTCAAATGCATAGCAACTTTTCAAATATTTAGCATTAAGTTCGCAAATAGGCATACGTACCATCAAGAAATAGCAAAAGAAAAAAGCATCTGGAAAAAGTTCACAAGGAACCGTGCAAAACAAAAAGCAACTACAGTAATATAACAGCATTACTAAGTTTCTTGTTTTAGCAATTGTAAATGTTTTTTTCCTTGTCAAACCTGTGGATTTTTTCAGACTTTTTCATGCAATGTCATACTTAAGGTTTAGAAGATCAAATTATTCCTGTTTCTTCCTTACACTTCAAACTTTCCATGCAGTCTTTAGGTCTTCATATAGCTATTCCAAAACATTTTATTTAATACAAGGTTAGGTAAAATAAACTGCAGTGTTTAATTTTACATAGCACCCTTCATAAGTAAATATTTCCAGGCACTTTATATAAGTTAAAAAAGTAAGAAACAGGGGCACAAGAATTAGACGCTCCAAACATTTCTGGATCATTCAAATATAACCAAATTAGAAACAAAATAGATCCGAAGAGAACACTAAAGGAAATGTCAGGTCACTGTTTCCTTAATGAATTCAATAGAGGGTACAGTGTCAGCAAAGAAAAACTTTGGCCTTGTTAAAATTAAGTTAACATTTAAAAACATGGCACAAAGTCACAGTCGCTGATTATGTTTTAATTGGATTTGGTTTTATTGGAAATACCATTTTATGGGCCATCTGCAGATCACATTTACACCAAACAAAGGCACAGCAGCAGACTTTGCGGACATACTGTAAGTCATGAAGCTGTTCAGACACACTGTGGCACAGCAGAAAAGATGGCACCACGCCACAGTAAAGTTGAAAATCTTTCCACATTCTGCCGGGGTTATAAAGTGAGCTAATCAGTCAGTTTAAACATAGATGTACTAGATGAAAATGCCAAAATGAAACAGTTGAAGAGTTGACCATTTCTATGAACAAAGCCAAAGTATTTTAAACTCCTTTCACTAAGTAACAAACTAGCTGAGCCTACTCAACTATACACTCTAGTTCTCTTCCTTTGACGTCTGTAAGCGTATAAGACAACAGTACCTATCTCACATCGTTCACAGGGGCTGCCCCACGCTGCTCCCAGAGTAGCACAGCACTCAGATTTCAGTGTTGCTCCGTTGATGTTCACCTCACAACGTCCGTCCTGGATATTGAGCCAGCACGTTCCTTTTAAGCTGTCTGTTGTTAGAAAACCATGGAAAAGGGAAATAGCAAAACAAGCAAGTTCTCCTTACAGACTTGAGGAAAACCCACAGAGCTGTATGAAATGAGCGGAAATGTCTTCATTTTAAATATCACTGTTATTATTCATGTGTGCTTATATTTTAAACAAAAAAAATATAACACCACACGAACTGCTTAAAAGAATCCTGTTGCTCTCTTAGCACTATCAATAGAAGCACTTTACAGTCCCAAGTGGGAAAGAAAAACTGAGGGCAGTGTTTCAGACTGACATGGATTATTCAGTCCTATCACTACTAAACTAGTAGAGCTAAACTGATAAGTGTTTCTAAACTTGGCGGGTGTAAAAAAGAATGACAGGCAATTCCAAGCTAGAGAACAACAGCCAACAACACAATCCACTGTGAACATCCACATGTTCACAGACTTTGATGAATACCACTCGTATTCTTACTTACCCACGCAGATCAGTCTTGTGGAATCCAGTTTGCTGCCAGCAGAACATTCACAAACAAAAGACCCTGCATTGTTTCTGCAGATTCCATTAGCGCAGGGGCTGCTTTCACATTCATTGATATCTGAAACCATGAAACAAGAAGGTCTTTTGTCACAGCCACAACTGGAAACCATTTCAAAGAATTATTAATTTTATTTGAGTTCTTTGTTCATTGTTTCCTGAAAGTTCCTGAATTTAGTTTAGCGCACAGAAGGAAAAAGAGATTAGAATTTTATGTGCCCAATGCCAATTATTAAACCTTAAAACAAGTTATTCTTGTTACTTCTTACACTACCTTGTTTTCAAACCAGAATTAGAAAATTAATTTCGATTAATTTTGATAAAAATGAATGGGTGTCTAAAGTTTCTTCTATAACCTGTCCTTATAGACTATAACAGTCTCGACAAATGTGCAAGGTGACACTAAGACACAACAAGGCAGTCACAAATGGAAGTACTATATCTACTGCTGTAGCCTGCCTTTGTGAATCACAAAGGGCCAGATATAGAAGCTCTGTACCCAAAAAAATATATACACTGTACAGAAAATATAGAATATCCATGTGACCCCGAGATTTAAAAAGGGTGAATGAAAATACTGGCTAATCAAATAGTACATCCTCACATCTTTTGATTTATTCACCTAGTGTTCACAACGTACTATTCCCCTGAGAACTGGGTTTACGCCAAGTCAAAAAATGATGAGAAATTTTGCTTTGGGTTTTGGAAAAAAGCAGCAGCAAAAAGGATATTAGACGTGTATAGGGTCAAGAATTGAACCATGATGCAAAGATTGATTCATTTCCAGTCCCATTGGTACTGTATAAGCACTGTAGTCTTAAAAGAATGAGACAAGTGCTTCCCCCTTATGTTTCTAAAGGTGACTTAAAAACAAGTAATAAAACTCAGATTAAAACTGTTGCCTTCACATAGTGTTTCAATGCTGCGATAAATCCCCTGCAGTCTCCACTTTGTGCATAATTCTAAAAAAAAGTGTGGTTTTGCAGTTGAGTAATTTTTCCATATAATGACTAATGTATTCGCAAAGAAAACTTATCACCAAAACGAACTGACTCTGAGGATTGTGTCTGCCTCACTACTGTGTCATCGCTTTAGTCAACCCACATGCAAGTGCATAGTTTAGCCACTAACATCAAACAGATGTCTCTATAAACACTTCAGCGTATTCCACCTTTTGGCAGTAATCCTTGAAAACAAACATCCGGTTGTGAGTTCTCTGTTATTTCTCTGTGTCATTAAACTTCTGAGAACATAAAATATTGATTTTCAAACTGGCTGTGTCATGACTTTGAAAAACAGAAGTTTGTGATTTTAATTAACCATGCACCTCTATAAAAATATTACTAGCCCAAGCTATCAATAACTAAAATGGCTTTGTGTTTATCCCTCCATCTATAAAATGCCACGATTAAATACACAACTTCAAAAGTATATTTTATACTTTTCAAGGTGCTATAAAATGTAGGTATAAGTCATTTTATATATAGCATATATTATGATAAAAGAGAAATCATTAACCCATCTGAGTGTTCTGAGAGCAAAAAAAGATGTCTATTTAACAAACAGATAAACTAATTTCACCTCACAGTTGAAAAAATCAAACCTAAAAGAGCAAGGTCTATACGTATTGTCAGCTTAGCTGAGAGGGACAGTGGTTTATGAAGAGTTCAACTGATGTGTTTAGCTTTACCAAAGGTTGCAAATATACGTCATACTCAATTTATACATTTCTTGCTGTATATCCAAAATATTTTCAAAATGGAATTATTTCACATGAATGAGCAGAAATACACCTGTACTGTACCTCATTGTACAAATATAATGCATTCTCAGAAACCCTTTTGTACAGCGAAAATTCATAAAAAGAAAAACCTACTTCCACTATTTCTTATGGGGAAAAATTACAATCTGCTTTGGACCCTGAACGTTTTTCACCAAAAATGACATAATAAACAATAATAACTAACATTCATACTGTGGCTTGTGTTTTTAGTAATAACAAAAAACACTTCTTACCTGTACTATATAGTAACCACTTCATTTGCTTTTTGTGTAATTATACACAAAACTCACAATTTTCATTTTTTAACATCTTTAGGGTCCATGATAAAGTCTAAACCACACATTTTCTGACACAAAAAGTAAGAGCACACACAATAGTGAACAACATAGAACACGGTGAACTGTATCACATGACTCTCATGCCATGCTGTAGGCTCTTTGCTAGCTTTCACCCGTAGTAGTCAGTGGAATGTGCTGGGTATACACACTATGAAATGAGTTGCATGATGCCTTCCTCTTCACTCTTTACATTTGGCGGAGGTTTAGAAATTATTCATAAAAAGAACATTCGTAAAAAGAGGTACGGGTGTATATATTAAACGGCAGCTCTGTTTTGATTAAAGCTGAAACAGACATCTGTGTGGGTAAAAAGCACATCTTAAAAAGGCCAGATTCTGTGCTACAGTATCAAACATAAGGAGCCCACATAAAAGTAATTCAGTTGCTTTCACCTTGAAAACACTTGGATTTAGACTGGAAAAAAAAACAGTGAACAGCTTCCTTTATCTAATACATTTATTAGGATTTATTAATAAACCACTACACAGGCACTATAGCTCAAACTTTGCAATTACTATCAAAATACAACAATCAGAAACAAAATGCTGTCACATGCTCTTTAAAAACACCTGTATCTTCTATTAGCTCATCTGCAGACTGCATACTGTGGCTAGACAGGCAATTGCTGCTGACTGAGCCTTGGCAGGTCTTGTACTATTTGCAGGACGTTTCCCCTCAGCTGAATGTACAGTATGTGTCAGAAAAAGAGATGACCTAGATTTAAATGTTTATACGTTAGGTTCTCATGAAAAGACAGTTACAAGTCTTGTATTCTGTGCAAAAGAAGACTTCAAACAACCACTCTACTAACACACTAAGGCAAGACAATGACAAAAAATAACACTATATTGTTTCAAGATGAATAATGGTGGTGGTATACTGACCATGCAGAACACATGGATTTGTTGTGTCCCTGCACAATGAGATAGCAGGCTAATGAAATCATGAACAAATGCAAATAAATATTTGCTCCTTTTTCTAAATTTGCAAAACATCACAAACTACCGTTTGTAGGTTAATTACAAAGACAGTGAGTCGATGAGCCCAGGTTTCTGCGTTCAAATCTACTCTCACTTGTCCCCTAACCTCATAGCAAATCACAAGACACGTGGCAGTTCACGTAGAGAATACTTGGAGGTAATGCTTGTTACAACAAAAGCCCTTACATCTGATAGTCTGCTCTTTAACAACTGATGCATTCTTGAGAATTGTTTCACTGAACTAGATAATGCATTCCAGACGTACAAGCTCTGTCTAACTGAACGCACTCCAGTTTCTTCCATGATCAGAAATACCTGTACTGTTCCAGTTTCTGGAAAGTAGATTGAAATGCTGGTGCCTTGGATCTGTAGGACAGTGAAAACTCACTCACAGGGCTCAGCAGTGGCTCCAAAGGATGAGAGAGGTAAAAAACAGTGACTTGACTCTATACCTTATATGCTGTACCAAGCTGGTCTCATAGTATCAGCCAATCGTAATGAGGCCATTCCAAGCCTTAGTTTGCCAAGGAAACAGACCACCGATGGGTGGATAACTGGAGAAGATACTACGAGCCACCTTGAAACCATGTGCTTGACCTGGCACTTTGCATCTGCAAAGTTCATGGGAACACAGACATCCTGAAAATGCTATTGCGTGTCCGCCCCTTGCCTTCTGGCAGGTTCCTTCTAAATGTTATTGAATGTAAAATAAATATTTTTCCATGACCATTATACAACCATTATACACACCCACTTGCAACAACATCATACTGAGAGGGCTAGCAAATCAAGCTGGATAATAGCACAAGAACTAAATTACACTATGTTGCTAAAGTAAAACAATAAGAATTATTTCCTTATGTACCTGAGGAAATACTTTGTTCAACTAGTGTAACAGGGTAAATCCAGCAAAGAAGTAGAGCACAAAATATATTTGTATTATCATGCACAGAAAGATTTCTAAGATTGAATGTATTGGTAGTCACAGTAAATCCAGGTTAACGTGTTGTTTGAAATCAATGTCATCGAGTACTGTTAGATATATATTTAAGGTTGTCTGAGGCATCTCTTCAACTATCGTCACTGGAAAAAAAAACATACCACTTGTACAGGTTATGAAATGTATGGGAACCTACAGATGGGATAATAACTCACTGTGTTTTGCTGGAAGCAGCCTTCAAAAAGACATCTGGTTTTAATTTTAAGTCATAACGTCACTGGAAATGCTATAAGGCCTTTCCTTGACTTTGGCTCTGCAACTCTCTAAAGTAGTTTGCAAACTGCAGCCAAGAGACATTTAATCAGGAACCAAAAAGATAATGTTTGAACACAAACAAGGCTCCTTTCTGAAGCTGTGAAATCCTTTTCAATACTTGAGACACAAAAGAAAAATATCAGTTAACTCACAAAAAGCTTTCAGGTCCCTTGCTTTTAAAATGAAATCCTACACAGCGGATTGTATTTCTGAAAAGGAAACCAACTCAATTTGCCTTTTGATATTCTAATTTTCCAGTTTAGTCTATTAAAATAGCTCTTGATGTAATATAAGAAAACAAAGCTGCCAGTTCAGTAAAGCAAAAACTAGCTCATAAAGCCTATGGAAAGTCAATAATCAACCGGAAGATGAAAATAAGGCTATGAAAAACAGATATTTTTAAGTTCTTCTAATGCCCTAGCTAACCAACTGTACTGTACAAAGTACTTTTTACAAGCTCTCTTCACTAGTAATAGATTAAACCAGATCACATACAGTACAATGTAGGGGACAAGTGTATTAGTTCAGTATGGTATATCGATCATCTGCAACCTTTAGAGTCAGGTCTTGCAAGCAAGGTACTGTACATGAAGCTCACGCCATTTCAGCACCGACACTGAAAAGTTAATTAGAAATAAACATTAAATGATCATTTATTTAATGTAGATGAAACTATCATACATCTCCTAGCTTATGCACTACATTCAAGACAATATGCAGCTATATTAAAAAAAAATGTATTTTAAGTTCCAGATTACGAGCAATTGGTCAGACATCAGCGAACTAAGGACTGATAGATGCAAATATCAAATATTAAATATACACTTCTAGTTCTTAATAAAAAATCTAACCATGCATATAATATAAGGAGACAGCTTTTGCCAGTGAAATATTTACTAAAAAATCTGCAATCATCCTCTTGGGAGGCTTTGATGATATAAACTGACTGTAAGAGCATACATTTACAGTATGCAAAAGTATACATCTTACTATATATGTATTTTGGATACTGATTAAATGTTTTTTCAGGATTTTGATCCTTTAAATCAGTATTAAATATATCATTAATAACAGTGACATACATGGTGTGATTGTGACTGTTACATAAGCACTAAATCACGTCAATAATGAGACAGTTTAATACTACCTGTTGAATGTTTAGGTGGGGAAAAAAACACAGAAAGGATCCAATATGCTCCAATCATCAAGACAGCAATGCATTCATACCATTGATATGATGGAGGCTGGACAAAAGAATCAACACCGGTAGACTCTCTGACAATTAATCAAGATTGTGCATATACAGTACAATACCGCCATGGAGAACATTACCAAGTGTGGTGCAGACATATAGAACTATACACTAATCATTGTGTATAACAAGCAGTTATATAAGCTTTAACAAGAGTCTAATTACTACAGAATACCACGTGTAGTGATTGATGGCAATCTGAGAGTGGAGCGCTGTATTGACCAAGTCTTGGGACCTCAGTACCTTTCCTGCGGGCTCAATCTGTCTTGCCAGTTCTACAACAGAATAATACATGTCCTCAGGAGCTCAAGTTATAAATGTTTTCCTGTGAGTATGCTTGGATGCCCTGCTTGCCAGACTTGAGCCTCATTGACCATTTGAGGGATGAGCTGTAACAATGTACAGCATCTAGGCCTAAGAGACCAATAAACAGATACTTGCTTGACTAGGCTCTGTGAGAGGAAAGAGACAGAATCTCACAAGAAAGCATCTGCAACCCCTGTTGCAAAGCATGTGTTGGATATAGAGCTTATTGTGTTTCCAACAGTGGTCACACACACAACTTGTCACTGACTTTCATAGCTGCCCCCCTGTTGACCAACCATAGGGTTGATGACAGTGTGAATTTGCCTAGGTCAAGAACAGTTCTATTGAAACAAAAGTATTCTGTAATTTTACTGATTATCTTGTGAAATTGTTGGTGTTATAACTGATACATTTATTTTAATGCTCAAAAAATGTGTTCTCTGTATTGACATTTTTTGTCAGATTTTCTGAATCATTGCTCCCAGATGAGTTTAGTTTTGAATTCTTAATGGGCAGACTCTTAACACTTTATATTAAGTGGCTGTTCATGAATTCATGAGGAAAAAAATAGTTAATCTGAACAGTACATTGTGGCACTTGTATGTATTTTTTAGTGTTACCAATTTGCTTATTTTTTATACCTAGGTTAATCAGGGATTGTACGGATCTTCAATAAAGCTTGTCATTTTGTGGATATAAGTTACATGTTCTGCATTATTTGTGTCTTCATCGGCATATTATCTAAAATATAACTTTATTGGACAATTAACCAAATCAGCATTGTCACACATTCCTGTGTGTTTCAAGGATAAACATGTGTCTGCTTATAGCCAGTCACTAATTCTAGTTAACAGTATTTAATTAAGCCAATGAAACACCTAATAACATGTAGAAAATAGCAAAAGAGATTATTTAAAAATGTTACTGTAGATATACTCCCTTTTCATCAGTACTCCTCAGAGATCAAAGATTGCTTGACATATAGATACACTTGTACTCTTTAAATTCTCCAATGCGAGAATAACTGTAGAAAAAGGAGAGTGTGCAACTACACAGATTGGAAATCACATCAATTTTGATAAACCTTACGACAGACTGATCACTTAACATGGTAAAGACAAACAGAGCTCCACTTACCTTCACACGTCTCCGAGTCTGGTTTAAAAACATAACCCTTGGGGCAGGTACAGCTGTAACTGCCTGGCATGTTTCGGCAGAGTCCATTATCACAGAGTAGCCTGTTGACTGAACACTCATCAATATCTGAAAAAAACAAGCGATACAAAGAGGTATATATTCAAATGTTAATGTGGTAACAAACAATTTGACAAAGAAGATCTCAGTAAGCCTAGTGAGAAGTACTCCACATTTCTTTTGTTTACAAAGGGGTCAGTTAATAATTCCTTCTAAAAGTGTAAACATTTGGGCACATGCAACTTGTTGGTTTTCTATTTATTTCGGGGTACTGTTTTAATGTTATCATTTCCAAAAATGATCATAATCTGCTGGCTGGAAATAAAAGTCAAATCAAGTTAAATCAAATACATCTAAACTGCTCCTTTATATAATTTTTATTGTGCTTTATCTTATCTTAACTGCACTTAAATGATAAATAACCAATTAATTGTCAGCATTTAAGGAAAAAAAAAGCCAGTTCGATAGTACTGCATACTGCAAGATTGCAGACTAGATGAGGCCATTTGATACTCGATAGCAGCAAGGTAAATCTACAGTTTCATCCAGCCATTACGTAAGGGAGTCCAGACATTGGCATTCAGCCACCCGGGTGGAAAACTTGTTCACATTCCCACAATTCTTTATGTAAATAAGCGTTTCCTTTTCACGGTCCTACAATAATTCATTTGTAGTTTCCAATTGTGACCTCACCTCCTTGTTTATGAACTTGTTAAGGTTGACCAATCTATACTGTACCTTCAGGTGGGTAGCTGCGTCAGCATGCGTAGGCTGCAAAGGAACAAGTAATAGGTTTATTCCATGCTGAAAAAAAGAAGAGAGAAAAAACACAACTTTTCGGCCGTGGAGCCTTCTTCAGGTGAGACACCTGAACAGACACCTGAAGAAGGCTCCACGGCCGAAACATTGTGTTTTTTCTCTCTTCTTTTTTTCAGCATGGAATAAACCAAATACTTGTTCCTATATTGTACCTTGCTCATTACAGTACAGTACTTCATTCACTGTACAGTACTTACAGTGTATCAGATCTTGTTTTAATGTCCTTTGTTCTAGACTGGAAAGGTTTAGTTCCTTGTCTGTACCCCTGAAACCGAGACTCATTCTATTTATTCTTCCTGATCTTCTAATACTAATACTAGAATATCATTTCATGGTTTTATGACCAAAATTGAACACAACTGAATATTTTCAAAAAGGCATTAAAATGCATTGTTTTAGCCTTACATCTAAATGATTAAATGTAGGTATTAAATCTGAATTTACCCTTATTTACACATTGTAATAGACAATCCTCCAAGTGAAAAACACATTTTCAATCATTCTGAAAGTAATTACAAATGAAAACCCAAACAAATGGGTCAGATAAGATACAAACCTCTTAGTAACAGCAGTTGTAAATGAGATCTGATGTAATGAATTGCATTCCAAATCACATAACAAGCCAATTAGGCTCCACCTGTGTTCCACTGTCATGATTCTAATGAATCATTGGCAATTTTCAAGTTTGTGGTGCAGCTCCCCACACTTGGTGAGAGTTGAAATATGCTAGTTAAGGGTATAAGAATAACATCCCTTATATAGTTCAGGTGGGTACCTGCGTCAGCATGCGTAGGCTGCAAAGGAACAAGTAATAGGTTTATTCCATGCTGAAAAAAAAGAAGAAAGAGAACACAAAGTTTCGGCCGTGGAGCCTTCTTCAGGTGTGTTACCGACACAGTTCTTTCCTGTTTCGTCTGATTCATAGCCAGAGTTACAGATACACCGGTAGCTGCCTCGAAGGTTTTCAAAGACTCCATTGGGGCAAATATCAGGGTTCAGTGCACACTCATTAATATCTACCAAAAGCAAAATGAGTGAATTGAATTGAATTAACTGAATATTTTCAAAAAGGCATTAAAACACACCTGAAGAAGGCTCCACTGCCGAAACATTGTGTTCTCTTTCTTCTTTTTTTCAGCATGGAATAAACCTATTACACATCCCTTATTTGCCTACATGTGCCATTATGCAATGACAAATTATATTTTTAACCCCACCTAGCCCCTCTAGAATCTTAGTGCCATTTATGCTACAATTATTCAGTACTAATCATGCTCCTTATTTAATAAAGGGCAACTTAATGTAATCTTATTATTGAAAAAAAAACAGTTAAATATTCATTTAGAATGTTTGTTATTCTCCAATTTCCATGATCCTGTTAACTACAGTACATTCTCTGTTCAGCAGATTAATAATGGGGCAAGGGGTGTCTGTTCTTGCCAAATGTCTGTTAAATCAAGAATGACAGTTTTTATACTGTCATTATACTGTATATAATATACTGTATATACAGTATATATACTGTGTATCTGGTTTCTAGATTTGTGACTTATTATTTTAATGACTGAAATCAATACAGTCAATGGAAAATGTTCCTGTGCCTTTTTTAGCATAAATATACTGTGCAACCTCTTTATGTCATGTGTTATAAATATACTGTATAAAAATCTCTAAAACATATGAAATACAAGCAATGTGAGCAATAGACCATTACAAGCTATGGTACTCACAGTATATTGTATTATCGATATTACTGAATTTTAAAATTATGTTCAGTACTGTTACTTTTCCCTAGTTTTATTAATTCCACATTTAGAATTTAAATTACATATTTTTAACAATGTAGTGTATTGTTTAAATTGTTTTTTTATTTTCTAAAGTATAGAAAACACCCATCATAAATAATTTACCTACTCTTTAACAATTGCTCTACCCCCTATAAGACACCATTAATACAGTATTCATGTCTTTTAGACCTATTTAAAGGTATATTGTACAAAAGATGTGTTTTACGCAGTTTGCATTCTACTAGAATTGTATTCATATCTGTCTCATTTTGTGTGCGTTACTTTCCTGTATTTGTTGTTTTGTAAATGCCTAAAATACTGTGTCATATTACACACATGATTCCTGTGTCAAATCATGATGCACTACATTAAACATTACACTACATTACACTATCCAGTTATGTAATTTAACACCATGTTACAATAAATGTATATGATCAATCATTAAAAATGTTATTCCTTCTTATTTTGCCCTATTTTTAAGAAGAAATCAAGCCTTTTGCCCAGACTAGCTACTGCTTTACCAAACATTGGCTTGAAATAATTTCCAGCATTTCTGATTTCCCTTTGGCAGATTTTGTCCATTAAATCCAAAGTCCTTTCAAGTGAATTCCATTAAATTGAGTATACTGTAATTCTGACTTTTAAACTTCTTTTACTGCTGTACCACAGAGAAAAGGCTTGTAATTGTTTTTTGCCTTCTCTACAATAACCGTTTCTGTCTCTCTCTTGGCAATCTGAGCATCTTCAGCCAGCTGTTGTGGCTGATGAGTGGGACTGGTTCGTGGGCCAAGCAATGAGGTGGAAAACCATGAGTCTCATCCTTCCTGCTTTCAGTGAAATGTTTAGGTCAAGAATCAATTCAAAGAAAGATTGTGAAAATGTTATTAAACAGAGAAGTACAAAGCCCTCTTTCCCCAGCAGTCCTTCATCACAAAAAAGATAATGGTCTGTTACCATTTCATCTGTCAGTGGAGCACAGCATGAGTACTGTATTTATCATGACAATAATATCTTAGAATTAAAATCTAATTAAATGAAGTCTATAATGTTTTGTATAGTTCTTATATGCTATTTTGTTATCCAATTTGATCAGTATGTGTCTCTAGTGTCACAAACAAAGAAATAGCAAAGAAGTTGAAGAGCATTTATGCAGTAGGCAGTAAATAATAATATGTTTTGGAGAAGCAACAAGTGTAGTTTACATAGCTGCGTGAATAATACGATGTGAGGAGAACACGTGATGTGAGTTTTTTGAGAGTTTCTTGAGTTTCCGAGCTACAGTATGTACTGGCCTCTGCTTTGATGTTAAGCAGCCCCGTTCTCTCAATTACGTACAGATCTTGGCTTTTAAACTGCATCAGTTTAAGTGTATATTCACCTTTAAAATACATTATACACCACACATTCATTACATGTCATGAAATATAACCCATTAATTCCTATTTAATCATTATTCATCCCAGTCATTTTCTCCTACCCACAATATTTTCAGCTATTCCTAAAATATCATCTTGGCAAATCCAAGTAAGCCCTGTGTAAATGAAGAAAAAAGACCTAAGCGCAATTATTTGTTTAATCGTGCCACAAAACAAGGTCAAATAAAGTATATTTCCAACATCGCATAGGACTTTTGCTACATAATAACGGATGGTGTCATTTCAAGAACAAAAAGTCTCTGTCTACTCAGTTCTTCCACTGCTTACCATAAGTCTACATACTGTACGGTATCCTTGGCAGTCAGCCTTAAATCTACATTGTAAATGCATTTAAAGCAATATATTTCTTTCCCTAGTCCTTTGCCATTTATGGACAATATGTCATATATACTGTATAATGCATTGTGCTGTGCTAAGGCAACTACATAATGAAGTAAACTAAAATAAAAATATTTTATAATTAATTTCTAACATATACTGTACATTTCATACAATGCACACTGCAGCTGGTGAAGGCATGGTCTATATAGACCATTAGGAATTGGAAAGGTCTGGACTCTTTTTGAAGTAACAACATTTGACAATTGTTAACGGGAATATTTTGGCGTTTTTCTTTTTGCCAACACTACACACGATTTTTTAAGCTCATAAAACTATGTAGTAGCCAGCTATAAAAATCCACATGCAAAAAGCACTTAATGTCCACGTCTAACCTCATTTGGAAACAAAACAGCTCTGCTGCAAATAAAACAGACAGACATCCTCAAACAAATATAGTAAAGTAAGAAAGGACAAAGTAAATAACCATAGGCAAAGAATACATTTCAGAAAATAAAAAGAGATGATAATATTAAGGTACACTGCATTAAAGAGGAAACTATCTGTGAAGTAGACTAAATTTATAAACCACTTGTGATGCAAACTTCTGAGTCATTTTAGGAGGTCAGCTGAAATGTCTTGTTCTCTTCTTATTATCCATTATTCTAAAAAATAATTATGTTTGTTTAGTTTTCTTCCAAATGAATTCCGTACTGAGCTGCCATTAAATATTTGGAGATCTGAATGTAACTCTTCAAATAAGTGGGAACTGGAATTGTTTCTGATTAATGACTGTTATTTGAAACAGATTTTATATAAAAGCTGCCCAGGAAGCAAACGTAACTTTTACTCATTCCTGCAGCTAATGAAGAAATAGACTTGACAGACAGAGGAAATTAGAGTGGGTTTAAAGTGTCTTTTTTTGTGCATCAAACATACTGCTTTACTTACCGACACAGTTCTTTCCTGTTTCGTCTGATTCATAGCCAGAGTTACAGATACACCGGTAGCTGCCTCGAAGGTTTTCACAGACTCCATTGGGGCAAATGTCAGGGTTCAGCGCACACTCATTAATATCTACCAAAAGCAAAATGAATGAATTGAAGCTGTTAGAAAATAATAAACATTTACCCATTAGGTATTTAGTTCTGTAACACAGAGTAATGTGTGCCATAGTAGGTAACACTTCTGTCTTACAGTTCTAGTGTGCTGGATTTAATGCTTTGCTGGGGCACCCTGCCTGTAGAATCCATATGTTGTGTCCCTAGTTGTGTGAATTTTGTATTGGAAGAAATTGGACCCCTTGCTCATTTATCCATTCTTCTCTGCTACAATTACAGCTCTAACTTAGCTATGATACATTTTAGGTGAAGACAAAGACTAATTTCTATAAGGAACAAGTAAAGGTTTATTCTATGTTGAAAGGAGAAGAAAGGAAACACAACAATTCGGCTGTGGAGGCTTCTTCAGGTGTGAAAAAGACAGGGGAGTCACAAGAGATTATATAGGGTACGAAGAGATCTGGTAAAAGATTTAGAGGAAGGCATAGTGGGTCGCAGCATAACTAGGCTGAAGTAGTTCAAGTAGGTAGCTGCGTTAGTATGCGTAGGCTGCAAAGGAAAAAATAAAAGGTTTATTCCATGCTGAAAAGATATGATTTATTGATTTATTTCTATAATACCTGCCCTTCGAAAAAAATCGGTTTGACCTCTTTCTTACTTACAGATATGATTTTAATACGTTGTGACTTGAATAGTCTCAATAGTACATGTAACCACTGATAGTTTCAGCAGACGTTTTAGTCATAAATGTCAAAGTAGTGAAAATTATTTACCTCTTCCTTCCACTGAAAATCCAATTCCACTACCACAGAGAGCTTGAAATTCAGCTGGAACAAAATGATTCACAATTAGTCATTTAACACAAAACTGATTAACGAAAGTAAATAAAGTGTAATATAACGAAAGTGTAATATTATGGGGGCCCTTCTTTCCCTTAATAAAATAGGTTTATATTTGTTTGGTGATGAGGATATCAGACAATTATGTTATTTCTCACAAATTCATATAGGATAGACACCCACATGTTTTCAAGTGTTTTGCCTTCACTGAAATCATTGTCTGTGAAATGTAATCTATTCAGTTAGAAAACTATTTGGTTCTAAGAAACGTTATGAAATGTAATTCAAGTCCCTCAGAAATCGGAAAAAAAATAAGTCCTAAACCACAATGTCGTCTTACTCAAAATCCGGCAAACCAACTAAAAATTAGGACATGGAAACAGATCATCCTACAATTATAGAGTTAACTGAACTTTTCATGCCTAAAGAATAATTTTGAAACCTTAGCAGTTAAAATTAAGTACTCTTAAGAAACTATTTCCAATAAAGTATGTAGTATGAGCCTGATTATCTTACTATCTGATTCTCAACCCTCAATATTCTGCAGGTAACTGATATTTCTGATACAGATTTCTCCCTTTGCATTTCTGATTTATGTCCGCACCTCATTAAGTCATGTACTGAAGTCAGGAGCCCACATCTTCATTAAATCATCCACTGAAGTGAGAGGGATAGAGCCTGAGGTCAGTGCTGTAATTCAGCTTATACTTGAAGCCATTTGGCAGCACTCATTATTTTCATATTTGTAAATCACCCAAAAATTTCAAGAACTGAATAATGCACAAGAACTTAGAAAGAGTTTCATTTCTGTAATGACGTTTAGAAGACTTTAAACACCATCACCGCTGCAGCATAAATTTTCAATTTAATGTCTTCTTGTGCAACATGCACTACACTGAGGAAGCCTGGCAAAACCTGGCTCCAGGCTCCTTCGGGGCATCCCATAAAAGTTTGTGATCAATCTGAAAGCAATTCTGGATCTTTATGTCCTACATAAAGCAAAGATACCAGCAGTACTTCATTCCATTGGGAAAGTGTTTTTTTTTTTCCTGTAAAAGTACAGAAGATTAATGTAATTAGGATGTCCAGAAGAGATGGTACTGAAAGACTTTGTCACCAACAAAGATGCCCCTGTGCATTCTCCCACTATAAAAACAGAGCACAAGAGTGTCTAAGAACAAAATAGCACCCTTTATTGTGCACAGATGCAAAGTCAAATGCTACCCCTCTTTATTAAGCAAGATAGGCAAACAAAATATTTAATACCTTTGGGAAAAAGGAAAGAAAAAAACAGGCTAAAACTTCCTCAAAGATGTTTGATCACAAGGTGCTAGAAAACGCTCCTTGGCATATCCTTGAGATCTTTCCTGGCAAGGGGATTACTGAGACACTCCAAACAGTGTTAAGTCTCCTAAAGTTCCAAAGAACAAAATATAAGGGTTTAAATCCCCTGATCCCCGTACTGTGTAAAACTCATACATCCCCACTCAGCAGGGCTACAGTATGTATCCACTGCATCACTTTATTAAAACAGAGTAGCAATAGAGATCAAAGTCAAATCTGAGGAAAGAGGCAAAACTTTTAAAAAAATTACAAAGATGCTTACGAGAAAGGCACCACAGACCACACCAAAAGATAAGAGGATAAATGTTGACAATAAATTTACAAATTAACAACAATAACACAGGAGTGACATACATTAGACATTGGCGGTTTTAACATAAACATTCTGATATGTCTCAGGTGTCACGTGGATGAGCACCCCCTCACCACACACTGGTATAGATTGAGTTCTGGCTCCTGAGGATAAACAGGAATGTAGGCCTAATCCAAACCAATATACAGATGTCCCAGACACACACAGCAGATGCTTTTGTTGAAAAAAAAAACATCTGCCTGCCAAACTGAAACCCTAATATTTCAAAACCATAAAACAGGTTAGAAATGTCAGCTATAGTCCCCAGTCCCCAAGTTGTTAAGGCAGTACAAATTGGGGACAGCTACAGTCTGCACAGCTGAAGAAATGGTATCAAATTCTAAAATCTGTAAGAAGACACCTTTCTGAATACTATGAATTCTATGCATCCTTGCAATCGGTTTACTGTAGAAAAAGCAGAAATGCTCACTATGAAAATGTTTAGTTTTCACATTTTATAGAGGCAGAAAAAAGGCTATAAATTACTTAAATGTCAGGCATTACCCTCCACCATAATGCGAGTAGACCATAAGCACACTCAAGTGGTACACAGAGAGAAAAATCTTTAAACAAATTTTGGTGCAGCTTAAACTTCAAGCTAAAGTCTTTTCTCCATCCTAAAAGAGAGGCAGCATGATTGGAAACGTGTTAGAGTCAAGCCACGAAGAAGCTACTATATACTGCACAACACTTCAGCAGAGAATATTTCTCAGTATTGCAGTAATTCCCAGAAAGTAAGGTTGTACTGTTAACATAGTACATGCGCACAGTTCTCAATACTCTGGATTCTTGCTACTTGCATGTATTGAATATAGTTGAGAATGCCTGTTAGGAACAGAACAGTAGGATCTGTGGACACATTTCCCTTTGCCTGTAGATCCAGGGGATTTACAAGGGGTTTTGTGTTGCGCCACTAACAAATATCAGAAAGCTGAGTTAACAAAGATTCTTCAATAAAAGGTTAAAAATGGGGTGCCAATGTGGGTAGACAATGGGTTTATAAATGCACATTTCATACTGTATTTAATTTAACTGACAATCCATCTAACCAAAGGAGTACACCTAGAAGCCTAAATGAAACCTTAGAACCTTTGGATGACTGCAGAAAACATGTACAGTATTTTCAGACCTTTATTGCAATTACAATAATAACAAAGCTCTGGTTTTGACACAGTGGTTGTTCAACCACTGATGCTGAAGTGGTTTTAACACAGAATATTGTCTCTTGAACATTCGTTCTCTTATTCCTTCTAGAATGTGCATTTGAGAAAAACGTAAGGTCTTCTTTCTCACTAAAGGAATCCTAAATATGCAAGCAGGAGACAGACCTACTGGAGAGAATGTAAATCTAAAGACAATCATCTTTTTCAGGCAGGCACTCTCCTATTCTCTATCGTCTTGAAACAGATGATGGAAACCTTGAATTTATCAGTTATGTGGAAGGTGAAATAGTGAAAAATGGGCACCTGAGTTCCTAGCTGGACAGGGCTGGCATGGCTCCCCGAAGCTGTGATCTGAATTGGCGCAGCAGCATTCCGACTTGGTGACAGCTCCCGGGAATGGACGCACACAGACGCCTTTCTTGATGGCTCCATAGCAAGTGCTGCGCATGTGAGTGTCTGAAACGGCATGAAGAAACCTTCTATATTTCACTGTGCTGAACATCCATCCCATGAAACACAGTGTTTATTCCCATCCATATTTTGGGACCGTTATTGTGCTTTCTGTCTATATTTGTAATGTTGCAGATAAAATATTCATACAATCCATCTCCAGATCTGTTATTCAATACCTACCTATTCAATTAACAATGGGTGGTTAGGCCATATTAATCTTGCATTATTTTTATTTTATTTTAGTTTATTGAGCATTCATTCATCCTAGCAAGTTGTTAGCAAGATTATTTGAAGAGTTTATCAAGATAATCATTGTTTCTGTACTTAGACATTTAAAAAATTCTAAATCAGTGTTTAATAAACGTAACAAATTAAATGATACTACATTCAACATTATGGGGTTACTACACACTAAAACACATTTTGAATGTGGCAATACTTACTTTGGATAATGTATGGTAAAGGTGTCACTAATGGGCACCTTTATTATATATTGTTTACAATACATATTGTACTGGATGTTTTTTAAATGAGAAACTGCAATTCCAGCAACATAATCTGAATCATGTACTTTACAGTCAGGCGAACCCACGTAAGTGAGCAAGTTACAGATTCAATGACTCACATTCCAAATAAATTGAAAACAGCTTGGGATATCGCACCAGCTTTGTGTGAACAAGTTTGCCCCCTGCCTCCTGAGGATTAACAATCTCTTACCCACACAGAATCTGCCATCAACTCCAACCGCCAGGCCTGCCAGGCACTCACACCTGAAAGAGCCCTCAGTGTTTATGCAGCGCCCATTCATGCACATCCCCGGGGTCTGACATTCATCTACATCTGAAGCAAGACAGGAAAATCTCAGTGGAAATAATCTCAAAGCAGGAGAATTAATGTTATTCATACAGTATGTGCCATCAGAGCTCTCAGTACTAGTTTATCTCCAGTATCGTTATAATAATTTTTCTTCCGTTTGCTTCTTTTTGCAACATGGGCTCATAGTGTTCCCTGGAGCACAATGCTTCATTCTCATGCTTGGCATAAAGTACTGAGTGAAACCGATAGGACTTCTAGATTGGTGGCCTTGCTCTGTTCTTCTCAACAGATCCTCGCATGAACCACTCACTGGCCCATGAGAGGAGTGATCTGATGCCTCTCTTCCTAATAACCTGGACTGGTTATGGGACTGTTCAATTGAAAATAAGTAATATACAGTAGGAAAAAATATTAGTGCCTTTTTAGTAGATGACTGATGACAAAAAACACAAAAGGGCAGTGCACTCAATACTGGGGCTCTGTAACATGGCAGCCGATTTGGGAGGTGAAAAGAAGGTGGAGCTGCCAGAGGGTGGTGATGAGACATTCCTTTATGCTACATTCTCACAAAGAAATTAAGGAATTAGCTGCACCTGTGATCAGCCATCCCTATAAAGGTCATACAGGAAGGAAGGGGGTTGTCTAATCAGACCCTCACCGGTCTTCCTGACAGAGAGAAGCAAAGATCTCAGGATGAGATCACTCCCAACATTAGGAAGAAAGTTATTTTAACCTAAACTGGAATTGTTCTCTGCCTCCTTGAGATATTAGCAACAGCCTCGTTTATAGTCATGTCAGCCACTGGTAAAAAGAAAATGCTTATTTGGCAGACTGACCAAACTGGTCTGACCTAGTGAGGACATTTTCCACTGTTACTAAAGGGTTAAAATGGGGACCTAGGCATGCCTTCATTGGAACTCACATCAAGGTGGGAAAGAAACATTGCATTGGGGTGGTCCGTTTGCCATCTCGACTCATCTGTAATAAGGATGATTTATGTGCAGATTTTCCTGCTACATTACCAATCAGAGGGGATCTGTTACAGTCTCACTGCACAACATTAAAGGAACCAGTCATGTACACACAAGGAAGGAAACTTGGATTAACAGTATTGCTGTTAGCGTCTTTGAATAACGAACGTTTGTGATGTGATTTGTTAATGCCTGCGTGGTGCTCTTGATCATTTAATTAGTACCAGACAACTTATTTTGAGTGAAGCACATCCTCAAGCTCTTTGTTTCTCACCCACCAATGCAGTAACGACCACTAGCTGCCAGGGTAAAACCAGGCTTGCAGATGCACTTGAAGCTCCCATCCTCATTGATGCACATTCCATTTAAGCACATGTTGGTGGTAGCACACTCATCATGGTCTAAGAGATAAGGAACAACATGGGTTTTCACAATTAAGAGCAGTTGCAGGCTTCCACCTCAAGAATAAACAACCTAGAGTAGTCTTAAATAATGTACTAAGGCACCTTTTGCTGCATATCTGTTTGCATAAGCATCAAATGTTCTTGAACTAGCCAGAAAAATATGTATTTTTATACTGAAGGAGCCATAGTGTGGCGATTTGCACTATTTGTACTAGAAATCAAGCACAGTACTACAATTAAGAAGAACTATTAGCTATTTTCACACCAATCTCCTGAACCCACAATAGTTTTCCTTTAACTTTTATTAACAGAAGGCTATTGTTTATATAATTTTGTGGGAAACAGTGACACCTAGAAAGTCATATGGTTTTGAAGGGACAAGTTCCAGATGAATATAATGTGCAAGTATGTGTGGAAATACATAGTGGAATATATTGAGTAAAATAAATATTTAAACTTGTATAAATAAAAAAATAAATATTTAACCATGCTTAGTAACCACAATCATCACTAAAATACAAACATAAAAAGTCAAATGTTTCTGAGTTCAACTTCCATATTCTAATTTTTCTCACATCAGAGCAGCTGTAAAAAAAAAACTTCCTGCGGTTTCCAGGCTTTCACTAGTTAACAGAAATACTAAGGACAGGATTATTTAGAGTTTCCAGGAAACTCTAGGTTACATCAGCCTAATATAAACTACAACAGGACAAAGAAGCATTTTATTACCAACACAGTTTTTTCCATCAGGAGTCAGCTCAAAGCCAGCATTGCAGATACATTGAAAACTGCCATCAGTGTTCACACATCTCCCGTTTTTACACAGGACTCCATTCTGCAGACATTCATCGATGTCTTGAAGGAAAGAACATGCAGGAGCAGTTATATTTTATCACATTGCTGATCACCTTTACCTATGCAACACTTCAAGAATTGTAACATAAACAAAAGCAGATCACATACATTTAGATAGCAGCACACAGACATTTTGGTTTTTCCAAACTGAACATTTATGGAATTGTATTAGATTTGTTTCATTGATTTACACTGGAACCTGGTTCTTACGTGCATTGTTTAATGGGCAAAACATATGGTAAAAAGAAAGTGGACAACAGCTTTGAAATTAATTAAAATATTGAAAAGGACAAATCTGAATAATTGTACATAGTATATAGAATTTAATGAGATACCACGTATTTTGATTTGCAGAGAAAAAATAATCTGCCCTTTTAGCTTTAACAAAAATCCCTTTATTCAGATACAAACCAAACATTTGTTACAGAATTAATATTTCAGTATAATATGGAAAACTTCAGATATAAAAAATAAAGCATCTCTCACCAATGCAGGCCTGTTTGGTGGGTGTTCTCTGGAAGCCTGAATGGCATTTGCAGTAGTAAGAACCAGGAGTATTCACACAGTCCCCGTTGGTACAGGGGTTAGATGAACACTCATCAATATCTGTAATAAAATAGATATGCAGAGATTAAATTCTCTCAGTTATCAAAGTTTACAGTTGGTCTAATACCAATACATACTCCTCTATGTATAAAAACTTGTGAAATATTTTAAAGAAAAAATACTGCCTACTGTACAGTAACTTATTAACACTGTAAGCATATTCCTTACTGTTTTTATATTTTACACCCCTTAAAAGATAGTTTGCATGAACATAATTTTTATCAGAAAGAAACTTGGGTAAATTCAATGTCAAACGCTTTGGGAAAATAAAATACTCTGGCTGCTTTTTTTACATGGATATTGCAAGCCAAGGTAATGAAATGAACCAACGGCAGTATGAAGATATCATTTAGTAGAATTAGAATTCTTAATTACAAATTAAAATGTACCATACCAAGGCAGTGCAGCTATGTCTACATTTGAAGAGGTGTGTTAAATGCATGACATGCTTTGATTTCTGTGCTGTTCTTACCAGTACATTCCCCCCGCACATCTTGTCTGAATCCCATGTTGCATTCACAGCGATAGCTGGAAGGGACAGGAATACAGCGCCCATTGAGGCACAGGTTGGTGAATCTCTGGCAGATGTCAACTGTTTGGTTTAGAGTTTCTGTAAAATAAGCAAGTCCATAAGTAAACAACCCTGACATTTGATTAGGCTTGAGGTAAATGAATAGTGTATGTATCAAGATGAGAGTAGTTTTGAAGCTTTTTTCTTCTTCTTACAATTACTGTATGATGAAATCAGAGATCTAAGGAAGCCACTAAAACAAGGGATTATTTCAAATCTAAATGTGAAAGTGTGCTTGCGTGACCAGCTCACATTTCTCAGCAGGAACCATGAAACAGATATAGAAGATGGTGGATGTCCTGGACAGTACGTACAAGTTTATCTTGAATTTATAATATACTTATCTCAGGATTGGGAAAATAAAGCAGCTAGTTTGTGATCACAAGATGATAAGCTCAGAAACTGGTGAACAGAACAAATAATATGATTCTTAGATAAAATACTTCAAGAGTTTGGGAATACACAGCAACGCAGGTAGTGGACAAAAAAAATAAACAGGTGTGATTCTTGAGGCATGGCTGGCAGGAGCTTCAGTACGCAAGACAGCTCAATGAGCAGTGTGTCTAAGGTTAAGGTGATACAGGCATGGAAAACCAAGGGAATGACATTCTCTGCAAAGGACACCACTGAGTGAAAGTGAATACTCAAGGAATCATGATATCCGTGTCTTAATCTGAGTTGCAAGGCAAAAGAGGTGAGCAAATGGCTGCGCATTTAAAATTGCAAGGCAAGCAGTAGGTTTAATCTAAAACTAAAAACTCTGTTGAAAACATTTTGAGTGAGATACTATATTCAGGTTGCAGTGTACAAACTGTTCATCATACTCCAGTGTCCAGTCAAGAGTCCAGTGGCACAAATAGCATGGGTAACTTACTATTGAGCAGTGGAGAACAATAATATGATGCAGATAGATTATCTTTCACCATGTTCTCATCAAAGGTATGAGTGCATGGGTGGCACCAACCTAAAGAACTCTACCATTAGAGTCTCTAGTGCTTTGTTCCAGCAGTGAAGGTTTTGTGGGGCACACTTTCCTGCCTTGTTTTGGGTATACTCGCTCCCCCAGAAGGCAAGATGAACAGTAATCACTGTGAATTCTGAATGAACAAACCAAAAATCAATTCTCAATGCACGCCTTAAACTCACCAAAATCTGGGAGTGGCCTGTGAAGTTGGCCGGTTTGGACTCGTTCTCCAGTGATTGTGGGATCAAGCTCACTGGGCACAAAATGATTTATTCTTCCACCTGTAATTCCAGGATCCACTTCTGGGAAGCCTCCTAAAGGTATGCCTTGAATGCACAGCCTCCGATACTCATCTGAAAAATAGAAAAGGATTTTTTATAAACTGTATTAAAAAAACAAATACAGAAATTAAACAAGGACAAAGGACTTATTGAATGCATGATAAATTAATATTTACTCAAGATTCAAGAGAGATTCCTTTTTAAGGTTTGAATGGTTTCAAATAGCATCTTTTCACTATGCAAATTTGCTGAATCAACAACATAGCAAAACACCTGTAGGACAGGTACAGCACTGCAAACTCACTGGAGTCTGTCAAGCCAAAATGTGAAGAAAATCCAGAATATTTAATACTATGTGTTACAGACATATTCACCCCCTTCCAATGATGTCTCTTTAGAGTTACAAAAGATTCCCTGTGAATTTTTTAAAGTTAATATTTTTAATCAAAACTTAATTGATGTCAGAGTCAACTGCAAGGAGCATTCAAAACTTAAATGCTGATTCTGTAAGTATTTATCCCCTTTTCTATGGCCCAAAATCTAATCTAAACTAGTTCAGGAGCACACAGTGACTGGGACAAGTCACAGAATTAGTTGAATAGCCTCTGTCTGTGATATTATACCATTTACCATGGAGGTGAATATTTTTAGAAGATATTGTATTGGCATTTCTGCAGTAAGTGTTAAAACTATTTTATTCTCCGTGAACTTCTATTTTTTTTCTGAAATGTACAGCACCGTGCCTAAACCAAAACATGGTTGCCACCAAAGAGGGCAGAATTATTCATTCCTACTTCCTATGCCCAATTATGAAGTCCTTAGTCCACATTTAAGTGATTCCAGACTGAATGACATTCAGCCGGTGACATCTTTAATTTCTGCAATGTGGGTAAGATGTTCCTTTCCTCACCTGAACCCCTAACGGGGCACATTTCTGGCACAGAGCCCAGGGCCCAGCAGCGTCCCAACTCACAGCAGCACCGCATCTTACTGAGGAGTCCAGTCAGCTCCTGAGCACAGCGCCCATTCACCAGGCTGGAGAAGCAGGTCCCTCCTCTTCTGTCTGTGACAGAAGCACAGAAACAGTGTGCACTTTCTACAGTCCAGCACCTCAATTTAATTTAAGCTTGCAAGTTATAGTCTACTGTCTCGTGTTCCGTATAAAATAACCTTTTCCACTAATGGTTTGCTCAGTGCCTCTTAAATAACTGTAAATTAAAGACGCTGATACAACAGTTCCTCACAACCGTGTTAAAGGTAATGCTGGATATTGTTGTTTATATTGTGTAATTCTGGGTATACTTTGAAATACCTGTACAACAAAACCAGTCATCTCTCGTGAGCTTACTAGATGGATACTATAAAAGCTAAATAAAGTGCTACAATTTAAAATGCTGTCCGATAAATGATATTTTACTGAGAAAAGGCATAGTAAGAATTACAGTTCATTTTTTCGTAGCTTAAAGAGCTGCGTTATTTTTATGCTCTACGTTCTTTACACCCATATGGAAAGTACAGTAATAATAAAGATCTAACTGAAGATCTGTTTGTTTCCTTAAATCATTCCACTTGGGTATTATTTTTCCACTAATAGAATCCATTTTATTTATACATCCTAAAGGGGGAACAAAAATCACATTATATCATTGTCAGGCTAAATATTAAATATAAACTTAAAACTGTAAAATGGCAGGATTCCAACCTCCAGCAAGACTCTTGCGCTGAAACTAATACTGTACAGTATGTATGCTTATGATTCTACTAAACTGCATCATACTTTTCATAATAAAAAGTACAGAAAAGTTCATGAAATACTGTGCTATAAATAGATCTTCTTTTGAAAATCTACAGTATAATTTTAAGATGTTATAAATGCATGTTTTCCACATCATTAAAATAATACCAAAGCTCTTTGAGGTGCCAAGAGTCACTTAATGTTTTGCTACACAGAGGCAGTATAGTAGGGAGAGCTCCGGACCAGAGGGTCATATTTCCAAATCCCAGAAGGGGCACCCCTGTTGTACGTAAAATCAAGGCACTTCAAACAAAACTCCATTAAATTTCCTGTATACAGTAAATGGATATTTTCCAGGTCATGATTGTAAATTAGTATTTATTCTCAATTGAAATACCTTTACATAGATAAATGATTAATTAAAAATACACAGACAATTCACAGAAGAAAAGAGGAGAAGCAGCTACCACTATGTAAAATGTACAGGAGTTATAAATCTTAATCAGAAAACCTTGATTTCCATTTTGTGAAAGATATTTCTCTAATAGAGATCTCTAAATTTATCTTCCTCTTTTTACTTCCCTTATACAATGTAGCTTACAAATTAAAGATAGCCTTCTATGCTTTCTCTATTAATGACATGTCTTGGTATTAAGTAAACAGATATTAAATGCTCTTTAGTATAAACATTCACTTGCAATTCACTACCAGTTTTTCCAAATGTTAACATTTTAAAATATTTAAAAACTTTTAAATGAGACACCACAGTAAATCTTGGTTTTCCTGGGCTTCTTGTCTTCTGTGACATTCTGTTGCCTGGTAAAGAGTATTTCAGACTGTGAACCTAAAGCTGTAAGTCCTGCTACCAGCTGCTTTACCATCATTGCCCCAAGAGGCCCTGCTGTAGGGGACCTGTGAAATCTTACAGAAATCTGCCAGAGGAATGGAAAGTCAAAGGTCACACACCTTTAGTCAAACCTATTAGAGCTAAAATGGTTGCTTAATGTCTCCACAGGACATGTTATGAAACATGGCTCGTTTTAATACTTTAGTTCATCTTTGTGGTTCTAATTATTTATATGGACATCATCCTTGCAAACTGCCCATAACTGCACAGATATAAAATATAATAGATTATATGTCTATACATGTATATACCATGTTTGATTTGTGTGGCGTGAATATAATTCTAAATCACTACAATGCTCTGTAGGAAAATAATCTTTGAAATGGTAAAGGTTTAAAATGGATGTTTGCAAAGGTTTCTGTGTTCATGGAAATAGACCATTTAGCCAGGAATCAAGATAAGACAGTAAAGTCTTGAACCAAGAAACGGAAATATAAAAAGGCTTGTTCATTTGACCATGCCAAATAATTGGGGTTTATAAATACAGGTAAATTATATCTATTTTTTGTACACTAAGATCGGTGACAGCCTGTTTTCCTAGTGAACGTGGCATCCTGATAATGCTATTTGCAGAGTCAGTATTCAAATTTAAATCAGTTTCATCTCAACACCACTTCTTTTCCACACAAAATCCAAACTAACAGACTTAGATGTTATGATAGCAGAATGCTCTCAAAAATAACACAAGGTATGGGGCCAAAAACGCAATTTAAAATACTTTAAACACTTTTCCCCTATAAGGGACAATGTGCTCTCAAGTATTCTTGGACCTTGTTATGTTGTAACTAATGATGTGTTGATAACTGCTGACTGACAAGGGGAACAGAGTCAGCTGTGAGTCCTTAAAACTCTGGCAAGATATCACCAAAAGCAATTCTGCTGGATATAAAAGGGATTGCTATGTTCTAAACACAACTCCAATTTACAGATTTTACGAGTTATTACAATATATACTATTGCAAATATTTCTGGAGCTTGTGCAATTGATATAAAATACATAAAAATAAACCTTCACTTAAGAAAACACAATTTTTCATTTAATTCAGCTTTAGTTTTCTGCTTTCATTCTCTCTATATTATGATATTTAAAACCAAAGTTTTCAAACTACAATAGAAAAATAAAACATAGTATACTATAAATTTATTTCTAAACAAAACATGAATGCTCAAGTTGAAAAAGACTTAATTTATTATGGCTGTTCCTCATTATTTTTTCACCATGCGTTTTCTAGTGGAATGCACAGCTGTAATACAGTCATCCAAACTGTAATTGTAGGTTAAGCCAAGATACCAGTTTTCTCTCTGAGCCTGCATTTCAACTATGTCACTCTTCCCCCCAAGAATCACTAAATTACCTGCATTCTGCTCAAGTCAAAACATGTTCCTTGGTGGGAGGTTATTTTAAACAGAATAATGAGACTATTGAGACTGAGGCCCAAAATTACAATACAGAAACTACTAAAATGCACATATTGGGCTTATAATAAATCCTAAAGATAAAACATAACTGAATAACTTTTAAGGTGGGCAGGGATAAAGGAGATGGGAGAACCACCTTAAGGACAAGGGGACAATAATACTGAAAGAATGAACCGGTGGTACCCTACTGTTATAATGTGGAATCTGGGGTCTATTTTCCCACTTGCATTGCATCTGTGGTATCTCACACACCAGCCATAACACCAGTGACTGCACAATGTGACAGAAGAGAGGATCAAAAGCTCATGTTCCAAGTGAAAACATACCATTCAGCCTTTGTCAATATGAAGGTACACCAATGTCATAAAGGAGATGTTTGTGACATTTTAATGTTGTAATACCATTTTCATCAATACCATGATGTGTTGCTATGTATTTAGACAGCTGCTCCTCATGCAGTGGGTACTGTGCTTTTTTTACTAACAAGAGGTGTTTATGATAACAACTATAATGTAATACAACTGTAGCCCACCCACTATTGACCATCAAATTCAAATTATTTACAGCTGTACAAGGGGATTTTATAGCTATGTAAACACTTAATTTTTCACAGAAAAAGTACTGAATTCAATCTTTTTTTAGACAATTACAGTATGTCTTTAAGTAAATAGCCGGAAAATGTAAAGTCTTTTAATTCTGAAACAGAAAAATGGAAACAGGAAATGTTCATTTTTTCAACACTTTTGAGCAATAAATTAATCCACTAGTCTACGGATATAGCTAATGACTATTTTTTTTTTCATTTTAAATCACATTTACAATATACAGTACTGTGCTAATGTACACACTGTAAAGTATAAGCAGTTCCTATATGGGACTCTGTAACATATGTCCCATTTAAATAAATAAAATAAAGTAAAAACTATACTGTTCTTCATATAGATGACATTTAGAATGAAAAGTGCACCTGTAAAAACATATAAAGACGGATGAACATTTTGAACCGTTGTATTCAGTTAAAAAGGGGTTTTCTACAAATTCCTCAGTGTACATATTTGTATTATTTAAAACATGTATCATTAGTTTTTAAACAAACAGTTGAAAACTCAGACCTAGCGATATTATATATAATACAATAAATAATACAGTATATTTATTTCACTCACAAAAATGTATAAAAGCTTCTCTAAGGAACATACTGTAATTTTCGACAGGATCGTTTAAATTCCTGACGATTTTCCTGATGATAACAGACCCAAGCCTGTTATCAATTTTGAAACTTAATCAGTTATGCGGATATGCCGCGGTTCTGCGGTTTGCCCTTTCGCAAAACATTTCAGAGGACTAATATCCAAATAACAAGCCAATACAGTTATTAATACCTTTTGGCTATCATGTCATTATCCCCCTACTTAGTTACAAAAATGCAGTTAAGCACATTTATTTCTCTTTCATGATGGTTTCACTAGGAAAGAATAAATATTGTCTTTCCTACATCCAAAGTGAAAACCACCTGAATTATTTGTCTAACAGTCACTAAGGGACAGTTTCAGATATTCTTTAATGTGGCCCAGTGGAGTAAGTTATTTGCCAATTTACATGCTTGAGGGATTAAGACACCATGATTAATCACTTTCTTCATTCCCTATTTCCAAATGAGGTAAATAATCAAGAACTAGTGTTATCTTTCAGCTATTTTCAACAGACAATTCAACTCTTTTCTATATACTGTATACCCCTTTTGTATGCACTTGCACCTTAACTTTTCCTTCATAGACGAAGCACCTTGCATAAAATGTAGCTTCCAGTCTGCATTTGGAGATTTGGTCCACAAATCTCCACTTGAACAAAATTACCTACAGCAAATACGAACAGGGAGCATGCTTCTTCTGGGTCCAGTGAAAACAAAAAGTGAAAAAATTGGTTTCAGCCAAGAAAAACATTATACCCACTTTAGACCAAACCAAAAAATACAGCTCTTGAGAACGCATTTTCTATTGCTTACACCAAAATGACTTCTTTGGATTTACTATACTACTCCAGCTGCAGGCTTAGGTAAATTATTGTGCCATTCCAGTGATTTTTTGTTAGGTTTGGTTGGTGGCTGTTTGTTTTTTAAGAGAAGACAACATTACTGTGCACAAAGCTATGCCTGAACTTACCAAAGCATCGAGTGCCATCAGCAGATTGCATATAGCCAGGTGGGCAAATGCAGGAATAACCTCCGACTGTGTTGATGCACTGACCTCCATCACACACACCCTGAAGTGTACTACACTCATCAATATCTGTAAAAAAATAAACAGTAAAACGTCAAAATAAATCCAATTTGACAGCAACGGTTCACTTCTAATGTACAGTACCATGCATTCCCAATACTTATCATGGAGTAAGTCTGAATAAGTATGAAACAGTGGTTAACCAAAAAACTCGGTTTAGAGTGTTTAAGCCATTAAAATGAAAAGAATGAAAAATAATTTAATGCATTAAACAATAGTGCCATTTTGTCCGTTAAGAGTACTTTCAAGCAGATTGGAACACCATACATATTCGGTACACCAATTTATGAAGCTGAAGAAAACAAAAGTGTATTACTGTGCATTAAGAGTGTATGTAATTGACAGCTTTATCTGTTTTTCCTATGATAATTTCTGTATAGAGTCATAAAAGGATAGTTTTATGACAGTGGAGTTAGAACTGCAAGCCCAACAACAAAAGAGAGGAAATAGGCATTTAACACAGCAGGTACAGTATCCTAAAGCCTACATTTAATCATTGTTTTAAAATAACTGATCTGGAGTGTTTCTAAAAATTGGCACAACAAACTACAACATTCACAAATTCAATGAGATCAGAAAATAATCCCCCAATTAAAAATAAAATAAAATGCTTTTACTCTTTTCAGGGGCCGAATGAATACATAAAACACCTGACTCATTTTATAGTCTCAATCTTATGGAATGATTTTAATGTATCTCAGTGTTAAAGTATTACAATTACTTTACAGAAAGGGTCAGAATTTCTTAACAGATACCTTTTACGAATTGCTAGTAGAGCCCACCAAGACTGCAAAAAGTGTTTCGCATTATTACCGAGGCATTGAATGAAAACCAAAAGGAACTAAAGCACCTTCTTAAAAAACGGAAAAAAAAGTAAATTCTTTTGAAAAAAAATAAAGAATCAAATTTTGGCCACACCTCAAAGACCACAGGAGTAATAGAGAGAAAGAGAGACACATACTGTCAAAGCAATCAAAAGTTTTGGCCCATTTTGATTATTTGATTGTATTAGCCTTTAGACCAAGAATCACACCAAGCTCCTATTAGTGTTTTCTTTTTTCTGCCCACAATTTCCACTTGTCTCAGGTTCTTCAGGGTTTCCTAACACTGCTCCTTCTAATTCTCTTTAAAGCGGTGTTAGAAAAGTCAGTTTGCTAAACTGGTCAGCCACATTTCTCTTTTTCCAGGCTATATAAACTATTTCTGTGAAGAGATACAGTACTTGTTTACTTCTTTTATAAAAGGGTGCAACAAGAGTCAATCATCATTAAATAATTATACTAAAGAGCAAATCAAGCCACATCAACATGTTTCCTAACTCAGGACTGTTACATAAATAAACTAGTAATATCCCAGTACCATATACTCTTTCAAAATATGAAAGACTAACCTAGGCTTTTTAATGGCTTGGAAACCCAATTTGACAAGTCATGATTGGCAGTGGAAACAAAAATTGAAATACATCGTCATTCTAATGAATGTTGAAAGCCGTTAATGAAGTCCAACAGAATTTCCTTGTAAAAAAGGCACAGTTGGTGCTTTCACTCTCCACTTTTTACAGGGCGTCCCTCATGAATACTCTAAATCTACATCAACAGAGAGAAACTAAGTGTCTGGATTGTTTTTCTTTTACAAAGTTCACCATGCATCAACATAAGTATTTATTTAAAAATAAATTAAAATATGCATTGGAAGTGACATAAATAGAAACCCTCCCAACTACATTTCCTTACTATGATATTGCAGGATGTCTTAAATACAACTGTTTATCTTTTTTCAGTTTGGATATTTCACTTTAATACAAATATATATTTGCATTATATAAATGTATATAAAATCCTGTAAATCTTCCATTTTGTTTTTCAAAGAGGCTCAACCTAGGGGGATCACCAGACTTGAAAGAATTGTTTCGGTGTGCATTTGATCACGAAATGTGAATTTAGACGTTTAATGTGCACCAAGCTCAACCAAAACATAAAAATGCACTAAAGGTCACAATGAAAGGAGGACTATCAGCCCTTCTACCTCATTGAATTATTCTGAGGATCTCTAACCAGTTCCTTGTTTTGTTAAAGTGGCCTCAATAGCAGGGCTGGATACGTTTGCTCATGACTCTCCCTAACGTTTGTGTAAAAATGTGTCATGTTCTCAGTTCTAAGCACTTCCCCTTAGCTTCCATTTGTGTCTTCAGGGTCATATTTCACTGCAGAGGTCTACTTGGGGACTTTTTTGAGGATTCTGAATTCTTGAATCTTGTCCCGACTCAAGTCTCGCATTTAACAGATTTTCAGATCTTTTCATCTGTCAGTATAAGACATTCCTTTAAGCACAGTAATATACCAGACAGCTTTTTTTTTTTGGACAAACTGCAGAGGCACAATATATATATTGAAACATTGCAACCAAAGAAAGTAAATAAACTCATTTTAAAGGTTTCAGTAGTTTTGTATTTGAAAAAAAGATATCCTCTCCAATTATTCTACCAGGCTCCCAGGTGCCTGCTCACTTGGAGTGTTAACAGAGAGAGAAAGAAAGGCTTCCCTTTCCTGTACTTTTACTGAGACCATAACAGAGAACAGAACTGATCCAATAACTAGTGGTTTTAAATTGGGAGGCTACAGAAAGGAAACAATTCAATTCAGAAAAAAAGATTCATGCTCAGGAAAACTGTTCAGGATGAAATGCCCATTGTGCATTTCAAGATTTTAATGTTTTATCATTTTGCCTATTTTGAGATGAGACTTATATTTAACCAACCAGAATGAGTGAACCCAGACCATGCCAGGAAAATATGCCCATTAACACTATGGAACAACCAGTACACTTGACTACTGGAACCAGGGCTGTGGGCTATAAAGTGTTTTAGGTTGGTGACACACATGTACTTTTCTTGATTTGTCAAGAATACGGAGAAGGATGATTTTTCTGACCATGTTACATTTCCTTGTGCCTGGTACCTCACTGAAGTTCTGGCAGACTGCATTTGATTAAACTGGTTGTTTGCAAACCAGTTTGAAATTAGTAGCCAGTTGGTCTGCTGAGGCTCCCCTGTTTTGTCTTGCACTTTGAATTAATGCACAAATATCACAATGCTGGAGTATGTGTCCTGACCTGCTGTTGCCCTTTACTGATGATGTCTTTCCTTGGAGTTCAATGCTCACATCACCGCTGACTGTGAGACTGCTGTCCTAATTTGAACACTGCAATAAGAGTGACTTCTGCATACTTCACCAACAATGCTATTTGAGAGGATAGCACTTGATGCCTGTTCTGTATTAATATTTTTTTTTTAACAATACAGATTTCAGTATTCATTAAAAATCTTACTTTTTATTTTACAGACAACTACATTTTATGGATAGGTACAGCTGCATCCTTCACATGTTGAGTGAACCGTCTTAGTAATACTGCCATTATTTTCTGCATTAACTACTGTACCTTCCTCGAGTCAAAAACAAGGACCTGCCACATGGTTGTATTCATTCACTGAAATTGTAACATCATGGTCACCTAATATTAAAAGCTAATATGCAAAACTTTACCCTTCTTTAGGTATGTCATTTCTTTGTATTTGTATTTGTTACTGCATTTTGGATTTTTTTTTACAGTAACATTAAATCTATAACTATGCATTCAGGTTCAACCATTTTAAAACACAATCTCAGAAAATGAATGGGTATTCATTTAATTCAACCGAACGAGAAAATGCTACCTCAAATGTTACAATTGGCTTATGCAAAATGACAAACTGACATTGACACCCAAAATCCCAAACACAATTGGTTTGAATAATTTTTCAGACACTTCAAAGGCAGGGCCCCTACTTAATTATAAGGGGTGTTTAAAATTACAGTGTATAAAAATGTCTTCCATTCCATCAATTCTGTTCCAGTTTTGTTCCCAGCATGTCGTTTCCCCCCCTCAGGCCACACATTAATTGCCACAGACCAAATAACCAAGACAGCACCTGAAAAACGTGCTGCAGATTTCCTGTAGAGCTGCCTTAAAAGTAGATGCTTTGTCAGCTGGTTTATTTCAAATACTCATTTGTTATGTGAAAATGTTATGTATTAAATAACACAGCTGGCTATGTCATTTGCCTGTTGTCAAAGGTAAGACTTCCTGTGCACTTCAATTACAGCTTACAAATCGTTAAGTAAACTGCTGGCAGAAGTGTGTCACATCAGGCTGTGCAAAATTAGCACACTCTAAGACAATACAAGTAAAAGAAAATTCCCACTGAATCCTGATAGCTTCATTAGTTTTGTACAAAAAGAATGTTTATTTAAACTACACTATGACAGAAATACATAACCTACGTTTAGTACAGCATATGTGTGGTAATAATTAAAAAAGGAACGACAAGGATTTGACTTTTAATGTTTATACTGTATTTCCATATGAAAAAAGGTGAGTACACAAAGGGCCTCATGGAACACTGATTAGCCATTTAATACCAGTCAGAACTTGAAAGTTCAACCAGTTGAAAAAGTCTATGAACTCAACAGTGTGGGCTTAAAAGAGGAGGAAAGAAACACTTCTCTGTTTTAGGATGCAAAATCAAGGTGGACACTGGCTACAGTGTCTCCCTAACAGTCAGAAGTGAACAGTTGCTTGCAACATATGAGCATTTCTTATTCATCTGCATGAAATAAAAAAATAAGGCTGTACGTTATTAAACAAGCACCAGTTGCATACAAAGTTGCAATACATACTGTACAATATATGTTCAAAGTAAAAGATACCTTCTGTAGCTAATTAAATGTTGTAAGAAAACAAAGGCAGTCATTGAAAGGAGGTTCAACAACAGCAAATAGCAGGTGCTAAACATAGAAATAAATTTATAGGGTGAGAAATAAGTGTCCTGTCCATCAGCAAAGTCAAACTGTTCGGAAAATTCCCAGAACAGCAAGCCAAACCATACAGCAGGGATCGTGGAACAGAATTTAGACATTCTGAATTTCTTACCAGAATTTATACTTAAAATCACATAAAACAACATGAGAAAACTGCACTGGGCAGGGAGAAAAATAGAATTTGGAAGTAATAACTTCTCCAAAGTAAATGCCTAGGGAATGACACAGAGTGAAAGAGAAGAAAATAGCTTGTGAATTAAACATTGCTCTCCAAAATTCTTGAAACAATCTAAACTGATCTGCTCTTTTCACTAAATACTCGCCTGTCTTTATGTAGAAAAACAATAGAAAGTGACACTTTCTAGTGACATTTTAACCATGTCTTAAGCTAACAGTTAACCTGATAAGCTTGTAGGACCCTGCAGCATGAAATATGTGTGTAGAGAGGAACAAAAGATAATAATGTAAAAATGATGATGATTCTATTAGATTTGACTGGCAAATGTGATGGAATATTTCAAAGAATTACAATAAATACAATACTGTATATCGGCTGCTAGTGTATAGTTTACCTAGAGTTACTGGAATCATGTTTTTGAAGATTCGGTGTGAATTAAAGTCTGCTACATGTCAAGTCTGGTTTAGTATTAATACCGGTCAAAGATGCTACAGTATAACAGAATAAAGCACTAGTGGAGGATCTGAGTAAACTCTTAATCCTCATAAAAAATAAATTAGAAATGTCATCAAATGTAACCCATGATGGTCTCTAAACTTCAAATGCATTCTTGTTTGCTGTAAATTCCATTTTCTTCATGTGGCTCAGCTTTGAAACAGTTTGAAACACAGTTTAAAAATAGAGGACACAAGTGGAAACTATGTGGAAGTGCATTTAAAACTACAAAACAAGAGGCAGCTCTTCATTCAAAGGGTTCTGAGAGTATAACGACCTTCCCAGCCATGTTTTTGAAGTTTCCTCTTTCAAGAAATGGTTGAATGAGATCCTCAGATCAATTAGCTACTACTATACAGTACATGCCAAACACTCTTCTGTAGACGGGCCAAATGGCCTGCACCTGTTTTCAGCCTTTCTTGGTGTCTTATGTTCAGTCATGATTTGCAGAGATGGCATCAGCTTTCATAGTATCCCAGCACAGCTTACAATACAACCTTGTGTGACAATAACAGAACTAAGAGGGGTCCACAGAGAAATATTTAAGAATTTTAAGAATATTTTTTAAGAATATTAAATAAATCAGAATATTGAACAAAGTAAATCAGTTGGTATATTACGTATTAAACATCTGTCTATACAGTGGAGGTAGACAGATTACATACAGGATGATAATGGGTTTAACTCCCACTTGGGCCACTGCTGAGAAAGGTACTGTACTGTATGTAGCTAAATGTGCTGCTGAATAAACGGATACTCTAAAGGTCGCAATTGCAAATAAGAATTTCTTCTCTATTGACTTAACTGGTGAGATAAAAGATTAAATGAAAAATTAATGTTAAAGTAGCTACAGTACCAAGGTTCTGGGGATCCTCACACATAGAGTAGAGACTGTTGTACAGTTCAAACATAAATTAATTATGATCCTTGGACAGCTGTGTGGAGGGTTGGTTAAGGTTCTGGCCTTGTAAATACTGTAAATAGCTATGGGTTCAAATGTAAGGTGAGAGACTCACAGCAAGATACTTCACCCAAATTGCTCCAGTAAGATACCCAGTTGTATAAATGGGTATCTACTAAATCCTCAGCTTAAGTCAGTGTGGATAAAAACATCAGCCAAACAAAATTAATAATAGTAATACAGTATATGGACGTCTTTCCACTTTATAGCAGTTCCCTCTCTAATACAATGTATCTGCTAAACCTTACATACACAACACCTGTCAATATGTAAGGAAATATTCTGTTGCCCATTCTAACAAACGCACCAACTTCAACATGTTGAGCAATCCATTATTATTATTCCAGGCTCAACGCTCGCAGCTAGGATCACTCCAACCTCTCTTCCCACAGGAGCAAACTTATTCCCAGAAGAGTAAAACTAAAGGTTTTATCTTTCATCAGTTCAATTACTAAGAGTGAACAAATATTGCTGAAAACCCCAGTGTGGCTTTAACCATATTTTTAAAAGTAGGATTGTTTAACCTTTTAACTGTAAGCAGTTTTGTCTAACCTGGACGTCTGTATATAGCTGGTGAAAACAGATTACCTTGAGGTACACCTCCACTTTTAAAGGATTTAATCTAAGCAATACCAGCTGTTTAAGCCCCCCTTTTATTCCAGCAACCAGCTGTAGTCCCCATGGGAAGGCACACCTTTAATAACCTCTAATGGCGTATAATGGCATGATTACTAGTCTCATTTTGCTGTTGTTAAACAGTCTTATGCAGCTCCTCGATGGCCTTCCACCATATCCCTAGCTAAAAGAACCTACTCGCTTTTGTGAATATATGCCCTCTCTTTCACTGATCCCGAACAGCCTGTTAACACTACTAACACTTGCATTGCAAGCTGATAATCAACTACTGTACCTGTTTAAGAAAAGCAGACAGTGGGTCGACAAGTCAGGCAAAGACCAGATGGGACACACTTTATTTGTGTATCTAGTCTTTTGTGTCTCACAAAGCTGCATAATCACACTTTTGTGACTGAAAAAGTTCCAAGTCCCAGTGTGAACTGTGCAATCACCCATTTTGTTTTTCTGTCAAACATTTAATTTGCCAAAAGGTGACACCTGCGGCTATCTAGGGACGCTGCTCTAAACTACATCTCATCTGATCCACATCCTAGCTTCTTTTAAGACTATCATGTATAATAATCACATTAAGTACAAAATATCTTAATTTAATTATGACATACTATTTATAGCATTCTAAATTTCCTCTTGTACTGTACCTCACCCATATCAGAGTAATATGTTGTTGGATTTTCACCCCGCCTAAATAAAGGTTCAGTCAGGTTCAATGGTTAAGTACTGTAATTTAACATGAAGCATCAGAAAGGCTGGATGGCGAAAACTCTAAGGTTGATAAAGTATGCGTTATGTCTGCATTATCTTTAGGAACATATTAATAGGCAGGTCAGTTGCATCTATGGATTTAAACAGTTAGAAATGAGGCTTTGTGTTTTTAGAAATAATTTAAAATGACCAATTTTATGGTTAATAAATAATAAACTATTTAATAAATAATAAATTATTATTTTAAATGACAGACACATCCTTGGACTCCAAAGTGTAAACATTCAGTTGATTATCCTAATATTAGACCCTGATTCTTGTGATTATGTGAGGCAATGTACTAAGGATAAATCCGTTAATTTTTTTCCTTCTTTGTTTAAATTGTGATTGTGATACATGAGAATAGTGTACCTATTCTCCCTTCATTTAATCGTCCATGTTATGGACAGTAGTAGTGTTTCATTCACCCTAAGACAATATTTATGGTGGTGTTTACTTTTGAGATGTCCCTGTGGGCTATTCTGTGGGTATGTTAAAATTTTGTTTGCATGATATTTTCCCCCTTTTTTGGAATGTTAAATGGAGCAAGCATTTAGCATACTAAAAAGAAGGTGCTGATCTAAAATTTATTTTGCTCTTGTTCTGTTTTACAGCTGTCATTCCAACACCTTACATTGGATAGTATCTTAAGGACTGGCGCTAAATATTTTGCTGCAAGCCCAAAGACTGTAAAAGAAGGTAACATTTTTAGGATCTAAAATGAAAGTTGATGTGAAAAAGGAAACACAAAATTCTGACCAAATGCTTGAAATTTCAAATATACTGTAGTATTAAATGAAAGAAAAAGCTTGTGAAACAAACTATTGTAAAGATGTGTTTATACCCTCATATCAGATTAACCATTTTTCATAATTATTAAAATTGATTAGTCATACTTCCAAAAAAAACCCTCATATTTCAGATACTAAATGAAAGTTACCAATAAATACTGTCCAATAACTGAATTGTATTCTGGATACAGAGAAAACACAAAGCCAACTGTAGGCTTTCATGACCTTTACAGCTTTTTTCATATTGCTCAGCAGTCATCCAGAATAAAAAAGGTCTCTCCATGCTACTTTTGCTACATATCGTAATGTATAAAAATGTACCTTCACATTTCTGTGTCCTCTCATTTTGCTTGTGGCCTTTTGGGCACTTGCACTCATAGGAACCTACTGTATTGATGCAGTTTCCACCTTGACAAAGGCCTGGGATGGCCTGGCATTCATCAACATCTGTGTGAAGGAAAAGCAGAACATAACTTTATATGTAAAATAGGTAATATATACAGGAGGCACTTATATAACATTGTTTAAAGAGGTAGTGGCTCGGGTCATGATACTAAGGTTCACTGAGATCAGTTTTAAAAACAATACGAGTTACTATACTAGCAACGCTGTAAAATTCAATTTTTTTTAAGAAGTCTTCCTATTTCACAATCCTGGACGCAACAATTTTCTAGATTGAAGTGTCACAGTGACCATACACAATTAAGAGGAGCCTTCCTTCTAATTTCAATAATTACAAATTCTTGTTGTTTTTTAAATTCTTTAATTGTGGCTATGTATCCTTTTTTAAAGTGTGCCACAATGTATCTTTAGACATCCTGTCTGCAAACAGATACAGTACAGTATGCCTTGACTCACTGGGTTTGTACAAACAAGTCAAATAGTTATACAAAAAAAAACATTTTGTAAAAAGATTCAACTTTATTGCACTGATTTAGCTTTAGAAGAATAATGACAAAAACAGTGACCCACTCATGAAAGCCAAATATCCACTTCAAAATATCCAAACGTCTTCCAGGTTCTTTATCATAAAAATCCCTAATTAAGGGGGGCATCAGACTGTGCTCTTTGGATATAATAACATATTTAATGTGGGCTTTATAAATTCTGTAACTCTCCAATGCTTGTATTTACTGAGCTGGATATGTTCTAATTGTAACAATCAAAGGCCACTGTGTGCTACATACAGTATCAGATTTTTACACAGACCTGCACCATGTGATGGTCAATGCCACAGATGCCATCTGTGACAGAGCAATGAAGTTACTAAAGATAACCACCGCAATTACATTACTACTTTATGTAAGGGATAAATCTAACGTTTTAATAGTGGATATATATTATATAAATGAATCATATATATATATACTATAAATGATTAACAAGAAGGTTTGTAGTTTAGAGTTAAAGTTTAAAATATTCATTTTAACCTTTAGGCCTTAGTTTTCTATGAATTAAAAAAAAAGTAAGTTTAAACATTTGTGTATTTTCAAATGCAATTCACAAAAGTATAGTTTATGTAACGAAATCAGACAATATCTGAAAAATATTTAAGAAAGCTGTTCCTTTATTTTTTTAATTTTCTGAAAACAAGTGCAAAAAATAAGCTAGGTAAAATGTAATTACAAAACTGATTATTTGTCTGAACTAGATTTTTTTTTCACATTAACCCTCACAAATATGCTTGAAATTAAGCTAAGTTTTCCCAGATGGTAAAATGTAGGTATCAGTGATAAAGCCTGGCATGTGAAGAAAGGAAGTGTCTGCAAGCAAAGAGCCTAAGTAAATTGTAACAGTATGTACACATTTCTCTGTTCACTTCAGACCTGCACCTTTGAAAGCAAAGCCAATATGTTTAGGGGGGTCCAGTAGATTCAGTGGACTCTCAACTGACTTAAAACATCAAAAGCAGTCCAGAAAGAAATTTAAAATGGCAGACCTGTTGAAGTCTAGTTAGGCTTGGGTAATACTGTAATTCACCACCTTTAAATGAAGACTGCTAACATTGTTCAAGGAGAATAAGCCACAGGTACTAAGTGACTTAAGAAGCTGTCTGACACCCACATTCTAGCGCAGTCTGCCATAATCCCATTCTAGGGAAGTGCACAGCATTTTAGTTTTAATTTGTGCCTGGGAACTAATGTTTCAAAGCAGCATTGATAACTATGTTTTGAGCAGACTGGCAGAGATATCTTAAAAAGAACTGAAGTGGATTTGAAAAGGCACTCCTTAGATAACGGCAAATGCAGTAAGGGAAGCATGAGGTCGCTCATTTATTTTCAATAGCCGCAGTAGGCAGGTCCCACAGAACTATTTTAAATGATAATTATCACAGAGCCAGAGCTTTGAAGCAAAATATAACGTTGCAATTCTTTTGGCAGGGTGGGAGGTATAGATGAAAGTGTTAAATTATCCATTTTAAGTTAAAAAATAATTTTATGATGTGTTTTGGAAAGATACCCAGTTACAACATATATAATCTCAATTCATCCTAAATACTTACAGTTTTTAATTAACAGAATCTAGGAGAAGCAACAAATATTAATTTAGGTAAGCTAGTCTAAGATTATTTCTAGACGTCTTTTAAACTCTAGCTTTTTCTTTCAAGATCAAACAGCAGAATGTACTGTAGATAGGAAAGTAGGTATAAAAGCAAGAAAGCTGTCTGCACTTGACAGAGCAGAGTTTCTTCACTTGGGACAGTAAAAATCAGTTACTCAAAACTATTAATTAGAAACAAGATATTGACTGTTTTTCACAGACAATACTTACTCTACTTCAAATGAGTTTTTCAGTTCAGTATGGTTTTGTAATGTCATAAAACATCAATATGTACAGTATAAAGAGTCTAGATGAAGATGAATGTTATTAATTGCATATTTTACATCTTACTATAAAATATGAACTAGTGTCAGTAAGGCATGATGCCCTGCAAAGCTAGGTTCATATTTGTATTAGATTTTGAACCTATCCTAATTAAATAGAAATTGAAAATTATAAAACAATTGGGCTCTAGATCTTCTCCTGTACCTGAAGCCCCTATTAACAGAGCATTCTAAAGCACTTTCTCCTACTGTTTGGTGGATGACACTGCAATCTAAGGGGTACACAGCGTGTTTGTGATTGGACATACAACATAACAACACATGTTAGTGTTGCCCTTTGAGTACCACCTTTCCAAAGACTCATTTGCCCAAGGGTGGTTTCTAAGGTAATACACATTTCGCATGTTGTTGTTTTTTTTTCCCACGGACCTTATGGTCCTTAAGCATGATGACTCTGGCATTAAAACAAGAGCTCCAGAAAAGCCACTCACCTTGGCAGGCGCCAGTTCGAATATTAGGGATGAATCCCCGACGGCAGGGCTCAGGCTGAGCTGGGCACGTTTCACAGGGGTGGCCCCAGGCCCGGCCAATGGTGGCACAGCACAGCGTCTTAGTGCACACGATGCCACTGACCTGACCTTGGCACATCTGGTTGCTCACCTGCATAAAGCAAGGTCCAGTCCTGTAGTCTGTGGGGAAAGACATTTTTTTCATTAGTAACAGCCATAGCTGTCGGCAACTGTGAAACAGCAAAGTCTGTGCAAACAGATACAGCAAATTAACAAACTACGATCTTCATAATTTCCTCATGGAAACCCACAGTAATAGTAGCACAAATTAATCACAATACGTACCTACGTTGAGTGAAGGTGATTTGTATTTACTGAATTAGTATCCATTTTAACACTGTAATTAACAAAATATCTTCATTAATAACATGTCATTAATGTCATAAACATTTTTTAAAGATCATATTTAAGGTTGGACAGATTTTTTGACAAGGCAAATTGGTAATCTTTTGCTTGAATTAGCCTAAATACAACCCCTTCATAAACACTATACAACACCACACAACTCACACTCTACTTGTGCAAATTACTGTACATTAGAAGCAAGCAATTAAAATAGTTTTAATCAGACGTTGTTTTAGCCGAAACCCCAGAGGGGAATTCTATTTACAGAGAAGTACAGAGAAGTAATGTGAAAATAATGAAAGACACTGTTAAAGACCTTTTGCCAATGCATTTCAGTAACAACGGCCCAGAATTGTTTGTGTGTTGTTTTATTTGGTTACGTGGTTTTAAGCATCTTGTTTTATTGTGTTGTAGTATTGAATGAGTTGTGACAGTGTTTTTAGACTCACTCAGTTGTTACCAGCAAATTACATAGTGAGTAATTTTCTGGTATTTTTTTCTCGGTAATAATGGTAATGGTATTGCTAATTTTATGCAGAGCTTTGTTAAACTAAAGTGGTTATGTCTCTTTCCAGATATTTCATGATCATAAAGTAACATCTATTGCCTTCCATACAATGGGCACAACTTTAAACCGTGGTGGTTTCTAATATACTTGTACAGTCTTAAAGAACTTCTATCATACTGTAAGATTGTGAAACACAGGTGCTGAAAAACCTAAACATATGTTAACAAAGAGCATACCATGTGGAAGGCCACAAAACTATTTACATGTTACTGTATTTGGTTTATTTAGTTCAACGGCTGCCCCCATTCTATAGAAGTGTCATAAAGAGATTTTACTGGCTTTTAAAAACAGCCCAACTGTCAATGACATCTTTGTTGCATTTTGGCAAGAAACAAAGTCTATCAAAGGCTACAGGACACAGCTGTCCAGAAGGTGCAGTGTCTGTGTAAAGAGAAATGCTATGCTACAGAGCACATGGGCTGATTATCTATGAGAGCAATCTCTGGTGTGGGAAAATGAAACCATAGCTGACATGTATACTTTATCTCTGTATACAGAAAGTCAGATGACAAATTAAATGGAAAAATCACCCATTTTAGTTGGAAATCTGAGATTCCTTAGAAAGAAGAAAACAGAATCAGCTGCAACCGATTTACATTTAAGCTGTAAGACAGTCCTGCATTTAATAAACTGTAGAAATGATACAAGTTCTCCAAATATGAATCCTTTTCAAAGCTTTACTGTAAAGGAACACGTATACAAATCCAGTAAATATCTGTTATCATGAGGTTTAAAACCAATCTGATTTTAGTTGTAATTATTTTTGAAAATAATAATAATATAGTTGATTATGTAAATGCACACTGATAAGAAATCAAACCCAGATCTGTAAGGTAAAAAACAAACACAATTTTGGACCACTATTTATTTTATGTATTGTAATTCAGCTGAAAGACTGTACTTAATCCTATGCACAGTACATCAAGAGCTGATGTCTATATCGGTTCAAATTTACAGTTTATCAGTACACTTTTTCAAAGTAAATATTCTTGGTTAATATTAAATTATACATCAATCAAAAATCGTTTAGGACTTAGCATTTATAAAATCATGACTTAATATTGAATATTAGTATATATATTATTTGGAAAACAGGTGTTATACCCTGAAAAATATTGAGAATATACAGGTACAGTATGCCAAGTATTTAAGTCAAATTAGAAACAAGTGTTTTGAATGCTTTTTATTTCCTATAGCTAAAATCTTTTTGGTATTTAAATTATAATTTTTATTCATCTTTATTATTAAGAAAACAAATATTGACCATTTTCTGTTGCTTATAAAAAACTGCAATTTATGGTACTCCTCCAAAGTATAATATTTACAATATTCCATAGTGTGATTCCCATTCCTTCCAAGCACATTCTGCAATTTAAAAAAGCCATTTAAATGTGATTATAATTATGTACTTTGAGGCTCTTGCTTTTCTCTTCATGTGAAGTGTGCAGTACCAATCACTAGTGATTAAGCTGTTTTTTAAGTTACAAGACTAACCTTGTTTTTTTAACTAGGCTCAAACAATGGATGCTCTGTTGCCATCATCCAAGGAAAAGCCTTGATTAAGCAACTCTGTACAATACATATTTTCCAAACAATTCATCCTGGAAAAAACGTTTTGAATACACAGTCAGGTGGGAAAAAAATCCACATATTTCCATAAAAACATTATGGCATACCAACATACTCCCTCCCTCCACATAATGCCAAGTAAATAATAATAATAATAATAATAATAATAAACTCTATTTTAAATAGCGCCTTTAAAGGTGGCTTCTCAAAGCGCTTTACAGAATGACAACAACAATAAATAAAAAAAATACACAAGATAAAACACAATTACAATATACAGAGGAGACCGTGGTGGTACTAAGAAAAGCAGAGGGGTGAAGAATGGAACCAGTTAAGTAAACAAGGTAAACAAAACTTTAGTTGATATTTGTTTAAATCTATTATTGCGAGGGGTTTTGACAGATTAATTGTAAGTAAAAAATGCAATACCAATTATTATTTAAACAGCAGGTGCTGGAAGGAGATAGTGCTGCCTATTTAAATTGAACATTAATGTTTGTGGAGCAACACAATTTAAGCCTGTAAACAAAATCAGTTTAATAATTCTACAGCCTCCAAAGTGGCTCAACTGGTAATGGCACTTGCATTATGAATACTGAAGTATAAAGAAATATTTTTTTTACTAATGTACTGGAAAATGCTTCTGTATATATTGTGTTGTGCTTCACCATGCAGTATGAATACTACTAAGCTCACAACCTCTGCAACCAAGGAGAAGTAAGTGGAATATCTCAGACTAGCCCAGTTAATCTCCATATTTAAACACAATTATGCATGTATTCTAAATTAAATTGTCAGAACACCTTAACAATAGGCAAAATTCATATGGGCTAGAGTGTCTCAAAGGTACAGGCAGTGAAATACAGTGACATTTATACCTAAATTTGCTTACAGGTAATGAGCCCCAGTACCTATGGCAACATAAAATTACTAGGTTGAATACAAAGCCTGTTTTTGTTTTAGTTTGATTACAACAAAAGCATTGAAGCAGTCAAAATATATATTATGTTGTTCATAAAACATTTATAGTAATCTCATTATTACATAAACTGTGTGACTTTAAAGGCAAAATAAATATTGACTTTGTTGTACTAATACATTTGAAGGACAGTATACTGTAAATAACACTGTTGTTAGATAATTATTGTACAGTAATTAACATATCCATTACATATATGGCTTTTATCTTTAAGAATTGTATCTGTTTCCCTGTGGGTCACAGTCATCTCTTTGTGATATCACAGTTTTAAAAGGTCGTTATTTGGAAATGCTTGTCATGCTTTTTATGTTGACATAATATTAAAATGCTAGTCCATAGCATAATAAAATGGTATGCCTTGCTATTGCATATTTTGAAAGCAAAATGTAATGTTTATTTTTGTGTTTTGTACTGAGAAACAGAATCAGTGAAAAGCAAGGTTAAAAGTTAAAAAACTGAAAGTGTGGAACCACCTTGATAAAGAGGTTATAATTTTACTTCTCTATTACCATTGCTCTTTGAAAAGCATCTCTGTCGGACAAAGTAAGTATCTTCTACAAATATTTTCTTTTGAGGCACACAACATTATTGTTCTTTTCTTCCCTAACATACTGTAATTACAGGTTCCTTATGAAGGTGCTCAAAAATATCTTTTTGATATCATAAAAAACATTAGACAATTTCAGAAAGTCCAAAGGTGGTTCCATCACCTAGCTTGCTCTAGTCTGTGATAGAGTCATTTATACACTCCTTTCAAACTCAATCTGTGACAACTTCAAAAAGAGACACCTTGACTGGATAAAAGTAGAGAATCACAAGGAGCTCTGTGTATGCGAGACTGTTACAGTAACATCACCAAGCACATGTGATTCACATGTGTGTGTGAAGGTTAGAAAAGATCTGAATCCAGGCTGGTGGCACTGACTGTGATTACCATATGGGCTGAATAAATGCGCTTGGAAGGCTGGGCTTGGTACAGTATGTGCACTATATGAGTGATAACCCTTGTTAACTGTTCATGTTCTCCTGGTTTCTTTCTACCTCCTGAAGACATGATGGCTAGATGTAACTGGCTACTTAAAATGATCCCTTTCGCCACAACCTTCTTATAAGGATTGGTATCCCATCTAGTGGGAGAGTAAGTGTGTGCTCTCAGTTACTCAGTCACTTACAAAGCTAATTTTCCAGTTTTTGTATTTTTAGAATATGAAATTTTAGAGAAGAGAAAAGCAGAAAAGCGATTTTCTCATTTGTGGCATTCAAAATAATTCTATAATAATGTTAATTGCCTTCTTGATAATGCATGTAGAGTTTAATCTGAACAATATGCTTCATATGTAGAAACTGCTATTTGCGATTTCTAATTATTTAGTTAGGAATTTCACCATTGTGATGAAAAGAACACCAACTAATTACCATTCAGATTAAGAATAGACTCATTACTTCATTCCTAATTGCCATATCATGTTCAGTCTACATTCAGCGTAAGCAAGGAAGGAACCCTTGAGTAACAGAGACTGAACTCCTGGAATGTGCTCGCTTCTGGTGCTGCCAAAAGCTATTTTAATACTTGAGGCTACATTTCAGAAGTTCAGAACAATTGGAACTTTTCACTGCGTGCACTGGACATATGATCAAGATCGTAAGATCAATTTCCTG